GTGCTTTGCGACTTCCTTTTTTTTCCCTGTCTTGTATGTAGGAAATACCAAAGAGGAAGATTTCAGATGACTGTAACTGGTCACTATCTTCTTGCCAAATACCTTGTATCTTCTGGGTGAGTTGATGTTACGTCTACATGGAGCAGTGAGTTTTCTTCGGGACACCAAAATTTTTTCACCACGATGCCAAGGAATCCGCAAGGTTGAGAGTTTAAATATCTGTCCTTAGAAACCAAAAAGAATCTCCTAGAATTTTGAACACCGTTTTGGTATTTGAACTAAATTTCTTTCGAATTTCTAACCTGCAGGAATGAGTTTGTAGGCTTTGGCGCCAAAGAAGCTTTCTTAACCACTAACTTCACTAATTCTGAGCCACTTTAGAAAACCACCGTATAGTCAATACACTCCAATTACATGTGGATCACTTTTACGATGTACACATGCATGTTCACAACTGACAAACACACAATCGACAACGAAACAAGAGCAGGCAACGTAGATATTCACAGTTTGCTCATTTGCAACAGCCCAACTGGCACTACTACATATATACACTCTCCCCCTCCCTTCTTTCACCTCCCTCCCTTCTCCTTCCGCATCACCCATCTAACACTTGGAGTTGGTCTGGGTAGCAAGCGCCAGCTTCCATGGCAGCGCATTGTACGTTCCCGAAGCATTAGGATCAATACCCTGGTACAGGTACCTCATCTCACACGGGCGAACCTGCAGCCTCTGGTCGACATTCGTGCGGATCAGCTCGCCGTGCGACAAGCTCTGGGACCAGCGTCCACCGGGGAACTGCGTGTTGGCGGCACCAAGGAAGGGAGTCTGCTGGGAGGCGGCAAGAGGAGTCCACTTGTCGCTAGTGAGCGACTGCGTAGTCCAGGAGCGGAAGTAGCGCAGACCACCGGGTGAGTTGCCGGTGCCGATGCACTCGACAACAAGGAGGTAGGTGTTGGTGTTTGCAATGTTGTAGACGGTTGCGGCTTCGAAGAGGTCGTTCTTGTTGTCCTTGAGGGTCACAACGGGCTCGTTCATGCCGCGCGGGAACTGGGAGACGGGCGTTTGGCTGCGGTAGAGGCCGCCGTTGTCGTCGGATGAGTACAGGTGGCAGAGGGCGGTGTCGCAGATGACCCACATGTCGACCCAGAAGCCGGTGGATCCTAGGCCATTTTGGATCGTCTTGGGGGTGCCGTTGGGGTAGAAGACTTGTGGGGCGGTCCAGCCTCGTGGGTTGGAAATGTCGGGGTTGGTGCTGTATGCTGCATTGCCGTTTTGGTAGACGAGGTACCAAAGCTTCTGGGGGGCGAAGTAGACTTTTGGGGAGTTAGTATCATATGTACCTATTTTTTTGGGGAAGGACAAAGAGGGAAAAACGTACAGACTTGAGGAGCAGCACGGTAACCTGTGCCGATACCTGACTGGTCGAGGTAGAAGAATGGTGCCTGGTTGGCCCTGCTAAAATCGGTAAAGTTGAAGTAGACTAGGTTGTAGCCCTCTGCCTTGGCCGTGCTGGCAAAGACATGGTATACACCGTTATTCTGGATAATCGTCGGGTCCTTGATACCCTGGATTTGACGGCTGTCCTGCTTGGGCGACACAAGGACGCCGCTGGATGACCAGGTGAAGGTTTTGGGGAGACCGCCGGTGTTCTGGCGCGTTTCGAGAGCAGCGTGCTCATGCAGAGGGAGACTGCGGGCTAGAACTGAGGCTGCAAAGGCAGCGCCGGCGAGAAGGAAAGAGCGCATCGCTGCTTTGTTCTTGTTTCAGTAGGCGATGATCCAACTTTCACGTCGATAGAAAGTAATTCGTCGATCCTTTATATACTCGGTAGTCGATTGCCCGGGGCACGAAAAGCTGGGGTATGCCTATGTGGGTCCGGGGATTAGTCTTCTTGCAGATGGGGTAATATAAACGTGGTTTGCACTCCATAGTTTTTCCGTCTTCGCTGGCGTGCTTTTTCCCTTCCAAGCACTATTCCCCTCCGTTTAGCGTGTCTGTGTGTGGTGCGCTAGTATGTTCAGGCTGTTATCGCCTGAGAAGATGGGTCGGTGGGAAATCATTCAATTCCTAGTATTGTAGAAGGTCAAGAAGTTGTCTTTACATTGAATTTATTACACCGAGGTAATTGGATGGAGTTTCCTTGTATGATGCAATCAAACTCTGCCCTGTATCTTGGTAGGTGGAATGTCTCGACTGTAAGAACGTTATCCATCCCCGGCACATCGGTTCGAGAGCAATATGAAAAGCCATAGAAGCTGCTAAACGGCACTTTCTCTGGATATTGAGCGATCTGGAGTTGTGTTAGTCTTACAACATCCCCTGCTAGTGACCCACATTATGCACTTTAGCCTTCTACTGTCATTCGTAGTGTCATTTGTCGCGCAGCTCACATCCTCACTCCAATCGCTCTAGATGAAACACAAAGTTGGTTGCGAGAATCAAGGACGTTGGCGTTGCTGATACTCTCCAACTTTAGAGTTCTTCATCAGTAACTCTGTTGTGCTTGTGCTGTCGCAACTTTCATTCCCCACGTCGGTCTTTGGGCCACCGGGCCGGGGAAACACTAAACTTCTTGAGACGGAAAAACTGTACATCGAACCGCATTTCATCCGGTGGTTAACAATCTAGGGATGGTCATGAGCACTATTGTATGTATAGCAAGCGCACGCCTGGCAGGCTTGGTGCATGTTTATGGAAAGATGCCTTGGCCATTGTGCTTGGCGCGCACGTGGTCTTACGTCAATTGTGCTCATTGTAGTATTGATCATTTAAACTTTGTGTAGCTTCGAATGAATGCACCTGCAGGTCCCCAGCCCACATTCCTGGCCATTAGTAGAATCGGTATAGGTCTCATAATTCAAGGGCACCAGCCGGATGGCCAGGGAGCTATTATCCACCATCCGAGTACTCATAATGGATCAAAAAGCCAGGCCGTGTTCTTTGGGACAATAAAGTCTGGATACTTTGCACTGCGAAAGTGTTCATTTGTATTGAGACTGTGCATGCATACCATTTATCATGTCATGGTAGTCTACTTATTGGCTGGGGTTAGTGCTTCGGTATGGCGTTCTATGCTGACCACCAAACAGCAACTTTGTGCATTGCATCTTCTTGTGCTTTTCTCAATATCTGTTTTCGATATGCCACTGACTAGCAGTATCGCACAAATGACGGGATTGGTGCAAATACTCTCAAGGTTGTCGTATTGCCTTCAAAACACCGCTACGTGTTTCAAGCCATCTTCCGAATCTGACCACAGTAGTTTAGATCACTCACAGCACTGACGACTGAACGCCACAAGAAGTACAACTCATAGTACACCAGCCTGGTGATTTCTGGCAGTCTCTGCTCCAGATTTCTCTTGCTTCGGGCTCCGTTGGTGCTGTGCCGACGGTTGCATATGGCTAGTCTCCTAGCCAAGTTATTTTCGCAAATGCACGTGTTGTTGCTGATGAAATCAAACTCAATAAAAATTTAACTCGAATGCCGGCATGGGCATGAATCGTTTTGAACAAGTTCATCTTGTACGCGGCTCAACGGTTGAGGTGTTCAATCAGAATCTGGATTGTCATAAAAAGATTCTGGTTGTTGTCAGTATATGTCAGAATGAGATTTCACTGGCACTTAGATTTCTTAGCCAAGAGGGCATTCAAAAGCTCTTTATAGTAACGTATCGTATTAGCTCGAATGCGGGACAGGATGAGTATCACATGTTGGATCAGGGAAATAATGGCATTGTTGACGCCTTCTGGGAGAACCATCCAAGTAATGTATTTTAGCTATTCACAAAAAGGTTTTACAATCAGATCTACGTTTACGCTCCTTGCTTGGCTGGTTACTGTGCCCATAGTCAGGCTGGTATCGGATATACAACTCTAACTTGCTTATCTCATACACTTGTGCATTCGTTCCCATCACCTTCTTGAGCCACAAAGGACTTTTTGTCTTAGGATAGCGCTTAGTTACATAACAAACATCAGGATAATCACTGGATCGCTCATAGCAGTGAACCAGAGGAACCGACAGGAGGGGCCAGATCAGTGGATAATCAGAGGAGGCAGAGCAGCAGGTCGTAACAGTATTATGTAGATGAAGCAATATCGATCTTAGCTAAAATTCTCTTCAAGTCAATTTGCAGGCTATTATTGTAATATTTTGGAGTATTTCTAACCCTAGCCCTAACCCAATGGTTAGCGCTAATTCTAAACCTGACCCTGCACTTAACCCTGCCCCGAGCCTTGAACTGAACCTTACATAACCTCTTTCCCACACCCCAATAGAAGATATGGCAATAAGACGTGGAAGCTGATATTTTCCCAGGGAATCAATCTTCTTAAACAGCTTCAGACAGCCACGATAGTTAAAGATGACCTGAGTTGATACACTTAGAATTGAAAGCCTCAGGAACCGCAATATCAGCCTGTAGTTGATTGTACGCGGAAGTCAGTACACTTGAAAGAGCCCTAGTCTACTCTAGTATTCTTTGGGCGTGTTAATAGCACAAGTTTTGTTATGTACCAGCGAAGAAACGGTGCAGAGGAAGCTGATTTAGTAGCGCCATTGTTTTCACTCTTCAATAGCGATTCCACATCAAGCCAGAAGTTTTGGCCATATTGCACATCAAGCGTTGGAGACTTGCAAGATTTCCGATAAAGGCTCACTCAAAAGACCAGCCCGGCCGTCTCTAGATTGCCAGGTCTTACGAGGTAGTTTTGCATCTGCCACATCCGTCTGATGTGTGCTGGCCACAAGTGAATAAAGTTTATACCTAAGAGTTTATCTCCCAGCTGACATTCATTGGGTTTATGATGACAGACCTAGCGCTTACTTGTGCTCAGTTATGGGCAACTCTCACAACTAGTTGTTATCAGTGCTAATTGTACTGCCTGGAAAAAATCTCGGAGACTAGAGAAGAGCTTCAAGGTATTCATGACATGGTCAGCAGGTCTTAGATAAAACGACAGCCCAGTAGCGCATCTTAGTCATCGTAGAATTAGATCACTTTAGGAAATCTGATTCATCATACGTGGATATCATTATATAAAATACCTCAGCGTCCAAGTCCTACCATTTCCATTCTCCTTTCCTGGGACCAAAGTACTCGCCATCAGGAAGGACCTTGCGGACGGCTGCTCCGGCTCCGTCAAGCGTTTTACTGACGATAGTGGTGCCCCAGTAGTCGGGCATTGCGGCACCGGGAAGCTGAACGCAGAAGAAAATGAAAATGGCGCAGATGGCAAGACCGACATCCATACCAGCCGAAGTGACGTAGTTGTACTGCATCCACCAACTACGGTACCTGTCACGGATGAACTTGTTGAATATGTAGCCGATGAGAACCCACGAAAGCTGTAACCACATCAGTCTTTTATGCTCCTCACTGAAAAAAAGGAAGGGGGAGGGGGGCGGAGATTCTGATAACTTACGACATTCATGGGTGTGTATGGAGGTACGTAAGACAGGGAGGCAAAGATGAGTGGCGGACTGATTTTGCGAATGAAGCTGACCTTAGGGAACATGCGGGAAGCACCATAGACCAAGAATGGAGTACCAAAGCCCACGAGCCACATCCATTGGAGGTCCTTGTAAGTCGAGTCTCCGGAGAACAAGTGCTTGGGACCGACAGCACCCCAGATGACACTAGCGTTGTAGAAGGTCTTGATGTAGGCACATGTGAATGATCCGGATGCCAATGGGGTGCAAACATTCTTGATCGCGCCCAGAGCCCATTCGATGGTGGCGAGTTGGCACAGACAAGACCAGATGGTAGCGACAAACTGCGCGGCGAACAGCGAGCGCTGGGGAACATGCATATAGTGGCCTATCTTGAGATCCTGGCAGAAGTATAGTGCCTGAGTCATGACGATGTAACCGAATGTCTTGAACATCATCATGGCGATGGGGTGGCCTGGTTGTACGTATCCGATGATGAACTCAGTGAAGACATTGAGACCCATTTGGATGTTGGTGAAGGCTTGGATGATGCCTATGGGAATGGTCCATACGGTCGCAATCACGAGAGATAGGATGACAGAGTACCATTTCATGCCAGTAGGGTAAGCGAGAGCGGATACAAAGGCAAAGGCAGTCATAACAGCGAGCAGTGCAAGGTACCACCATGTGGGTACTGTCTTGTACTTTCGCATAATCTTCATATGAATATCATCCAGTTCACCAGATGTGGACCTCCAGCGGCGCCAGATTTCGGAACCGTGGAAGAGGTAGGTGTGGCTGACTAGTGCAGCGATACTAGCAAAGTTCAGTCCGTAGTTGAGTGCATTAGTAGGAGACAAGAATAGAGGTGAGTATGCCTCATATTTGGTAGGGTCGACAGTGTGATCAGGATTGAGAATCCTGGAGGTGTTGTAGATTTTGCTAGTGTTGTCCAGAATGCTGTTTTGCGAGATTGACACGTAATCACCATACCAAGTGTTGCTAAAGCTCAATGCTGGGATGATGATCCAGACAAAGAGAACAACCCCAATTAAAGTATTTACGTGTGCATACCATGGACTAAGTAGCGGGCTGTTAAAGAAGGAGTTGATTTGTGCCCAATCGAGAGTAAACCCGGTAAATGGGAAGCCGAGTGCAAGACCAGTGCTTTGTCCAAAGAGTTGGTTGACAACAACATTATTGGGCTTAGCCCAAGTGACCCAAGCAAAGTAGCTGAATGCAGGAATGATCAAGTCTGGGAGCCAAGACCAGATGAACATACCGATCATGACGTACATGAACATTCGGTACCGCGAGATGGACCAACCATGGGTGGTCGTAGGGTCAGTCGGCCCGTGGTCATGGAGAGCATACAAGAAACCGACATTAACGAGCGCGCCAGGCCAAATCATGGAAGCAGGTTCAACAAGAAACTTTCGGACGGAACCTGCTAGACCAAACCCAAGACATTGGGTGGACAGAGCAAAAAGCGTGTTGAAGCCCCATCCGAACTGGCTCGTGTCGAATTTGTAGAACTTGCGGAGTGAGACAACGGTGTCGACAAAGTATCCAGCGCCACCACCAAAGGCAGCATTGGCCATTGCGACGATTATGACGTGCTCCTTGACATTGAAAGGTCCTGGGTTGAGATTTCCTTTAAGTCCGAAGATGCTAAATTCCTTGTTGGGAAGGACTCTGGCGAAGAAGATACCGATCGGATATGCGATCAACAGTACAACGTAGGGGCCAATGCTGATAAGGGGATAACGCAGCAAGAAGAGCGCGTTGACTGATGAGCAGATGGTGGTCATAAGGAGACCAATGACCCATGAGCGAATGGTGCTGGCAGGAACGTCTTCATCGTAGTTCCGAACGACAGCACGGACCTGTTGTCTTGATTAGTTCCATGTGGAGGTATTTAGACATTCTTGCAACTCACTTCAGGATATGGTGAGTTCTCGATCACTTCTCCAACGAGCTTCGACTCGCCGTTTTGGTTGTGGGTCTCAGTGGCGGCATCGATCATGTCAACCGCCTCGTCTGGCAGGTTAGGGTCCCATTTGTGTTCCTGACGGAAAGCCTTTAGGCGTTGGTTTGCCTCTGCTTCGCTGATGTCGCGAATGTCCGATGCATTGTTGCTGGATGTTTCTCCATGGGAATCATTCGTTTTTTCGCTAACAGTGACGGGGTCCTTCTCGGTGTTTGATCTCTCGAAGCCCAGCCTCTTACCAAAGCCTTTGGGCGACATCTTTTTGATGTTGGGCAGGAATAGTGAACAGAGAAGATGATCCTTGCAGAAACACCCAGGACCATGGTTCTTTATAACTGATCGTCGATGGCACGATACTTACATGCTCGACGGGTCAAGGTTTACAAACGGATATTGCCTCGGCTAGCTATCTATGGAGCAGCTTCTCGATAGAGCAATAGGCACGGCACAATGGCACCAATCAGACATCCTAGTTTGAATGATATCGAACGGGTCATGAACACTACGGCAATTTGGGGACCAACGGGGGGAAGGTTCTAACTGGTCTTCGGGACACGCCGCGCAATGGATGGATATAGAGTTGTTGGCTAAGCTTTGGTGCCTTCCAACTCCGGCATGGTCAACATTTTGGTAGCAATAGTGCAAGTCTTGATAAAGCTTAGAACGTTAGGGTTCCTTGGCCACGGTGCTTATGGTGTGGCGCGTGTTCCTCGTATCTCTAGCGCAGTCTCGGAGGCTTCGGCTTCGAAGGCCAATGGCATTCGATCACAGATCAGAAAAAGGGTGCGGGAACCGGGTTGAAGGGAAGTGTGTTTGATGTCTCATACATCATCTCTGTTGGACGATGGTTTTGTTCGAAAATCAGCGAACAATGGTTCCTGTATGCATGTCACCTTCGAGAGGGTGTATGGAAGCTTTCAGCGACATGGTTTGTGCCTGTACACGAGTCAAGCCATTGTGTCTGCAATGAGATGCAGGCCAGTGGGATAGATAAGGAGGCAGTCCTTAGATTAGATATGTGCCAACGGCCTATCATGTTTCAACTCCACCGCAACCCCATGCATCGTGGCTCCCGTAGACTGAGCATTGTCCAATGATCGATTGGAAAGAGAAGTCTATTCGGCCGACAGGTGACCGGGTGCGGTATCCAGATGACCAGGCGGGGATTGATGCATCCATCAGGGCCTGTTCGATTTCGCAATTGTGGCTTTGTTTATCGGTAGGTTGGTTGGATGCGGATAAAAGAAGCCACTGACAGTGGTGTGCCAGTGTAAAGGAATTGTAGCAGGACCCCACGGAACCCCCAGGCCTGGACGGAAATTCGCGATTCCATTTTGCTCTCTCGGCTTCGCTATACCTATATAGGTGGATGGTAGACTAGCTCTACGCTAGTAGCGCCATAGCTGTGTAGTTGTGGTGATTTCAATCCAAACGGACCCCTTCGTTCCGTTCAGTTCACCTGCCGAAACTCCGTTCCGCAGCTCTAGTGCCGTCCATACCTACCGGGCCGATGTTACAGTTACACGGCCGAACAAGCCCCTAGTCTGGATATCATCAGAACGTTGGTGATGAAGTCATCCGACCAATCTTTGATAAGAACAGTATCCGAAAGACCGTCTCTATCCAAAGCAGATCGTAAGGATGACATTGGGTAGGATCTCGTTTGTGGCTTTCGGTTCGTACTTATGTGACCAACACATCGGAATGCGCTAGTCTCGTAGCGTGCTTTGATGTGGCGTATGCTTATCAGCTGTCAGATTCCGAGTCATGTAGCGGCCACGCGACTTCACTCCGTAATTGGTAAAGGACCTCAGAGCTGTCCACTCCAGATAGACGTACTGCATTCGGTCTACCTTTTGCCTTCCATGAGCTTAGGAACATTTCAGCAAACGCTGTTTTTCCAAGCATAATCGTACCCAAGAAACCTGGGTTGTCACGTTTCCTAACTTGTGCTTAATATCCGACAACATACATACGTCCGCTATATGCTCCTCTAGCCCCCTTCCCCCTTCTCCCCTTTTCGATTTTCGCCACCTTGTTCGGCTGGTAGCACTTAATCTTGTAACGATTGAGTTATAACTGTGTAAATGAGTGTTAGTAAATGCATACTACCGTGTATTATTTGCTGCTCCTTTTTATTTTGGAAAAGAGCGTATTAAGTCCTTGTACCTATGCTACGTTTTTTTCTCTTTGCCATGTAGCTGTAGATCAGTCTTTACTGCTTCCTTCTTTAATCACACTTCAATGCTAGTATTCTTTCTAGATATAAGAATAGTAATAGTAGATATCTTCCTCTAATGCACTAATAAAATGTAATCCGCTTGTTCCATCTAAAATATTAATTCAATTACACGAACTAGTTCTCCCGCTCAAAGTTCCACCTTGACACTATAGATATAGCTACTTCTCGAAGCAGAAAATCTCTCGCAGCTAACTTCTATGCGATCCGCGCTATATAAACTAAAGACTTCTTTAGAATTATTAGTTAGAGAAATTGCGCAACAAATAATAGAGGTTCTTAGATGAAATCTGTTTAACACTTCAACTACCTCCAAGGTCTAAAATGCAACTCCATCCCCGAGCTGTAAAATTATTGAAATTAGAGAAGAAGCTCTCTTCGCGTATTTACTCGCTGTCAGTATCATAATAACTCCCAGCAGTAATCTAATCTCGCTAAAGTGACTGACACATCAGACGTCAAAGAATACAAACAAGAGATGATTAGGCGCTTTAATCGTAATGACCAGACCCTCAAATTACAAATTACAAATTATCTAGCTTGTCTTTTATAGTTCTTATGCTATAAGTCTGCCTTTGCAAGTACTCAAACTTAGAATCTCACTCTTTAGCAAATTTCTGCTCTTTCATCTTTCCCTCTAAGAAATGTGCCATGGGCGGTGAGACTAAACAAGCAAGCTTCTGACAGAGCGGTGTGACCTACTTAGTAAACATGTGTTGATAAATTCTCGTATGTTCTGCTAAAACTATCGCTCAAAGCTATCTAGTAGGTATGCATCTTTCACTGCTAAAAGATGAGTGTTGAAATGAGCGTAGTTCGCACCCTTCTACACACCAAAATAGCAAAGGAATGTCTAGTAGCAATCCTACTATCAGGATATATTGCTATCCGGATCTTAGATGCTGATTGGTAAGACAGCGTACTTTTTTTAGAGTGTGTAGTACAGTGGGGCCGGACTGTAGTGTAATACTAAGAGCACCAAAAGGAAAACGTCGAAAACTACTTTCTTGGGAAGCAAAAGTACGGACAAAAAAGCGTCCTAGAAAGGGCCTAAGAGGCGACAAAAAGCAAGACTCTAAATCATGAGCGGAACCGTTGGCCAGCCAGTTAGCATTATCTGGACCGATCTTTTTCCAGATCAAGGTGTGCTAAACCAATCATAATATTCATCTGTGCTTCTCAGGGTTGTCACAAAAACTGCAAGTCCGGAACATAGTAACACTAGAGGCAGAAATGACTTTGATTGGGGCAGAGCTCCTCTGCCACCTCTCGTATTGTCTGGGCAAAGTACAGATTTGCGTACATCATCAAAGAAAAGCCTTTAAAAAGCATACAGATTAAGTCCCAGTATCTCTTTTTCGCGCATTACGTATTATCTGTAAATGGTTATGATTGTGCACATCTCGGCTGATGAGTTACTTGTCGCCTGGAACGGTGGAAATGGGGCGCAAGAAGTGACTAAGACACTAATGATACAAACCTGTAGCCATGGAAGACTTCGTAATTACCATTCTCTAACAAAATTTCCTCAGAATTCACCCATTCGCCTGTGCTTACCATGAGGGCCTCTTGGATCTATCTTACTTTCGCCCTGTGTACGGGGGCTGTTGCCTATGACACCCAGTACACCATGAGCACGTCGGACTTTTCTGGGGTTTCTGGGAACTCGTACCAGTGCGAAAATGATAAGTAGATCCGAAAATTTAAAACAATCTGAGTTCCTGACGGATAAAATTAGGGATGAAACCTTCAGTCGCCTGTACGGACGCGTCACTCAACAACGACACCTGCTCGTGCACTTGCACAAACGGCGTCATCTTCAACCACCCTGTTCGTCACCTGATCAGGGCAGCGGGGGTAATGACGCTTCACTTGACATATGCCAGGCGGAAAAGAATCAATATATGGAGCGCGAGCGAGAGGCGATAGCTAAACTTCATGAGGCAGAGCTTGCCCACATCAGCTGCCAGGAAGGTCAGGCGGCTGAACTTGAGGCGGTAAATCAGGCGAATGCTATTTGCGAGAGCCAGCTCCAGGCCGAATTGACGAAAGCCACCCGCCTCACTGGATTCAAAAACGCGAGCTGCTGGAACCAAGTTTCTGGTCGATACGTTACTGGCAGCCGCATTGTTGATAATACAATGATACTCAAAAAATGCAGAGACATGTGTTGGGATTTTAGATATTATGGCCTTCATGATGGTAATACATGTACATATGGAAATAGTGTCGCTCCGGGGCACAGGATGTCGGAAATTGAATGCAGAATACCTTGCAAGAGTGATACGAGAGACTTTTGTGGAGGCAAGAAAACAGAAACTGTGTTCATGTTCGACCCGAGACTCGTTGTCTAACAACAACAGTACGAAGGGAAGTATGTATATCCACAGTATATAGTAGCTAGAACTAGCTACTAATATCAAAGTCAACCTTGAGCTCCAATAGTACACAGTTATATAGTTTAAATAAGTCTAGTCAGTGGCGAGATTTGGTATTGTAAAGTGCTGGTAAGAGCGCTCGCCGATTTCATAACGCAAGAATGGTTAAGTTAGGTTTTTGGCGAATGGGAGGTAGCCTCAACAGCAGTAGCACTGCCTCAAACACTCTCAATAAGCCTCCTCTCTACCACTTCTGCTGCTCAGATGTTCAAGTCTTCCTTCTTGCCTCTTGAAACAGTTGTGCGGCTTTTGCGGCATTTTCTCAACTCCTTTTCTTTGTAGTTTCTGGGCCTTATGCGCAGCCACTTCATATTCCAAGGACTCCAAGGCTTGAAAGCTCTCATCGGAGTCATGAAGATCGAATTAACTCACAGTGGCATGACACACATGGCTATCAAAAACCATGATGCGCCCTCTTATCCTAACTCTCTTCTCGACACTTTTCCAAATACCTAATCGAATCGTGTTAACGCTCAATTCTCACCGTTGCATCGACGAAACGAGCTGCTCAAGAAGACTAGCATGTACATCACACCGATTGTCCACACCAACTTCCCCACCCATCCAAAAGCTGGCCAAAACGCAATCCCGCCAATTAGTGTACCAAAAAAGCAAGATAGAAATCACTTCTAACGTCAGCCCAAATCACTGTTAAAACCACTACAAAAAGCGTTACAAGTTTCATAAAACATCCACAGTTCTTGCAAAGTACATCATAATCTACCTCCTTACTCAGAAATAGCCAAGCCGTGCATTGTGTAGTATATAGCGTAGTGGCATTGTCATTGTACACTAGTAGTTAAGGGCATTTGTTATCCGGCTATTTTGGTCCACCACACATCCGCTGCCCGCAACCGCCCAACCAAGCCCATCTTGCAACGCCGCCACAACACCCGCAAAAGATCGGGAGCGGGGTCGCGGGCGGGGACTGCAATCTCGATAAGAAAAAGTGGAGAGAAGAAAAAAAAACTCCGAGGTAACAAAATCTGATACACACACATATATATATAAGAGAATTCACATCGCACTCTTGCAAATACATCATCATCGTCACCTGTCAATACAAAACTGTACAACCCAAATTTCCCCTATCTCGCCAAACCATATACCAACAAGCTTAACCCCCCCCCCCCCCTTCCCCCCAAAAAAAAGAATAAACATGGCCCCCGCAACAGTCATGGTCCTCTACCCCCAAACCCCAACCTCGACCTTCAACGAGGAATACTACCTCGCAACGCACATGCCCCTCGCCGCAAAGCACTGGACCAAGCACGGCTTAAAAAACTACAAAGTGTCAAAGCTCAATGCCGACGGCCCTTACGCGTACTCGTCGGTCATGGAGTGGGAGAGCTACGAGGGGTTCCAGGCTGCGATAAAGGATGCAGGAACCAAGGAAATTATGGAGGATGTGCCGAATTTCAGTAGTGAAAAGGCGGTTTTGGTGCATGGCAGTGTTATTGGGGGATCGGGTTAGGATCGGGGAGGGGTAAAGACGGAGGGGTAAGCTGCTACTGCTGCTGCTTTTTTCTAGGAGGAGGGGGAAGAGGGGAGGGGCATGGTTTTTTTGCCCCGCACCGAGGTTCAATCTTTTGTGGATTTGCGGGATAAGAGTTGAATATATCGCCGTTCTGCCTCCAGCGCATTCTTTGGTCCCCCAAGTTCAAATATTCGTTTTAAGATGTAAAAAAAAACAGTTCCAAGAACGACCCTCTCTTCAACGTTCTTTTGTTACTATATGACAAAGATATGCCAAACCACTACAAAAGAAATATAAGCAGATGCATCGTTACGTCATAGGATAGAGGTTAATACCGAAAAGGCAATTATGCATGTATTCAATCAATGTCCACTACCAAGCACGCTAAGGAAAAAGTACAAAAAGAAAAGAAAGAAAATGTAGTCTAGAAAACCCTAAACTCAACTCCATCCCCATGTCTCAAGACCACTATGCAAAAATGTTTTTATCCAGACCCAAAACCAAAACTTCTAGACGCACCGAGGCCATCAAGGCACGCACTAAACTGGACAAAGGAAAAAGACACAAAAGGAAACATGTACAAGGATTGACTCCGATCTATCCAATCGGAATATTACAGATTAACCCCGATTTCAAAATTTATCAATTGCTCCCACGGCTGTAGGCCCGTTCATCGTCGCAAATGACCCTGCTGCTGGTGGTAAGAGTGTCTTGCTGCCTCTTGTGCCTGATCAAAGCTTGCGCCATATGCTTGTGTCGGTGCCTGTTGCTGTTGTTGCTGCTGGCTCACGTTGCTATAGCCTTGCATAGGCTGTTGAGGAAAGTATTGTCCTTGCGACATTTGTCCTGTTGGTGTGGTCCAAGCACCAGGAACCTGCATGTATGGTGTCGACGCCTGTTGTGGGAAATATTGCTGCTGCTGTTGATACATTGGGTGCATCTGGTTGGGTGTGGAATAACCCATAACAGATGCGCCGGATGGTGTGCCGGGACCTGTGGGCATGCCCATGACGCTGGGGGTGCCCATCACACTAGGGGTACCCATCACGCTTGGTGCTGCCATGCCGCTTGGCGTTCCCATCATGCTTGGGGCATACGTGCTTTGCGCCATGGCATACTGCTGTTGCATGTGTTGTTGCATCATCACTTGCTGACGCTGTTGGGCTTCCATGATTTGTCGTTGCTGGTTCTGCAGGGTACGCCTATCAATCTCGACTTGCATAGCTGCCGAATAACTCTGGCGATTGATTTTTGACGCAGCCCTCTCTTTTTCGCGGTTGTCAATGAGCCCGGTTAACCCTGTCGGGGGCTCCTTTTGCGACTTCTTAGAATTTTGCGAGAGGTCAAGAAGGGGCGTGTTTGTCATTCGCGCTACCTGTTCTTGTTCTCGAGCTGACAATGTCGTGGGTCGTTGCTCGAGCAGCGTGTCTACCCCGCAGCTTAGTGGACGACTAGGCGGGCGGACCATTCCTGAGGATTCGTACGGAGATCGCTGAATTTGGCTCCAATCCCCAGAAGGTGTGCGAACAAAAGGTGGAGGCGTGTGCGACTTGCTCCTCCCGTGCCCATACATCTTAGGCTGCTGCATAGACGCGCGGTGCATTACCCAATCCTGAGGATCCAACTTTTGTTTATCTGACTGATAGGTTGGGGGCGCGGCTGGTTGCCAAGGCACCTGCCGTGAATCTTGAATCTTTGAGGAGTCGGAGCCACTGCGCACATGCAAAGGCAAGTGAGGCGAATTACCTGCAGAAATATATGAAGTCCTCCTGTGCTCATTTGGAGTTGTCGCAAGGTTTTCCTTGGATCGTGAGGCACCGCCGTCATGCAGCACTTGTGTCATGGTTCCGCTAGTGCCCGGACGTTTTTCATTGAAATCTAGAGCATAGGTTGGTCCAAAGTCAATGTTGGGTACCTCAGCCGGTGCTTGGGCAGGGTCTAGTATAGACTTATATCCATGCGGGTCTTGTTCTACAGGAGCCTTCACGTTAGGGTCTCCGACGATTGTCAACACGCCACTTCTGGGGCGGTCCTCACGTCTTTGAGGAAGTCGGCGTGGGGGAGGCTGTGGTTCCTCTTCAACAATGCTAGCATAGTCTGGTGTTGACGTAGATGCAGCATCATCTTCGTAACGACTGCTCGATGCGCTGGGCCGACGGGCCAAAGTTGCCTGAGCTATGTTGAGAGCATCGAGTGCTTCGAGGTCGATTACGTCGTGTTGTAAACTGTCGAGTCTTGAGCTATTGGTCGATAGAGTGTCATCCTCTTGCGAGGCGAGGGGAGACGGACCTGGCAGTGGCTTGCGTGTGATGCTGCCATTTTCCGGGTGGGGGCGGAAAGGAAGCTCTTGGCTTTGTGGCTGCTGCGGTAACTCACTATGCTCTGGGACAGGCGGGGCAACTGGTTGGTAGGTATTTGGAGGATCAACAAACTCCGAATGCTCAACATAAGGCGACGCAGGAATAGTGGACAAACGGTTGATCGAGTTTTGATTTGTTGGAGGTGGTCTTGAGGTGACGCCGAGAGACATCATCTGTCCTTGGTCAGCGTAATCGCCGCTTCGCCTGCTTTGAATGCTCTCCTGGCCTCTCCAAGCCACGACACCGCTAGAATAAGCCAAGCCGGGTTGCAATGGTGCATGCACGGCATCAGCCATTTGCTGAAGTGTAGCGGAATCAACAGCTGGGTTGGGCTTTGCCATGGGAATGTTGGGCCGGATGGGCGGCTTCTGGTTGGCGGCATGCTCCTGGGTTGGGGGTAGATCGACGTTGCCCTGGGGCAGAGCAGCCAAGTCTGTAGGAGGCGGCGGCAGGTCATGTGGTTCTCTCGAAGGACTTTCATCGTAATCTGAACTGTCATATGGTTGTACAGCCCCGTCTGGTGGAGTCACGTTGAATATACGGTGTTCAGGGGGCGTTGGTGGATTTTCGTCTTCAATCGATGCTTGATCTGGCACAAACCTTGATGATGTCGTTTGGCTGCGACCATTGACTTGCTCGGATACAGAACGTTGATGGCGCGGGGTATCAAATGGGTCTGCAGCTGGCGCAGTTCCGACCCGACGCGGTGGTTGCACTTCAAGGTCCTGGAGTGTCTTCCTACTAGGTGATGACTGGCGCGTAGATGGGCTGGAGCGGACCGAGCCGTGATCCTCGAAACGTAAGCCACGAGGAGTGAAACCGGCACGACCCACGGTGTTTCTGCGGCTAGCTCGATTGTATACGGAACCAGCGTCAGAACCCAAAGTGTTCATACGAGTCGAGGTAAGATCCTTCAACTGTTTTCTCCACTGACGCTCCGACCATTTGTCGCTGCCTTGTGTGTTGATCAAGCCCACGACGTCCCACATTTCCAAGTATCCGTATCGTCGATCTGACGGCATGGCAAACATCAATCCTCGAGTGTCAAGAACATCGGCGATTAGCTTCTTGGGCCGTCCGTACAAAGCGAACGTGTCAAAAACGGGGAAGAGAAACTGAAGCATGATTTCGAAGCCTGAAATGGCGGGCCGTGTTTCTGGTAAAACAAAGACAAATCCTTCTGTTGTGCTCTCTGGGTTCGAGTGAACAGTAATCTTGCCCTCAATCTTGACCAGGGTGGATTGGTCAATGAGCGGTTTCGATTGCGGGTAAATGGCATAGCACGAGTATGCGTCCTTGACCGTGGCAATGGCCTTTGTTCTCTTAGTGACTTTTTTGGTGTCGTAAAATTTGATATCGCCTTTCAGAACTGGTGGTCGCTCGTAAGAACTACCCTTCTTGTGCATCTTCTGTAGCTTCATCCACTCCTTTTCGTCCGGTGGAGATACGACGCACCAGCAGCGACGCCAAGGAGTGCCAGCTCCGAAGCGAACGCGGACCCAGTCTTCGTACTTTGCGCACTGTCGGTCTAGTATGACACGGATGTTGTTGAGTGACTTGCCCTTGCCTGCAATCAATGCGCCTGTGTATGCCTCGGAGAGAGTAGTGTGTTCGAACATGGCCAGGCGGATGCCAGCAGTCCATTGCGTTAGGGCGTGGTACGAGTCAAAATGAAAGAGGTACTTGTTGCTGGCAGCTGTTGACACACTGAGAATATTGTCAAGCTTTTTGCCATCTTTGAGCGTCATGGAAGGAATCTAGCTAGGTTAGTAATGGCCTGCATAGCGATGTCGGAGATAGGGAATTACCATGTGAATCGCGGCATCGGTAAGGTTGATAAATGTCGGTATCACCTCACCCTCGCCGCCTGCTTGATCAAGCGCACTCGCATCCCACAGCGAAAGAATGGTGCCCACAAGTTGGACAAAGTACTCTTGCCACTTTCGGTCTGGAGGGGGACGGCCGCCTACATGCTGTCAGTGTCACAGGCCAAGCATGCGTAACATGGTGGGTCGACGTACGAGAATCGGTGTCATGAAACTTGAGAAAGTAGCCTTCCTGGTACAGCTTGTTGGAATGGCTGTTGAGAAACATGAAGATGCGCTGCAGCTCAGGTAACGTGTCCTGGCTCACCTCCATGACAGGTGGCTGGTATGTCTGAATCATGGACATGGGGCGTACAGAGGCTCGCGAGTCACTACGCTCGCGCCCAGCGGTTCGAGAAGGTGGGCGCTCGTTGTTGTAGCTTTCGAGGGCGGTGGCGGAGTGGGTGAGATTTGGCGAGGCTCCTTGCTGTCTCATTGCAGGTGAAGGTGGAGCGGCGGGGGAGGTGGAACCTGGAGAGGGTCCAGCAGAGGGAGGGTTCTTGTGCAGGGTATTTGGTAGGCCACCCCATTGTGACATGAAAGAGAGGACTGTAGGGGGCGAGCGGGGCGCAACGTTAGCAACTGTTTGTTCCAAAGGCGACAACGGGGGCATGCTGAAGCGCAGGAAAAGGGTTGCAGCGGGGCGCAATATTTACCTCTCTTGGGTCGACCCATGGCAGCGACGAAGGAGAGGGTCTAGGGAAGTGAAGTAGAGAAACGGGCAAATCGCGGATGAATAATGCAGGTACTCTGGAGCAGCGCGTGCAGTGTCGATGGTACTGGACCAGTCGCGCCAGCCACAAAGGACACGGCTCACTCAAGGGGCGTCGACAGCAGGGACAGAGGCGATCTTGGGGGGGGGAACGAGCGACGGGAGGAGTGAGGGGATACGGCGGGAGACAAAAGGATGGGGAGGAGAGATTATCGGGGCTAGAGGGAGTAAAAGAGCGGTAGATGTATGTAGTGCATACCGGAGCAGCGCGGTCATGTTAGACTTGTGGAGGAATTTCTGGGCGCATGGCAGGGATGGCGCAGACTATGACGCGGAAGGGTTCAAACGATCGGCGAAAGAGTAGGCCGTCGTGTTCAACATGGACCCAATGCGGCGCCATCAAAGGTATGCCATCATGACCGACTGCATACCACGACATTCCCATGGTCCTGACGACTCGATTCTCTAGAGCCTCTTGAACACACGACGCCTTGGACGGGCGCGCTTGGCGGCAACGGGCTGGCAGCCTCCTAATGCAGCGCTTGGTCCGAGGACGACAGTGGTCACAGCACGCTTATTCATTGGTCTAGAGCCGTATTGAAGCGCATTCGGACGCCCGTGCTAGACTAAAAAGGCCGCTGCCCACTTGTGCTCGGGCAGTCGGCACCGATGTCATCTTGTACGGTGGTGAGGGTGGCTATGATGATGTTGTGGCAGTGCAGCTTGGCCTTGGTACGGCCTTGGTAATATTTTGTTTTTTGCGCTGCAGGTGCACGCAATCCAAGAATGGAATCCGGGGTATTAGTATTTTCCCTGGCACTTCCATGGGCTGATCACATGTCCAGCAGCCCCCCAGTCAGTCCAACATGACCCTCGCCCAATCTTGCTACTTACTACTACTGTAAGTACACACATACATACATGCATACATACTATACTATGCAACCTGCTTACTACCCATGGAACACCGCAGCCCAGGCCGACTCTCCGCAGGCAGACCCAGCCACATGCCACGTGACCTGTCACGTCTGCCGGCGACCCGTAGCTTTGGTTCTGCCCGGTGGCCGATAAGTAACGCGTCGGGTGATCCACTTTTACCATAACGCGTCTGTTCACTCTCTGCTACCGAACCCTTTCCACTTCTGCCATCGCTTCTGTCGCCAACTAATTAGCTTTACGCCTGATTTCCCTGTCATAGCACGTCTTGCGCGCCTTGGATCTGCACATTACAGCTAGCCCAGCCGCCGTCTAACCACCGTCCATCAGGCCCATACCTTTTCTGCCTGCGCTACACTCCCGTCGCAACCCCCACCATGGCCCGCAAACGCAAAGCTACCCATGGCCATGCAGCCCACCCACATGGCTCAAAAGCCCCCGTCTCCAAGAAGCAAAAAGTCGATTGGTCTGCCATTGAGGATTTCAAAGGCTTCACCATCACGGCTGCCAACATCAAGCCTCACAAGAAGTCCGTTGCTGCCGCTAGCAAGAACAACAAGACGGGCGCAGAGGTCAAAATCCCAAAGTATCCGGGTCAAGATGCGCCCTTGGATGCCAGCGTCATACAGCAGAATCCTTTTCCTGAAGCTAAGCTCAGCACCGTTCACGTCAAAATCTCGCCTGCGCTGCACTGGGAGAGTACCACTCGCTACCGAAAGTTCACCATCAACAGCGAAGAGTTCCAAGTAAATCAACTAGTCTTTGTCAAAAGCAGCGAAGATTCAGATGGCGCCAACCCGCCTAATTCCGTAGAGGGCTGGCTAGCCAAAATCTTGGAGATCCGCGCCGGCGATTCCTCTCACGTATTCCTCAGAGTCTTTTGGGCATATCGGCCAGAAGACCTACCCGGCGGCCGCCAGCCCCACCATGGCGCCAGCGAAATCATTGTCAGCAATCACATGGACATTATCGAACCTCTGACTGTCCAGTCTCTTGCCGACATGGTGTACTGGAACGACGATCCAGACAGCCTACCGCTGCCGGTAGACCAGTTGTTCTTTAGGCAGAGCTACGACATCACCAAAAAGAGTAATCCATTCAGCGTAAGAGTATTATTGCCCGTATGCGTCATTGTTTACTGACAGCCTGGCAGGCACTTAACAAGTATTGCATCGACAAGCAACCAATCAACCCTGACGAGCTTCTGGTCCAGTGTCCGCATTGTTCAGACTGGCTCCATGCCCGTTGTCTCGAGCAGCAAGCGATCCGGGATATACGCGAGAAACACAAGAAGAGGGGCCGGCCCAATAAGCGTGCAAAAGCAAACAGTGACGACTTGGCTGCGAAGCCTAGCCTTGACGCTAAACTGAGCGCCTTCGACACTGGCAAGACTCGCCTTACAATTACAGAAAACTTCACATCTGAGGATAACACAAGACAATGGAACGTTGATATATTATGTTTGGTGTGCGGCAAGGTCATTGAGACGGCAGAAGATGCATTGAAGTCAGCTGATTCTAGCGCCTCACATGATGTAGCCGAAGACACGGAAAGCGAAAACGTTACAGTTGCTACCACCGCCAAAGACGGCCCTCCACAGGACACGGTAAAGAGCGACCTTGATGCTGCACCAACAGACCCAGCCAAGACGAATGGTGAGACCGTCAAATCATCCTCTCCCGTCTAAACCAACTAAGTATGTTCTTCGCAGCGTCAAAAAAGAGAAGCCGTCCACCCGGATCTACCAACCAAAAGAGGAAACGTATATCCACGAGCCCGGAAAGCAAGGCTATTCTGCCCCAAGCCAAATCTCTCAAGATGATGACTGCAGACGAAGAAGAAAACAGCGCGCCGGATGCTGCTGTTTCCGCTACTACGATGCAGGACTCACCAAAGCCGACGACGACAACCACTACTACTACCACTACGACAGCAACATCAGTGTCTCCAGATGCAACCAAGACAACTACGCCCGAGCCAGCGCCCATGCACGAAACCGTATTTCAATCTGGCGTACTTTCCGTCCAACAATTGCTTTGGGGATCGTAAACTTCGCTAAGATAATGTACCTTTTTCTTCTTCTTCTTCTTCTTCTTCTTCTTCTTCTTCTTCTTCTTCTTCTTCAACCAACCCTACCTTTTTTCTTGTACTCACCATTACATGCTGTGGTAAAAAGGACTCGTTCCACTTTCTACCCCCCCTTTTTTTTGTAGACGTTGCTGGGAGGAATTCTTTATCGAAAATGCATCTCGATTCGAGCGTGGGAGGAAAATTTCTGCTTTTTTCTTCTTTCTTTCTTTTGGATTTGGTTTGAGGAAAATGGATGATATTTGAAGGGAGGACATTGAATACTACATACGTAGTGTACTAGAATCGGGTACAGGATGTGCCCTCTTTTTCCATGAAGTACCAACACTGTTCTCCCCCTTTTCTCACACTTACACATACTTACTCTCTCTCTCTTTTTATATCTTGTCGCCCAAATCGTGAAATTCTCTTCCGCTCACCACTGAGGACCATATTTTGACTTTTGCAGCCCACACAAGATATACAATTACACCCTTCTTCTTCGCGAGCAAACGATAGCACAGTATCAGCCAAAATATAAAATAAAAAGACAGAAGATGCATAGTATACTTCATTTGTTCATTTTTTTCCATTCTTCCCTTCCACCATCGCTATCCCCCCCCCTCATTTTTCTTCTCTCCTTCGGAGAAAGAAAGAAAAAAACAGACTGTAGAAAAAGAAGACAAAGGGTATATCCACCTAATATCCCGACTACGAAGACGAAAGAAAGAAAGAAGACTTTGAAAAACATAAGTCCCAAAAGAAGAAGAAGATGATGAAAAACGCCATCGCTGAATGCTGTTTATGCCTAACACGGTATTTCCCATTTGCCCATTTGCCCCTCATTTCCCGAGTCTCGGAAGTTTCCCTGGTAAGCAATCCCCCATATCTTTCCTTGTTTTTTTTTTCGTTGGGGAGGAAAAAAAGAAAAAATCCCCACGTCTTCCTCATCCTTTTTCAAGGTTGAAGGAAGAAGGGTAATAGTAGTAATCCGATAATGCCTTGATCAATAACACCGTAAAATGCATATTTTCTCCTTCCGTCCCCACCCCATAGCTCACTTCTCTTTCATTCCCACACTCATCATGACTTCGCCTGGCTTAATCTCCTTTTCCACACACATAGCTAGTTCATACGTCATAACCACCTCTCCCTTTTATCGCTTTCGCTCAATAGGCAGTTTACCTTTTCCAAGCTTCATCTTAACAATGAGACGCGGTCTGTCGCTTCCTCCGCGCTCCACACTGACCAAACTGCTCTTGGGGGTGCCACCATTTATGCGCACGCCCGTCTCGAGGCTCTGGCGCTTGAGGGGTCGGTCGTCGTCGCCGCTGCCGAGGATCAACTTGCGTTTCTTGGTGTCGCCTGTGAAGCGTGAGAGGAGGCGGGGTGCGAGTCGTAGCTTGACGATTTTGCTTCGCTTTTGCTTGATGATGGGTCGGGCAACGGGACCAGGTACGGATGCAGTCGGGCGAGGTGGTGGGACAACGGTCGGTCGAGGCGAAGGGGCGGCGCTGGGACGTGGTGAAGGGGCTGCGCTTGATGGCCTGGAAGTTACAGTTGAGCCATTGGCAGTCTTTGTCTTGATCTTGAGTTTGGGGGCAGGTAGGGGAACGGGCGATGACATGGTTGGCGTGGACACGGACTTTGGTATTTTGACGGATGCAATCGCCGGTTTTGATTGAACAGAAGCTGATTTGGGAGTTGGTACGGAGACTCTTGGTGGCGGGACCGGAGTTTTGGTGACTATCTTCGGTGCTGGTACTGAAGCTGCAGTTGGAGCAGTAGCCGATACTGGTGCCGGGGTCCCTGCTTTGGGTGTTGCTGCTGGAGTAGACACCTTCTTCATAGGTTGCTGCATCAATGGTATCTCTGGTGTCGAGGCTCGAGAGTCTGGCTGGGCAGATGTAGGAGCAGAAGCGGCGGCAGGCTGGGATGGCTGAGATGGCTGAGACTGCGGCTGTGATTGTGACTGCGACTGCGACTTTGGCTGCGACTTTGGCTGCGACTGCGGCGCTGGAGATGGCCTAGTGGACTGAGAAATAGGAGATGGCGAATAATGAACGGTAGGAGAAAACGCCATCGATTGACTTCGCGACTTGGTATGCATAGAGTCGACAGCTGTCGGTGGGGACGATGCACTCTTGTTCTTTAGCAACCCACCAATCTTTAGTGACAATTTCGGCTGGCCGGTTGGCTTCACTACTGGCGGCACTGGCTCTCGTAAAGGAAGAGGTGGAGCAACCGGAAGAACTGGAGCAGGGGCTGGAGCAGGGGCTAGAGCAGGGGCAATCAAAGGCCGCTTGGGAGTTGTCCTATATTTCTTGGTCTGCTTGAAGCGCAGCACGGCTTTTCCGAGGTGCTCTACAGTCCAGTAACGTGGAAGGGCCAATTTGACTGGCAGCTTGTTGACTTTTTGGTTGTCAAAGATCATATCGCATATGTCCAAGATCTCAGACATGTCGTTGACAGATAAAGTTGTGGACTTGAGTGCCTCTTCGAGTACCGACCGCAAAGTCTTGTTTCCTTGCAAGTCACTCTTCAACCCTCTCAGGGCCCCGTTAAGGTTCTGACGAGCAAGGGCGGAGGCGCGTTCGGCGTTGCTCGCTTCATTCTCAACCACCAGCGTGTCTGCAGCAGTTTCGGCAGCCTTTTCTGGCGCCCAAACATCGCCAGTAGCCACCTGTCCGATGGCAAGGCCAAGAATACGTAGCATTTGCTTTCTGAAGTATGGTGAAGGATCAGACCGAATCTCATGTACCAGAAACCTCATGACCGAATCTTTGCGGAACATGCCCAGCCGAATGAGACACTCCCATGCTTTTAAGCGCACATTGTCTGCATTCCCTAGTTGCGCATACTGCAGAAACTCGGTAGGTTTGAAGGGAGTCACTCGGCTTGTAACCAGCTTGAACGCACAGTCGAGCGCAGTGGTCGTGTACACGTTCTGGTATGTAGGGATCCATTCGTCAAGCCTCTGGTGTCGAGTAAGCTCTCCAATAGCCTTGTTGGTAAAGTCCTGTTCCTGCGCCCATTCTTCGTGGCTGAGCTCAGAACCTATATTCGTCTTGGTCAGGGTTTCGGCCAGACATCGCATCAGTGTGGCAATGTAGTGGTCGTCGCTGTAATCATTTCCGCGGTTGTCGTTGTATCGCACAAGATCCAGTAGGAAACGCTTAGCCTCTAGTGGTGATCTGCCGTCTTCGCCCTTGATCTTAGCAATGGCCCGAGGAATAGCGCATTGTATCAGATACATGCTGCGGTCAGAAAAGTCGTTTGATCGAGTCATTGGCGAGTTTGGCAAGCAGAACAGCTCACGAAAAGCCTTCTTCAAGTGGAAGAGTCCAACCCACTGAGTCCGCTTCAGCGCGCTCTGGGCAAGGACCATGGCAGCCATAGTCCGTATACCGTGAAAATACCGATTGTCCATTAACGTCTTAACCAGGAAAGTGGAGATCAAAGGGTGGCCCTCTTTGTTGGCAAGAAACTGTATGGACTCTGCTTGTGCAACAACATCCTTGTCCTGCTGCAACTGCGAGACGTACATGTACGACGGCATGTCTTCAATATTGGTCCGACATATCCATTCAAAGTCTGCGTCGATGCGGATCCACTCGTACGCTTCCCCCTCCTGCTTAGCTTCGTCTTTCTGTGGCCAATCGTCGAGTCGCCACTCTTCGTGTTCTTGGGGTGAAGTAAACAGGTCTCCTAACATGTAAAATGTGACGTCTTCTTGTGTTTCGCCGGAAGCATCGAGACCAGCGGCAGCGGCCATACGCTCCTTGTTTAATCGATTCCTTTTTAATCGCTTGTATTTGGTATTGTACGGAATCTCAACTTTGACATTATTCGAGTTGATGTCGACAATATGCTCATAGGGGGTGCCATCGGCTTCGTGGATCCTGATAGTCATGGGGCCTACGAAAGTGGGATATCCTGTTGCTGACCGCAAGTCGCGAGATTTCTGTTTCGCTTCGCGCATGAAGTCATCTGCCGCAAGACCGTTCTCAATTGTTGTAATGGATGAGTCGGCTTGGAGCTGTTTGATGGTAAGCTGAACCACTTGCTTCTTCTTATTGAACGAAGGAACACAGTGAAATGTGGGGCACCCTGCGCCTACAATCCACTGCTGAAAGAAAGATTCGAGCTTCTGGTGGCCTACTTTCTCGCAAATATCAAGAAAGTCATCAGTGGTGACGGCGCCGTTGGGGTACTTTCCTTGCCGAGCATTAAACAGCATCCGGTACAAGCACCTGTCAACACCGTTCTTGCCGCTCTGTTTTACCAGGCGGTTATGCAGAATAGAGAGGACCATAAGCGACTTGAGTTCCATAAATTCGGCCTCACGAGGATCCAACTGCATGTGCTCTGCAAGTTGCTGAAGCGACGGGCGCTTGCGGTCCATGTAGATGACCTTATCTACCATCAATTTTTGCCTGAAGCGCCAGTCATTCCGACCAAAGAGTTCTTTGAGGTACAGTTCGGCCATGAACCACGAGCCACCAACGATGATCCAGTAGTCTTCTAGATTGTGTGCGATAACATCCACGCCTATCCACTGGCTAGCTACTGCGTGTACCAATACCCTGGTCGTGTGCTCGAGTGGCTCCCAAACGGTTTCCGGGAAGAGCAGGCGCGAGCTGCAGATTGAAAACGAGGCTGTGTGCGCAGTATCGCAATCCAGATCGTCTACAAATGCGAGTTTGTAGGAATTCCCAAAAGCATAACTTTGAAATCGCTCCGTGAAGGTATCGAGAGCTCGAGCGAGCATCATGGCGCTGTTCCGGACCTCGTTCTCCTTACCGGGCAAGCAGAATGCGTGGACTTTGATAGCATTTTCGCCCAAGCGCTCGTCATCCAGGGTATCACGGTATTCGGAGAGGTCGACATGTTCGAAAGGTCCGATGACAAAGCCAATGTGCTGGGGGAGGACGGGAGTGTCGCATGAGAAGCTTGCAGTCTTTCGGGCTGGGTCGGCAGGATCGAGAATCTATGCACGTTAACAAAGCATACGCAATAAACGGGGGAAGGTACTAACGTCATCGGTCAACGTGCCGGAACAAATGACTTGCATTTCCATGGCCTTCTCTTCCTCGGATAGATCAGTTTGCTCATCATCCACATCCAACATGACACTGTCGGCTTTATCGACTCCATCGGCTGGTGATCCATTAGGGTTCGCATTCGGTGGCGAGGGTTTGCTGAGAGCATCGCCCAGCGTGCGCGGGTAGCGAATGGAGACTTCGAAGATACACCTCGTCTCACCGTCGTCTATACAGGGAAACAGGCAAGATGCGGTACCGGGGAAAGATGAGTTGCGCGTATATGCATGCGGGAAGCGAGCGTCTCCATCTTCGACACCGACAAAGTGAAGCGCGTCCCGGAAATCTTCTAGTTCATATTCGATCTCGAGCTTCAGCGGCGCGTAAAAGGTGCCTGGTGCGTCATCCGTCATGCCAGCCTCCGAGGGCTTCACTTCCCGAATCCTGACCCTGTCAGGCACTGTAATGACCAGCTCGTCCTCGGCGCCGGAGGTGTGTCGCGCTATGCGCTGCTTGAGGAAGTGATACTGCTCGAGGCCGGTGCCGGGGTAGAGGGTTAGGCGCTGGTGCAGATTCGAGTAGCTAAAGGCGGCCTTCTCGCCTTGGATACGGATGCTCGTGGGACGGAGTTGGCGGCAATTGAGGGTGATGTCTCGCAGCTGGGCCTGGTCGGGCTGGATGTCGAGCGTGGTCAGGCCCTTGACCCGGCGCGGTGCAAAGCTGAAGTCGAGCTCGAGCTGCTGCTTCAGCAGGGTAAAAGAGTCGCCCGACGAGGCGTCGTCCATTGCATCGGCGAGCTCGAGGGGCGCCATTATGGGCGGCGCAGGCAGTCCTGGCTCCCGGGTGTGCGGCCGGGCTGGGGAGGGGCGGAAGGCAAGGGGCGCTGGGTCGAAGGCTGCGGTCGTTGTTGAGGGCACGCCCGGCTCTGCCATGCGCGTTGTTCGGGAGTATCGCGACGATGGACGCTAACATACGTGGCCCGTGCATCTACACTAGGCTGGCGCGCTTTCACTTTCCCCGACGTCACAGCTCCACCCAACACCAGTTCACGTGTTGGGATATGCTCAATATGTATACCATTTTCACTTCAACGCTCTCAGCTTAATAGTCAAGACTTCTAGTAACGATTATAGATCTCACATCATCACGAATACATCTTAGGCCAAATCATATCACTATGTCCGTACAGCGAAAAACCCCGTACGAGCAATATCAAAATATCATACCTATATTGAAACAGATTTCCTTTCCAACCCCAAGAATCACGTGAACACCCTCTTCCGCATTCCCACCTCCAACCCCACCGGCTTCCTCAAGAAACCCTCTCTAGTCTCCATCTCCTCCTGCCTAAGCTCAAACTCATACCGCCTAAACACCGTCGCAACGATCAATGCCAGCTCCATCTCAGCGACGTTTCGGCCCACGCAAGCCCGTGGACCATAGCTGAATGGAATGAACGCCGCCTTTTGCTTCTCTGTGATGTTCTCCCAGCGTTCGGGACGGAACGTGTCTGCGTCGGGACCCCAGATCTCGGTGGAGTGGTGGATCGTATAGGCTGGCACGGAGAGAACGGTGCCTTGAGGGAAGTGGTGACCGAGAATCGTGATGCCAGGACCAGGAGGGATGAGGCGCGGAAGTCCGAGAGACGATGTGCTGTGGATGCGCATCGCCTCTTTAATCACAGCGTCCAAGTATGGAAGGTCCTTGACTTGAGCATAGGAGGGGACGGCATCTGGGTCTGGAAGCGCAGTGTCCAACTCTTTCTGTAGCTTTTTGACAACTTCAGGGTGTTTGAGGCAGTGGTAGAGGAGGGCGCACGAGGTGTTGGAAGTAGTGTCTGAGCCGGCAATTAGTTGAGTAAGGGCTTCTGCTGTAAGCTCTTCACGACCGAGTTTGTTGCCAGTTTCGTCGCGGCCCTCCATCAAGCGGGCGAGTAGGTCCACACGGTCGGACGGCTTTTCAAGACGAGCGTTGACACGAGCGATGGCGATACCAGCAAGATTCTCGATGGCCTTCATGCCTTGGCTGAAGAATGGGTCCGGGAAGTACTTTGCATAGGGCTTGATGGCAGGAAAGATTCCGACAGTTCTGCGACATGTTAGTCCATCATGCCAGCCAAAAGTTACAGACAGTAATTTAACATACCCGCTGACCTCTCCCCTTCGGTTCAACACCTCGATAGCCGGTGCATATGTAATCTTTCCATTCCTGGCGACCTCAGCCTCATCTTTTCCCTTCTTCAGCATGCCGAAAGGCTCTCCAAAAGCCAAGTCACCAATGACATCAAAGGCGAGGTAGTTGAACCAGTTCAGCGCATCCATGTTATACCATCCTCCGTTGTTCTTGGCACCATCAGCTCGGCGATCCCACTGATTCTGCAATTCCTGCAAGTTGTGGTGAATGTACTGTTCGAACTGCAGCACACTTTTGGCAGAAAAGGTGTGGGCGACCGTCTTCCTCTTCCTGGTGTGCTCAGCACGATCCCGAGTGTTGAACAGCCCTCTCTTAATCGATACGAAAGCGTCGTAGTAGTCGCTCTTCAAGAAGCCGTTGCCATGGCCGTAGACTTGGGTAATGGCGTCTGCATCAGCAATGCTGACATGGTGAGGCTGAATGCGAACGAGCTTTCCAAGCTTTTTGTGTGCTTCGTGAACGGCAAGGAAGCGCTTCCCGCGGCGGCACTGGTAAAGCAGCCAGAGATTAGTCCAAGCGGCCGGGAATGGCGCCGGTATGTCGCGGATCTGCCAGTTCCGAAGGTATGGGAGAAGATAGAAGAGAACCGGCAGAAGGAGTATGGTATAAGGCGTCAAGAGAAGTGATGTTAGAAACATTGTTACCAACGAGAGCGAGGGTTCGCAAGCAACGTAAGGTCAAGGGACAGCCGTCTGCTAGTTGTTTATAGCACTGAGTTCGAGCGTCTTCACCTGTGGGGTAATGCTGTGCAAACAAAGGAATCCCACTGCTCTCCTTCCTTGCGTCTGGACGTAGACTCAGCCATCCTTATACTTTCCCGCTCGTGCCTCTCCATGGGCATAATCTCCCCGTCAAGCAGGCTTGTGGAGCTTCGTCGTTGGTAAGTTCCGATGCCGACACGCGACGGATAAACGTCAGACCTCAAATCTGCGGCAATACTGTTGTAAGCTTTTGTCGGCAGCCAATCACATGGCTTCAGTATCCTTTTTACAATAGCCGTGTCGTGATTCCGAACGACCTGTAAACCCGGCTCCAAGACCCCGCCTTGCACTAGTGCGCCGAGTATTCCCCGCGTTTCTGTCGTCTTCATCGGGAGACGTTGCCAACGGCCAGCAGCCGATCGCACTTGCTGCTGTCCGAGAAATATGCGCAGAAAGACCCACATGGTGGTGAATGCACTGTGTGAAAGCATCAAGGAATGACGTGCAGCCTGCTGTTGTAGTACAAGACTAACGACCTATCCGCCGCATGTATGCGTTGTGCGACCCCAGAATCGGGAATATTGCGGAAATAGACGCGCCCTGTGCGCCGAAACGAAGCGCATGCAAAGTCAGCTCAGCAGCGTCATCAAGTGGGCCGACAAGGTGCGATGTTTCGAAGAGGGTATTAAGTACATTAAGAAACCAAGACTATCTAGATGTGTGAAACCGTCTTCCAACTGCAAAAGTTACTCGAGTTAGTCAGACAGGTATTAGGGCTGCCCGTTGCTACTAACAGCAAAACGCCTAGTGGTATCATGCCTGCGAATCATCCATCCATTCATCCATGCCCCTTTACTATAACCTGTGTATATTCTCCAACAGAATGTATACTTTAGTTGTTGTCTTCGTCATCCGAGAAAAAGTTCAGGATAGCCTTGACCGCCATAGGGCCCAGCCCATGAGGCGGATAGCAGATATAACTCGGGTCGTCCGTCGCGCCCAGCTTCTCGCGAAACTCGGTCTTGTTGGTGAGCTTGAGCTCAGTTGCAATCGCGTGGTATGCGCGACTGAGGACCTTGACACGCGTACCCTTGACATTGTGTCCAGGACTGAACTTGGAGCTAGCACCACCGCCAAAGGTGACGCTTGTAGCGCCGCTTGCTGCGACTTGCTTGAGAGCATGTGTGACGACTTGCTCAATGGAGCCACTGGGTGCGCCGGGGAAGTCCAGAGAGTATTTGACTTGCCAACCGTGGTCTGGCGACAGCTGGGCCATGGTGACAAAAGCAACAATGGTACCATCAGGTGCAGTTGCAACGTGATACTGGCGATGCTCCTCGTCTTGCCATGGGTGAATATTGGTCAAATGAACCTGCTTGCCCTTGCGATTCTTCAGCCAATCCTCCACACGAGCATCGACCTTTTGCTTGACATCTGGCGGTGGTGGCGAGCCGAGAGCGTAGTCGGTAATCTTAACCCCCTCTTTCTCAGCATGGCGAATCTTGCGCTGCACATCCGAGTCCTTGTCGGCAGGGTTGTGTGCAGGGTCAACGCGCTGCTCTCCAGTAACGGAGAATGTGCGCCAGTTGAACTTCGTTGCCAGAACCTCCTCGGCTGCCGATCCTACAAGTAGCCAGAGCGGCTTAAGGTTGCGCTCCTTCTTGATATATCGGAGATAGCCAGACATGGTCTTGAGGTACTGCGACTCGTGGCACAGAGGGTCACCAACGGTGATAGCGAAGCCATCCTGAGGCACGAAACCAACAGCTGCACCGGTGTTTTCGTCTCGCCAGATCTCTGTGCGGGGCTCCAACCATGATGTATTTGTGGCATCTCCGTAATTGGCGATGAGCTTCTCAATGGGTTGAAGGTCTATCTTTGCGACAGCGCGGTCTTGTCCCTCCCACGGAGGGTGCATCGTGCTTGCCTCTGGGTGGCGTAGCTGTTTGATGACTGGTTTCTCTGGCAAACTCTTTGGATCGCGAGGGAACATGGAAGCATGACGAATGTTTCCAAGGCCCATCATCAACATGAGGATACGCTCGAGACCAATACCACCACCGCCGTGTGGTGGTGTACCCCATTGGAAGGCCTGGATATAATCTTCCATGGAACTGGGGTCAATCTTGAGCTTGCGCATCTTGTCCAGTAGCATATCAGCGTCGTGGATACGCTGACCACCACTCAGGATTTCTTGGCCTCGACAGAATATGTCGAATGAATTCGTGAGTTTGGGGTTGTTTGGGTCGCTCATGGCATAAAAGGGTCGAGCGTTTGCTGGGAACTTGTCCAAGACGTAGTAGTCGGTGCCTAGCTTCTGCTTGATAACACGGCCAAGCTGGACCTCGTCCCTGGTTCCCAAGTCTTCGTTCTCGTCAAGCTCGTTTCCATCGTCATCCCTCCACCCAGACTCATTCAACATACGAACACCTTCAGCGAATGGGATGATGGGGGTCTCATCAAGCCAGACCAAGTCCTCGTGTGGGAAGTGCTTTTTGATGATTTCAATCTCAGGGCGATACTGCTCATAGATACCCTTAAAGATGGCCTTAAACGTGCGATCCAGCACACGCAAGACTTCGTGGTAGTGTTCGTCAATCTGCATCTCGAGATCGAGACCGGTGTATTCAGTCAAGTGTCGGTAGGTGTTACTGTTCTCAGCACGGAACACGGCGCCAATCTCGTACACCCTGCCGAAATCCGCAGAGATGGCCATTTGCTTGGCCAATTGAGGGCTCTGGGCTAGGAAAGCGCCACGGCCGAAATAGTCAATCTTGAAGACACTGGCGCCAGACTCTGTTGCACCACCTTGCAGCTTGGGTGTGTGGATTTCAATGAACCCCTCTGTGTCCAAATGCTCACGGAACAGCCTGCAAATTCCAGACTGAATGCGGAAGATGCCCTGCGATGCAGTTGTCCTTAGGTCGATTACGCGGTTGTTGAGACGAGTGCGGTCTGCAATCTTGACTCGGGTATGTCCCTCCTTGCGTTCCTCGCCGGCCAGCTTAGCGGCTTCAGCGTCGACCTCAGCCTGGGATACCTCGGCTTCGTTGACGTTGAAGGGAAGGTGGTCTGTAACTGAGGCTTCGACGTGCAAAGCGTGGACTGAAATCTCGACGTCGTGGATGGTGGCACCAAGGACCTCGCCCTGCTTGGCCTTGGGTTCCTGCAGGATACCCTTGACAACAACCACCGTCTCGGCGTCGAGATGCTCTGCCCAGTACAGCATGTATTTGGAAATATCTGCGTGCTCCATAAGAACGCCCTGAATGGTAGCGAGCTGCTGGCGGAACATCATGAAGACAAACTTGGAGCTCATCTTTCTCAGGTGGTGGATACGGGCACGGAAGACAACTTCCTTGCCAACATCCTTTGCGGAGAAGTCCTGGATCTTATGGCGAGGCTCGTGTTTCCATTCACCGGCGTAGCTGTTGGGAGGGATGACACCGTACTTGGCCCTCTGCTCGGGCGTGAGTTCAGCAAGAGCCTGTTGCTCCATCTCCTTCCTACGGCGCTCCAGCTCCATCTCCTTCTCGCGGTTTTGCTTGTAGCGCTCTTCTTGCTGGGCCTGTTTCTCATGCTTGCGCAGCTGTCCGCGGGACATGGGCTCGCCATCGCGGTTGAGGGGTGTGTCATCGTCACTGGAGTCGTTGCCAATGTGGAGCTTCTCCTTGACGGCGCGCATGGGGCTGCTGGCGGAGAGGGAGCTTGAGCGCTGGTGGGAGTTTGCCTTTGCAGACGAGCGATTGGGGCTATCTGTGCGGCGGTGGAGGATGCCGCTCAGGGAGCCACGATGCTGCCCGTCGAGGCTGCTCCTGCTCTCAGTGGGCGAGGAAGGGTCATTGCGCTTCAGGTCGGCACTGGCCCGGCCAGTGGGCAGAGTGACGGAGGAGCGCGGAGTGCTGGCGGGTGAGCGTGCCCTGCCATTGGTGGTGGGCGACTTGACGCCGCTCTTGTCGTCGTCAGAGGTAGAACCGCTATGGCCCGGCTTGAGCTTGTCTAGCGCTTTCTTGAGAGAGCCCATTGTTGCAATGGTGCGAGAGCTGTGCCCGTTGTGCGTGGTTAGACTACCTAGGCGCAGAGTGGGGCAAGCCGACGCGGGGGAGTTGCTTGAAGAGCAGAGAGTAGGCGGGAGGGGCAACCTTGGGCGTTGAGAAAGAAAAAAAGAACAACTGAAGTCGAAAAGCTACTAGCAGGCGGCAGAGCAGATGCGACGTTCAAGTATAGCAGCTAACCGGGCCACGGCGTGACGGGCACGGAGGGCGGAGGGTAAATCGGCTATGACGTGAGAGCGTGCGGGCAGCAGACTAGGTTCGTCCGGCCTTAGCGCGGCAGAGGCTTAGTAGCGATCCGAGGGAAGGCGCAACCCTTGCGCAAGCGTGACGTAGCTGGCACGCTTCTAGACTGCTAGACTGCTAGACTGCACCTCTTGTCTGTCTCGAGTAAGAGTATCGAGTATCCAGACTTGCACCCAGGAGCCCGCGGACTCCAATGACAGCGACGGCGGCGGGCAATGACAGCAGGTGTACGGAATGGAATGGAGAGGTGCTGGCAACAAGACTGGCGACATGGTTGAGTAATAAACGCCCGCCAGAGAGCCCCAGGCCACCAGTGTCTTCCGCAACTGTCCGCTGCTACTGCTGCCACAGCTGACACATGTTCCCCATGCGTCGATTATGCTTCTCCTTGTGGCCAGGCGCGTGCTGACAAGCATTGCTTCATTGCTTGGAAAACTCTTCGGTCGGGCCTCGACACCCCACTGCAGCCACGCCCCTACGCCTGCGCCAGTCGGACGGGCTGGTTGTATAGTGTAGATATCGTCTAGCCAAGCCGTACAGGATGACGAGCGTCAATGTCTGCCTGCACCTCCCGCCGGGTGAAACCGGCCCTAGTGGCCGTGGTTGGTCGCTTCCTCGCACCTCCCTGCTCATGCACTTTGTCGCCTGGCCCATGGCATTCTCTCCCAAATCCATCCTCCTCGCCCAAACACCCGCCAACACTCGCCCCTTCATCTATCCCCTATCATGCACATGGCACAGAAAACCGGTTCCCTTGCCCCGCTGCATCACATGGCAATCGCCAGCGCACACGAGAATCCCGATCAGCCACAAGCTAGCCTACATCGACGATCGTCCTGCTAGAGAACAGGTTCTGCCAGGCACACTGCGTCCCTGGGCATCGCCCTCCAACTATGCAATCACCCACAGCTCTGCCGGTACCCGCTCTTCCCCCCCCCCCCACGATCACTCTACTCGGCACATGGCTTTGTTCATAACATGGGCTGCTGCTGCACGCCATGTCGAGCATAAATCATCGATTGCATCTCAATTGCGAGCCGCTACTATGCATCCGCTAAACCTATCAAAGACAGCCTCCTTATATGTACCTGCATTTACAGAGCGTATTAATTAAGTATACCAAGTAGGCTCCGGAATCTCGTCCAACAGTGCAAACCGACCCAACTCCCGATTCTTATATGCGACAGGATCGTGCAGCGTGTGCGTCCTGATATCTCGCCAGAATCGATCCAAGCCCACCTTTTGGCTCGTCGCCTTTGCACCAGTGACCTCAAACACTCCCGAAGTAATGCGGAGGCCAGTGTCTGTTGCCACAACTTTGATGCTTGCCACCCATTCTGCCAGCTCGCCTCGCTTGCGTGCCGTCAGCTTTGCACGCCTGTCAAAATCACCTCCGTAGTTCTGGTAAATGGCGTCGACTTCTTGGCCTGCGCGGTCTGCAAGGGCAGAGGCGGCACGGAGATGGGCATGGAAACTGCCGTAGCGTTCGAGGATGTAGAATTCATCCGTCGCTTTTTCCTTGTTCTACTCGCGCCATTAGCAACACACACATCAGAGTTTGTAGGCACTGATGTGCTTACATCACCGCCAAAAGGCCATGCCCGAGTCCCCTTCAACGTGTACTTGGCGGCGTACTGCTGTGCACCAAGAGCAATGCCAAGATAGAAGTTACTAAAGACAAGCTGGATGGTTGGGAGAAGCAGCGTTGCAAACGGTATCTGCAGCGCGCGTGGGTCGGGTTCCTTCTTCTCAATGTTCCAGCCCAGCGCATCCACCCACGGCACACTCACGTCGGAGATTTTGACACTGCCAGATTCCGTCAAACGGAGGCCAATGTTGTTCCAGTCATGTCCGAATTGGATGCCAGGTTGGTTTGTCTTTGCAAAGGCGAAGATGTGGTTCCCGGTGTTTTCGTAGACACCCTCAAGAACAGTAAGATCGGAAACAACGCCACCCGTGTTGAAGAACTTGAACCCATTGAAGACAATATTGTCGCCATCAGATTTAATGGACAGGTCACTGTCTCTAGGATTGACAGCACCGCCAATGAAATAGTTGTTCTCGATGATGAGCTTTTGAATGCGATCGGCCTGTTCAGCTGAGCCGACAACGCTTGCTGTGGTCGACCAGAGAAGGTGGTAGCCAAGCAGCATACCAATCGAGCTACGACAATCAGTACGCATAGTCAAGAATATCAATTCAAACCATACCCATCTGCTTCAGCTACTTTCCGAATCGCTTTGTAACCTTATTCCAAGTCAGTGTCAGCTGCCTATATCTCAGGTACAAGAACTTACCAACACTCCAAGGTTGGCCACCACCACCGTACTGCTTTGGACCGAGAACTTTGAGAAGTCCAGAATGCTTGAGCAAAGCTACTTCGGCTCGGGGAGACTTGTTTTCTTGGTCTCGCACAACAGCATCAGCAGCAAGAACGTCGGCGACAGCTTGGGCACGTTCAAGCCAACCCGCTTCATCTTGCGGAATCGATGACCATGTCTTCTCGTACTCTGCATAGACAGCCGGGTCTCTAAAGTTGACGTGTTGGGCGTTACCGGCCTGGCCATTAGTTCCATTAGTTCCGTTCGTGGCAACCATCGTGTGCGTCTGAGATGTTGATATTTTCTATCTACGTGGTGTACAAATCTCTACACTCCCGTACATATCTTTATATGCACACTCTTGCTGACCCGATTTTGGGATCATACCATATCCCAAATGTATTGCGTGCTATTCTTCCATTTTTTAGACATATGCGGGGGTGTGTTTTGCTCAATGAGTGGGGTGTGGTAGTTATCAGAATGGAGGGGTGTAGACAAGGATATCCTGCCGAGCTTGTACATGCGTCCGGATCAGGGTCGAATTGTCTGCCGGCACGCAAATGGAGCTAGCGTAGCTTTGATCTCGTAGAGTAGATTGCCAATGCAGTAGCGTTCTAACACTCCAACATGCGGGCACGGCATTCAGACGCCGATCTTCGCAGCGACAAACACCTACATCCTTGTATTTGTGCTAACCTAAATGTAGGCTGTGACCCCAATAATCAAACCCACCACCGACCCCGAACCGCATTCGCCATCTAACCCCTCAATCGCATCATCCTCAATCCGGCTTTCCCACATGCTATCACAGTCTCTCCACAAGCTGCACATCTCCAACGTCCCTCATGTCACTCCAACGTGGGGGTAGTGCTGCGTGCCACTTACTCCGTCTTCCTGCTCTTCGCGAAGAACCTTGAAGTGTCTCCAAGTGGTAGCTCAATAATCGAGTCTTTTAGCAACAGGGCGAACTCCAGGTACCATCCTATAAAATGGTGTACAAAGTCAGTTTACATCTCATATACGACTTACCGACAATAGATGCTTACCGGCTAATCCGGACAAAAAGCAGAAAGCCCCACCACCCTTCTTGAGAGCAATTGAGGCACCGGCATGTCCATCTGCTACAGCGAAATAGGATGCAGCGATCAATAGGAACCCCAGCTCCACGGTAAAGAAGATGATTATGTATACCAAGTTTGTCGGCAATGATGCCACCAAGAATACCAAGGCGAAAACTGTCCTAGTAGATTCGTAGGTACGAGGTCAGTGTATATCCCATATGCATTTTGTACATTTATCTCTTACCACACTACACTCTTGTTAGCGGCGCTGTCGCTTCTTGGTCATCTTGAGAAACTGACTGATCATGAAGAACCCGAGAGCGTTGTTGAGTTCTTTTACGTTATCTCCATATGCCGCCACAATTCCAAAGGATGGAGTCAGGATCGCACCATAACCGGCGTAGAACAGACCTTGCCGCGAGTCAGCCAACATTCTCTAGCAGCCGAGTGATCCAACATACCAAAGGCACTAAACACTGTATATGCGAAGCCATTGCCCACAGAGAGCTCCCACTGCGCAGTAACCACCAGGCCTATCTTGGTATTAGCCACGTCTTACAAACGCAATATATGCCAGTTACTTGCCAAAGGCGGCCGCGAAGAAGAAATTGGCTACAAAAATGTTGTTCGTGGTAACTCCTCGCCATTCCATTAAACTGAATGACAATGCCGTCAGAGTCGTCGCAAACACCCCGATTGGAAGTGCTGTCTTCAAATCTTAGCAAAATCGTGTGTCTTGTGGTTAGCATCACTTACTCCAGAACCCAACGTCTTCGGAGCGGGAGCTGGTATAACAGGTGCCTCGTAGGTAACCTGTCTTTCGATATCAGTATTTCCAGAGCTTTTCAGGTCAGTTGCCGAAGAGTTAGCCATGATTGTCTCTGTGCATGAGAGGATTCACATAATCTCCTGGATCCAATCGATCGCCTTTTGTACTGAACCGAATCGAGCATCAATTGATGTGGCATTAGTCTCTGCATGCTGGGCACTTGCTACCCGTATGTATTCATCGCGACTGTTGGAGAATGGATGGCGTGATTCGGCCTTACTTGTGACGCTGGGTAAGGTTTTGCATCCCATTCGAGTTTTCATAGTCCTACGTTTTGTCGAAATGCACTATATCATCCAAGTCATTACACTATAGCATGGCGTGTACCTTGTTCGGCACTACTATCCACGACAATCACGCCTTCGACTTTCCAGATTGTCTCATTCCTTCTAGATTTCAGGTCGTTGACATCCAACCAAAGAAGCCGCGGCCGTAGAATAGGCTATCATAGGAGATACTAGGATCCTAGAGTCAAGACGGACTAAATTAGGGCAAGATCGTCGGTGGAGAGAAGGCTATCTATGGACCTGGATTATAGTTCACCTACCTGGTCTGATCCCCCGTCAACCCCGCAGACCTCACGTATGCTTACATATCACGCAATCTACGCTTATAATACGCACATTTGGTCGACGATGATTTATTCAGCGTCAGGATAGTAGGACATTTCGTTATAAGACCTTTCGAAATACAATCTGATTATCAAATCCGTTCTTGATAATTAATCATTTCCACAAGACAGACATGTCGCCGTCACGCAAGAGACAACGGACAGGTAACATGGACGGGATATGATAATCAAAAAGAAAATACACGACTGACCATGCCTTTGTAGAAGTAGAAAGTAGCAGTACAAATGGTACCAACGGACGTGCCAATGGAACAGAAGACAGCTTCACGCCCATACAACAATTGGACATCAACCAGGATCCAGATCGTGTACTATTCGCGTGAGCAGCCTCCCGCCGAAATTGAAAATAATCGCATACCCTAACCTTGGGAAACTATAGATACTGGGTTCCCAACGTTTCCGGTGGTCTCGTAGTCTCCAAAATAGCTCAAAAAACAAGTTGGGACCTCGCATCAAACGTGCGGTACGCCAGGACGGCTGAGGAATATGGATTCGAGTATGCGCTCACTCAAGTCCGCTTCACGGCATCGTACGGAGCCGATAATCAGCACGAGAGTGTTTCCTTTTCTCAGGCCCTATTGCACAGTACTGAACGCCTCAAACTGATTGCTGCTATACTCCCTGGCGTATGGAATCCCACCATTGCAGCAAAGCAGATTGCGAGTATTGATAACTACAGTAACGGCCGTATTGCTGTAAACATGGTTTCAGGCTGGAACAAGAGCGAATTTACTGCCGTCGGACAGTGGTGGCTCGAACACGCTGAGCGCTACAGACGCACCAACGAGTTCATCCGCGCCTTGAAAGGCATCTGGACCGCCGACGACAAGGGCTTTTCATTTGCCGGTGACTTTGTATGTTTCCCCCGTGTTCGGCTGATTTTAACCTCTCAACTGCACAACTCCTTCTTTCCATATACTAACTTTCCCCTACAGTACCAATTCCATGACTACAAACTCGCTCCCAAACCGCTCCAAAAGCCGCACCCCGAAATCTTCCAAGGCGGCAACAGCGACGACGCGCGCCACAACGGCGCAGAGGTAAGCGACTGGTACTTCATGAACGGAAACGACCTCGACGGCTTCCGCGAGCAAATCGCCGACGTCAAGGCTCGAGCCCGAAAGTTCGGTCGCGAAGACAAAGTCCGCTTCGGCGTCAACGGCTTCGTCATCATCCGCGACACCGAAGAAGAAGCTATCCGCGTCCTGAAGGAAATCCAGGGCAAGGCCGACGTCGAGGCCGTAGAAGCTTTTCGTGGTGCTGTCCAGCAGGCTGGTGCGAGCACGGCGAATAAAAAGGGTATGTGGGCGAATAGCTCGCTCGAGGACTTGGTGCAGTATAACGATGGGTTCAAGACGAAGCTTATTGGCACAAAGGAGCAGATTACGGACCGTATTTTGCTGCTTAAGAGTCTGGGCGTGGATTTAGTGCTCACGGCGCATTTGCATTATGAGGAGGATATTGAGAGGTTTGGCAGGGAGGTGTTGCCGCTGGTGAGGAAGCTGGAGGCGGAGGGGAGGGGCAAGGATGCTGAGGATGAGATTCGGAGGACGGGGCATGTGTATCAGAAGGTGGTGTCGTAGCGTTCGTTGTCGTCGAAGATTTGTGTTTGATGTTGGTACTAAAGTCGCGTCATGGGATATAAGCAGTTGCTTTGGTGACACGGCTTTCCAATTCCCAAAATAGCAACAATGATAACAGAAAAAGGAAGAGAGAGAAGAAAAGAGAGATGAATGGATACGAGGTACACTGCCTTGGTAGGTGGCGAATTGATTCCAAATTCAAACAGCATGCTACGAAACTCCATACCTCACTCTTGCAACCAAAAGGACAAGACCCTCGGCAACCACTGCTTGCACACTCCAGCATCCATCACCAAACTCGAGTTGTACTCCTTACGAAAAAAAACCCTACTACGACTGCCCCAGGATCCACACCTCCCCATTACTCGACGTATCAGACGTCATATACAACCTCCCAACCTTATCCCACGCCAACCCGGCCGGCCGAAAGCAACCCGAGCTATACCCCGGCCCATTCCCCTGACACCTCTCAACCGCGGGATTAAAAAACACGTCCTGAGCCGCCGTAGTACTAGTCAGCGGCTCTACAGGCGTATAACTCCCATCAGCCGCACGCTTGAACTTCACAGCCACGAGCTTGAATCCCGTGACGGGCTGGCGGTTCCAGCTGCCGTGGTAGGTGATATACATTGTCGTACTATTAGCATCGAACTTGCAGTCGATGGGGGCGGAGTGGGGTTGCAGAGTTAATTTGGGGGCGGTGGCTTTGGCGACGCAGGTATCGTCGTTGAGGCTGCTCGTAGGGGTTTGGGTGAACCAGTCGCCGACTTTGAAGGATTTGTCGGTGAAGTCGCTGGGTTTCCAGACGGTGAAGCAGGACGGGTAGCCGTACCAGGCGTTGTTGGGGACCGAGACGTCCCCCATGTAGTGGACTTTTTCGCCGGGGTTGTCGTTGTGGATGTCTTTGCCGTTGCGTTTGAAGTCGTCGCCGCTGTTTTCTACACCCCAGAGCCTGGGTTTGAGATGAGTTTGAAACCCCAATGTTGTATTGTTTTCCAGAAAAAAGACTTACATGTTGTTGCTGTCGAAGCAGATGCCGACTTCGTTGCGCTGCCCGTAACCGGCATTGTAACCACCACTGACGTAGTTGTATCCTCCACTGGGGACACTTGCCAGATTGAAGACCTTGATTATGGCACGTCCTGTCTTTGGGTCTGATGTAGGCTGATCGATATTAGAATTGGAACCATGAGATACAACCAACAGGCTCGAATTCTGGGGCGCAATGGCAAGAGTGCGTGTAAGATGCGAGCCGCCATTGTACATGCCTGTGATGACAGTGGTCCGGGTCCCGAGGGTACCGGCCGTGGCATCGTATGGCCAGGCATAGACCTGGGTCATAGAGCTTGCATACAGCGTCTTGCCATCGTGGCTCAAGGCTATACCGTGGTTGAGGTTGTTCTGGGATATCAGCATCTTTGTCGAAGTGACACAGCCATCCGCTCCCATCTTGTGATAGGATATGCCCTTGCCAGACTGCACAACGAGCATGTTACCCGCATTGTCAAACTGAATGCTTCGAGGGCTAGTCATTCCCCCAGCAATCTTGGTAGCTTTCCATCCTGCTGCCAAGTTGCCTTGGAATGTAGGATTCCCTGCACCAGAGCAGGAAGCGGGGATGACAGCAGTTGCTGCTGGCCTTGCAGTTGCTGATGGTACAATGCTTGTCACAACTGTCGTCAAGTCAGCGGAAGGACTAGCTATGGGCCCCGTCAACAGATTAGCCCGAACTAGAGAATCGAAATCATTGATCCGCGCAGCATCGAGATTGTGGATCCATTTGCCCCAGGCTTGATGGACATTAAAGGCCGAATTGTTCCGAGCTGCATCTTCGACCGCAGAAGTACCGTACGCCCAAGCGAACTCCGTTGTGCCGGTACCATTCAAGAAATGGCGAGCATCTTCGCTGTTTTGCCATCCAGTGCACCCCTTGCAGAGAGCATTGACAGTCCAGTGGGTAGTATTTGTTCTGGTCCCTTTGAGGTACGTGTGTTCGGCTCCGTCGTACCCAAGGGGCAGACCGATACCACTATACCGTATTAGAAAGGGCCTTTTACAACCTGTAGATAGAGACTCACAAGGCGAAGCGAGCTGATACCACTCCAGACTGGCCGCTTGGCCAAGCAACGCTCAGCGGGTTCCAGACCATGTTTCCTCCCCATGAGAAGCCCACCCATTGATTGGTGACTGGAGCAGTAATCCTGATGATGGCATCGTATGGGTCCGTCACTTCCTTGGGGAGCGCAACGCCAAAGGTCATTCCTGTCGCCGGCTCCGTGTATGAAGAGTAGCTAATTTTCGTTTCTGCATCATAAACAACAGTAGATTGTGCCTCACCTTCTTGAGCAAGGGCTTTTCAGCGTTAGAAAATTCCAGTTTCGGAAGCTTACGATACTCACTGTACCCAAGAAATACAGTAGCGCTTCCAATTATCTGGGCGTAACGCATACTGGGTGGTTTGCTGCAGATAGAAAGTTGTTTACTAAGCGTCAACAATCACGGTTAACAGGGTGTTTTTCAGCCTTTTATGTGATCGATAGTGATGATGGTGGCAACAACAAAGAGCCACATGATACCACACTTCCACATCATCCGTCCACAACATGCCATCCTTCTTTTTGTATATTATAAATGAAAATGTTAAAGATGTCCGCGGTGGACCTTCGACCGACCAATCTATAGCCTCGGATCTGTGATCTGCGACAACCTAGTCTCACAAGACTGGTTGATCTGGGGTGTTTGGGCATGCTCGACAGGTTTCAGCCTGAGTATTGTGACAGAATATATCGATTCGTTGGCAGCGATTGGTATTTGATAGTATAAAGCTGCATAGCGCAGGCTGGAAGCTATCAATTTTGATGAGCCCAAACCTCAGTTTGATCCGGAATCATATTTGCGATACTCGGTATTCGTCCATGTGGTGTTAATGAGCTGCGCTAAGCCTTTCAAGGTCATAAAAGAGACACGGCAGTTGACACGCGAGGCGGGGCTGTGATACTCAGTAGGTGGGGAGTTTCCATAGTAATAGTGGCTGAACGTTGGTGTGGTGGATCTCTCATTCTTCCATATAACCCGAACCCCCTGGCTTGCACCGATGGTGGGGAGCCTATCAGAGCGTTAACAACTCTGCAGCACCTTCACGAGATCGAGAGAACCAAATCATATCCGAATCTGAAACTTGAGCGTAAGTAGACTATATCAGTGCGGAGTGACCAGAGGGAGGAAACATTGCTGAAGCAATACATTTGCAATTCCATTTACTGTTGCGGCCTGTGGGATTTGCATATAGAATAAGAAATTCCATCGAATATCACGAAATCCATCAAACTTCCAGACTGACTTTCCCGGATCAAGCGCGCTTACTCATAAAGGCATTTCCAAAAGTCCAGAGGCCAAAAGTCGCCAGAATACTCAATCCAATAGGTAGCGGCTTTCCAGATTTGATTGCGCGCGGGATAGAGCTACCAGCCAAGACGACGGAGGCGAGAAGAGCGAGCTCAACACCGTATGCAGCGCGGCTGTTAACACGAAGGCCACCGAGAATGTACTATTATGAATATTTAGATGCTTGGTTCAAAAGAAGAGGTTATATGATTAGCAAGAGCAAGAGGGCGTACCAGTAAGCCGACGGTGCAACCAGCTGCGATTGAAGGTACAGATCCAGTCCTCACGTATCCGGTAATACCACCTCCAGCGGTAAGGGCACCGAGGACCAGAGCAATGTTTCCGAGAGAGCTCTACATCTTCCTATCAGCATTTGTTCCTCTCTCAAAGGACCTGACTCGTGCATGACGAAGCCAAAGGAATCGCCAGAACATCTGCTCACCATGATTGCTTTGTATGAACAAGAACCGGTACGGATATTCCAACGAAACGAAATCGGGATAATGCAATCAGTGAATTTTGCGATGAAAGCTTCAAGGAACGCAGCGACGCTTAAGTATAAGTACAATGGATGTTTTTGCGGGGAAAAGCGGACATCCGAGCACACCGAAGCCCGGCGCGAATGGAACAAGGCCATTGCCCTCGTCGTAATCCCGCCCTCAGCTCGGGCCAACCACGAACATCTGGCCTCAAGCTTACTGTGTACTACCAACCACTACCTCCATCACCGCAACCCATACACGCCCAATTGCACACGATAGGCACGCTGTGTCTCCCCCTTTCCCTCTCGCTTATAAAACAACAACATAGAATATAGACTATGGCGCCAAAGCAACGCACACCCGGCACCGTAGACACGCCATCCGCACCCACACAAGCAGCATCCTCGCGCCCCAGCAAGCCAAGTACGACAAACAACACGAGCGCCGCGGCAATCACACAGGGAATATGGGATAAATACGTGACCAAGACACCGCAGCGAACAAAGCTCCTCGACATTTTCCTCGCCTTCCTCGTCGTAGTCGGCGTCCTGCAATTCGCATACGTAGTCGTTGTTGGAAACTTTGTACGTATACCCCCTCCCCTCTCTTCCACACACAGTAGTACACACATAGAAAGACAAAGGGAAGAGAGAAGAAAAGAGCTGACGAGACATAAAATCTAGCCATTCAATGCCTTTCTATCCGGCTTCAGCGCAACAGTTGGCCAATTCGTGCTCACGGCCTCGCTGCGCCTCCAGACAAACTCGGAGAACAAGGAACATTTTGCGAGCATCTCGCATGAGCGTGCGTTTGCGGATTTTGTGCTGGGGAGTCTATTGTTGCACTTTTTCTGTGTCAACTTTATTAACTAAGGGGGAGAAGGGGGGGTACTTGTAGGCGAAGGGGAAGCGAACACAAAGATTGCACGGAGTGGTTGATGAAGGGGTGGGCCTCTTCTTCTTCTTTTTGAGAGGGAAAATGAATGGAGCTTGAACAGGGCGTTAGGAATGCATGGATAAGGGGTCTTGTTCGCATATAAAAGAAAGAAAGAAGCAAGGTTCCGTGTATGGATCATTTAAATATGTAAGAGTACCAAAAAAATCCCCAGGGATTTCGGTTTGACACATTCGTAGACTGGTCAAGTCGAACGGTTCTAATCAAATGTTGAAGAAACTCTTCATCTATGCTATGCCCACCAGCAAAGCACTCAACAACCCTTTCCCTCCGAATAATCTAGACTTTCAATTCCTCTCTCTCTGTCTATCTACTTCTCCTTGGCATACTCTCCCAACTCAAACTCCTCTCTAACCGCCTCCCCCAACCTCCTAATCCCCTCATCAATCTTATCACTAGGCGCCATCGCATACGTCGCCCTGAAAAACAAAGTATCATGCTCCTCGTCGGCATCAGCATAGAACCAGCTGCCCCGCATAACCAGCGTGCCATGATCAATAACGCGCATGAAGATGCTCTCCTCAATAGCCTCGATACTCTTCTCGGGATACGCAGGATGCTTTGTGAAATCCACCTTCATCCAGTGAAACATTCCCGCCATGGGGGGCTTCCACTGCATAACCTCTTGCGGCAGGTGCTTTGCGCACGCGGCGAGAATGGTGTCGCGGCGCTTGGTGTACTGCATGCGGATGTGGATGAGCCAGTCGAGGTAGCCGGCGTGGCCCCAGTGCTCGTCGAGCAGCTTGAAGAGCACGAGTTGCGAGATGCCAGACGGGTTCTGTGTCGAGACGTCGGCGTATTTGGCGTAGCGCTCGATGATTTGCGCGGGCGCGGTGATCCAGCCTACGCGCGAGCCTGGGGCGATTACTTTGGAGAAGGAGTCCATGCGGACTACGCGGCCGTCTGTGTCCATGGAGAGGTAGCTGGGGACGAGGGATTTGATAAATTCGGCATGGGAAGAAGGGGGTGGGACGTCAGGTGCGTTGGGTCCCGTGTAGGGTTGCATTTGGAGAAAGTAGTAGGGTTCGTCTTCTATGATGTGGATGTCATGCTTTTGGCAGACTTTGTATAGTTCTCGGCGTCGCTCGCCGCTCGATGTTGCACCAGTTGGGTTCTGTCCTGTAGGCACTGTGTAGAGGAGACGTGGTTTGCGGGATCCTCGAGCGGCCTGGTCCCAGTTTGAGAGTATGCGGTCCATGTCTGTGGGTAAGAGACCTTCACTGTCAATCGGCACACCACATACGCGCACACCCATTGGCCTAGCGGTTTCGACAAAAGCCGAAAATGTGTACTCCTCAGAGAGAACCATGTCGCCAGGTCTTGTGAGCATTCTAAGCAACATGTCGGTGGCAGACGTGCTTCCAACTGTCATTGTGCACCTCCAGTCTTCATATGGTGGATCATGCACCAGTTCTGTGTGCTCAGTCATGTAGCGCAGAAGCTGTGCTGAGCCTGAGCCCTGGCCATAGTTGAATGCAGTAGCAATGTCGAAAACGGACTTGTTCTCGGCAAGGTCGTGTTTGCCCGCAGTAAGCGTCACTCCAGACTCTTTGGTTTCGGGCTCGGAGAAATGCCCGACCTTGGGCACCTTGACTGATAGCTCCTCAAAGGGAAAGTACTCGCTAGAGGGTAGTCCTCCTCCGAGAGATATGAGACCTGGTGTACTGAGAAACTTGGCGGCTTCTTTTAGCGAGTTGCCTTTTCGAATAAGGGCCTCATTAGTTAAAACACCTGAGGTCAAGTAAGTCATGATGCGTGCAAGTTGCTACCTGGTCCATAAAACTTACTATTCCATGACTTTGCTTTGGGCTTGTGTTCGTGCGATTTAAGTCGAAAGTTCGATGTATCGGACGGTGCTGCTACACCCCATTGTGCTGCAGTAGTCTTCTTTCTCCTTGTGGGCATCTCATTGCTCTGTATGGGCGCACTCAAAGGGTTCGGAATAATAATTGCGGATGTGTCCGAGGTGGCGGATACCTCGACTGCAGAATGAGGTGACATTGCGTGCACGGTGCTTTTGATTGTCCGACTGTAGTGTTTGGTTGGTAGTATGCAGTAATGTAGATGTTTATCTTGGCCCACTTGGCTTCTTAGATTTGTTTTGATATCGAGGCAAGTGAGTGTAAAAGTAAAGACCAAGTGTCATGGGACTATGTAACGTTTAAAGCTCGTTCTACCGGGAGTCAGATACATACTAGTTGGTCATATCGCGCGCCCTACGTATGTAGTCCGACGCGTGCCTGTGGAGAAGTGGAGCCGTTCAGCTATGCTTTCGGTAGCGGCTAGCTACGGGCTGGGGAAGCGACACGAAGCGAGTCCACAGAAGCCGCACGCCAAGCTTCTACTATCAATCTTATCATGCAAGCTTCACGCCCTTTGCTGGCGTGTCCATCTCCCAGGCCTGGATATCTCATGGGCTATCCTCGAAACGTGGACAATGCCCCATGCGTAGTACGGGAATGCGAGCGTTGATAACGCCGTGGCATGCATGCCGAAAGACGGCCGATGCTGTTGCTGTTCAACACTACGTAAGTTGAGAGCCATTGGCCAATCGGCACTTTTGGGGCGTCATCACGAGACGTGACACCACGTGCGGAGACAAAGCCGGTAGCACCCGCGCTGAACAAACGATAATCTATTATATCCTGCCCTGGATATCTCTTTAGCATGCACATACTCCTAGTAGAATGCTGCGACTAGACAATACTGCACAGGTTCCTGCCAAGGCTGGCGGGGTACTTTGACGCTCAGATCCAAACGCATGTAGGCAACACACATACACCAAACTCCATAGATCCACAGCCCCCTATCCAAAACAACCAACCATGTCCCTCGTCGTAAGAATATAACACCTCAATGTATGCAGTCCCAAGTAAACAAATGCAAGCCGGGTATAGCACAGCAGCGGCGGACACATCGTCGAGGCACTCGATGCCTCCTCACATTACCACACAATTCTCATCCTTTTCTTTGTCTTTTCCAACTTTTTCTTTTCGCAGCTTGGCGTTTTTGTCGGGAACGTTTGCTGGTGTTGAAGCCAAAGGATTCGGTTGTCCCGATGCTGCAGCTTGAATGATTGCGAGGCGCTGCTTTGCCCTTTCGTCTCCTGAGTCTGCAGCCTTGACGTACCATACGTTGGCTTCTAGAGGGTCTCGACGGCAGCCGATGCCCATTTCTGTGAAGTAGCCACACGCATACTCGGCTTTTGGGAGACCTGGTATTGTTAGTCAACAAATTGTGGACGTGAGGCGACAGATTGCACACTTACCATGCTCAGCAGCCTTCTTGGCCCATTCGTATGCCTCGTTTTCGTCTTTTTCCAGGACGGGTTCAGCACCAACCATGTACCAGGCGCAGAGGTTCATCATGGCCTCGGGAATGTCGGCCTGGGCAGCGCAGTTGTAGTAGTGAACAGAAAGTGCAGCATCCTTGGGGCATCTTAACAAGCCGTGTTCGTAGGCTTCGCCAAGCTTCAGTGCAGCCAACGGATGGCCCAACTCTGCAGCCTGTGTGAACAATTGCACTGCGTAGACTTCGTCCTTGAAAATGTCGTCTCCATAGCCTGTCTCGTGCAATAGACCTAGTTCGTAGGGTGCGACGTTGTACTGGAAGTCAGCTGATTCGGAGGCTCGCTTAAGCCACTTGACGCCCTCCCGGTACTTGTTCTGAAGACCCATATCGCCAGTCAAACACGCCTTTCCAAGCCGGGTCGCAGCTCCAGGATGGTTTTTAGACGCTGCAGCGCGGTAAAACTGAACAGCTTTGGCGTAGTCTTTGCGACAACCCCATCCAAACTCATAGCAGAGCGCGGCACGGAACGCAGACTCGGCATGACCGTGCTTACTGGCAGCGATGAACAATGGAAAGGCTCGATCGTGATCGGGCTTATCTTTGTTGAACAGGCCTGATGCGTATCCATCTGCGAGATAGTATTGTGCAAACGGGTAACTGCGGTCGGCTAGTTTCTGGAGAATCTGGCGCGCTTCTTTCAACAATTCCACCGACGACATGCCATGGGTATTGTTCATGCCTTCGTTTGCCATGACCTCGTGTGCGACCTGTACCATGAACAGTGCAAACTCGTACTGGACTGAGCTGTCTTGCGTCTTCTTGACGTTTGCCCTGTACATATCTAGCGTCTTTTTCTCGTCGAGCAGCGAAGCATTCTCTCCCACGACACCTCGCAGTCCGGTTTTGCCGAAATTTGCTACGGGTGCAACCTGCTGGTTGTATGGGAGATTGGTCAAGTCAAGGTAGGAAGATTCCGGTCGGACATCTGGTGATCGGCGTGAGGTTGAGACTTGGCGGGCGTAAGAGTTGGGCGATCCGTGGGGTGACGGCATGCCGGCCACGGACAGGCGGGGTGAATCTGTACGGCCTCGTACATTGAGTTCTGAACCTAGAGTGTATGCAGAACTCGGTCTGGGGACTGTGGAGCGCGGAACCTGCAAAGGCCCTTCTTGGCCATAACTGTGTCCACGGTTATGTCGAATACTGTAGCCATTTGAAGAATTCTGGGAGCCAGAGGCCGGAGATTGCGTAGTTTCACGGGGAGAATGTGTGCGCGGAGGCGGAGTGGGATGCTTGGGAATGTCTCTAGGTTGGTGTTGCTCCGTGGTGGTGTATGCAAGCTCCAGCTCGTCCTGAGCGTTTGCAGCGTCCATCTCGGCGACGTGGGAAAAGCGGGTAGAGTAGAAGCTGTTGCTTATATGCAACGGTCTGAAGGGGATACTTTGCGTCGGTGGAACCGCGTCTGCAGAACGCCCGTTTTCGGGTATGTCTGGTGATTCCCTAGACGGGGTTCTAGAATGGCCGTCTGAGCTTTGGGTCACGGAAGAGCCGGACTGCCTTGAATCACGCCCGGCAGTTATTGGATCATGGCGCTGGTCAATACTGAAAGAAGGAATAGAGGGATTACGTGAGGAGCTGTGTGGAGCGGGTTTGCGATACGAGGAACTAGTAGGTGGTGGATTCAAGTCTGGCTGGTGGGCGGCGTAGGGTTCTTCGTCGAGGGGGAGAGATGGCAGCGGCCTGGATGGCGGTGTCGAGACGGGTTCGGCCATGGCTCTGAAATTGCTCCACTTACCCCCCTTCCTCAGATCTTTCAAGATAATGTGTTATGGCCACTTGGATGCACTGACTCGCTGTAGCGGTGGGGCTCTAAAGTGGTTTCCTCAAGCGGCGCCCCAAGGTACTTACTGGCGACCAGGCAGCCAGCGCGCGCAGCGCACGCAACAAGAGAGTGTCGGTGGATGTGAGCCAGACTTTGTTACGGGTGTTTGTCAGTGCTGTAAATGCGGCGTGGTAGCATGTGTACATACATTTGTATGCATATGTATGCAGACGAAATTGGGAGGCAACGACGTGCGGCGGCACAGAATGCAGAACCCTGGGGAGAAGGATCTTCGAGACGGGCCCGGGGGCGGTTAGATTCACCCGTGGGCTCGCAGGCGGAATTTCAAGGGTCCAGTTAATTATTCACGCTTCTTGACACTCTGAGACCCTGACACGGGGTTGCAAGATGGCGTGCAGATACGACGGTTAGTGGCAGCGTGTTTCGGCAGGCGAAGTGCAGGCCGTTTTTTTTGTGCACAAAAAAAAACTTGATAAGGCCGGACGGGGTGGCAATTGATGTCTTAAGAAGCCCCACGCATTGCGGAAGAGTGTGCTAGGCGGCACTTTACATAAGTATGGACAAGCAGCTGGGCGGCAGAGCACGGCTGGCTGGGCAAGCGAGGTGGTGTGTGTGACCTTGAGACGTAACCACTATCGGCGTGGATGTTTGATCCGATAGGGGGTTAGGCGCTCGACTCGCCCATGCGCTACTCAGCGAATGCAGAGAAACGTGACCTCTTCAGCCAGGGCAGTGTGCATGGACGCGTCCGAAAGCAGCATCAGAAGAGGTGGTGGTGTGCATGCTGGCACTGTTATGCTGCCGAGGAAGTGAGAGTGTCGCCGAAAATATGACTGCCAATACTACAATGCTGCGTGTGTGTATGAGAGGAGCATGTGTTGAGAAGATACGTATACGAATAATATCCCAGTATGAGTAAAAGACTGTCAGCCCCTCCCCTTTGCCTCGTCTGCAGCTAGCTAATAATACTGAACGGCTGAGCACGAAGTCAACGCCACGGCTGGGTGCTAGTAACTAAGTAGTTGCAACGCGTGGATACCAATACTGCGGAGAGTGGACGGATGGGGAGGTTGCTGTCAGCACCTAAAATGTCATCATAGAGGCTTGTGCTGGCCTCTTCCCATGTCAGTCTCGGTCAAATAGGCCAACCCCGCGGTAGCCACCTGTTCCGCCCACTCCGCGGCATGGTGACGATGCATACAAAACAGAAAGAAGAAGAAGAGAGAAAAAAAGAACGTCGTTGTCGAGCTGTTTGGAACACGCAGGGTCGAGGAGGGCGGCGCTCCTTAATGTGCGGCAGGGGAGCGGGACGAGGTGGTTGAGCAGACATGCAGCCAGCCAGCCATGGTCGTCCGTGCCTGGCTACTGGCTGCTACTCGACCAACGGCGCCACGAGACGGCGGCTTGCCTGGGCAGGGGAGCGGCGGTCGTCAGCAAGCACCGGCTGGGCGTCTGGAGCAACCGACTGTGTTAATATGTACAGAATAGTCCGCCGTAGCTGGGGGGACGGGACAAGCACAGGGCTGAAAATAACTCATGGCCGCCATGCGATTCGCGCATGGGCGAGGGCCATCGAGCCACTGACAGGGGGGAGCGCTCCTCGTCGCCCCATAGCCCCATCTATCAAGGGTGCTGTTGACCTCGCAACACCGCTACCAGGGTACAGCGGCCTTTCGCTCGTTCGTCTGCTTGACCGTCTCTCGCTGTGTTTATTCGCCTATCGTTCGCTCGCTTCCTCTGCCTCACCTCTCTCCCCGTGGCCGACACGCTCGTTGCTGCCTCAATTGGCCGGCTGCCCTTTGCTGCACCGCCCAATCTACCACGCCCGCTCTTCTTCCCATCCACCGCCGCCACCCCTGCACTCCGACACAGCACCGCAAACACTGCTGCTGGTAGCCTCATACACCCGCTGCGCCTATTCTTCCTACGCCCAACAGGCGCCCCCCGCAGTCGCACTGTGTAACGACACCTGGGTCCGCGCCTTCCTGCATCATGTCCATGCCCCAGCGGCCAGAGCCTACGTCTCCCCGGCGGGAGCGACGGCACTCACATCGAAGCTCACAATCCCGCCGCAGGAGGACGTCGGACGTCGAGAGCTCCCGCTCTCACGACCGCACACACAGCAAAAGCCATGCCAGCGCCCACTCACGCCCGATGCCAACCCCAGAAGCCCCAGTTCCCATGGAGCGCGACCCCATCATGCGGGGCCAGCATCACGCTCCAGGCCCAGCATTGGGCAGGAAGCGCAGCCTGATCAGACCCGAGCGCCAGCGAATGGATCCGAGTCACCCCAACTACCACTATCGCAAGCATGCGCAACGCATGGACGTTCACCCCTCGACAACTGGCAATGACCCCATCATGGAAGACAGTCTCGAGGCCGAAACCGTAAGCTCAGACAGCACCGACCTGAAGCCACCCCACATGCGAAACGCCTCTAGCGGCGGCTACAACGACAAGGACGCCCCGCTCGACGACAATGCTGAGCCACAGGTGCAGCGAAAACTGGCGCGGAGCAAGACTATGGAGGCTCGCCAGAAACAGCGCCAGAAGGAGCAGGACAAGCTGCGGCCACCTAGTCTGTGGAATGTCTATTGCGCAATCATCACCTTTTGGTGCCCCAATGCTGTTCTCAAGTGTTTTGGAAAGCCGCAAAGAGCACAGCAGCGTGCTTGGCGAGAAAAGGTTGGTCTTGTCAGCATCATCTTGATGATTTGCACATTTGTCGGATACTTGACTTTTGGTTTTACCGAGACCGTTTGTCCCGCCGGAGGTAGTGTCCGCCTCAGGACTAACGAGGTTGGTAATGGATACCTCATAATCCATGGTGAAGCCTATGATCTTGCTCAGTCCAAACATCCCCGCGCTCGTGGTATCCCCGAAAACGCAAACGTTCTCTTCGACCTTCCCGAGAAGCATGGTGGCCAAGATGCCAGCTTCCTATTCCAAAACGTCAACGGCGCCTGCAAGGGGCTTATCAAGGAAAAGCCCAACTCTGGTATCCCTACAGACGACAACGGAGACTTGGCCTGGTACTTCCCCTGCCGGCTGTTCAACCAGGACGGCTCTTCCAAGCCCAACACAACATTTTTGGAGTACAATGGCTACATGTGCCATACTTCGGACCCGGCTCGTAGGGCTTTCTACAGTCTGCGGGATGCTGGAGATGTCTTTTTCACCTGGGATGACATTCGCAACTCCTCGAGGAACCTCATGGTATGGGGCGGTGATGTGCTAGATCTAAATTTGCTCGATTTCTTCAACCGAACCGCGGTTGAGATCCCACCCATTTTCGATGAAATCCGCCAAAACCCGGCCGTTCGTGGTGCAGATGTCACGCGTGCTTTCTCGTCCAGCTACGAGAAGCAGGTTGCGCGATGCTTTACTGAAATCATCAAGGTCGGCTCTATTGACACGGAGAGTATTGGTTGCATCGCCTCCAAGGTTGTCCTCTACGTTTCGCTCGTTTTCATTTTGGCCGTTGTCTTGGCCAAGTTCATCCTCGCTTTGATATTCCAATGGTTCATCAGTAAGAAGTTTGGTGCCACCAAAACATCTCTGGGCCCAGTCGACTCCAAGAAGCGAAAGCAGCAGATTGAAGAATGGAGCGATGACATTTACCGCCCCCCGCCAAAACTCCTCGAATCAGTTTCTGGCTCCGACCGTACGGCCAAACGCGGTAGTTTCTTGCCAGCCACATCAAGGTTCACTAGCCCGTACTCTGTTGACAAGAACACCAAGACCCGCGCCCCGCCAACAACAATGACAAGTCAAAGCACCGCTTCTCGCCTGCTTGGATCCAGCGGTCCCATGTACAAACAACTTAATGCCAGCCATGGTACACTAGGCGTTGACGGTAGACACAGCACACAAGCGTCGCAGGAGCCTGAGTCTGATATGTATTTCTCTAACAGCACCGAAACGAACCAGTTCTCTAGCACTGAAGGCTCAGGACCCTCGGGATTCACACACGAAGCTGTTGTACCCCAGCCTCCTCCAGAGTGGCAGCCTTTTGGATACCCCCTAGCTCACACAATCTGCTTGGTTACTGCATACTCTGAGGGCCCCGAAGGTCTGCGAACTACACTTGACTCAATTGCCACTACCGACTATCCCAACAGCCACAAGTTGATTCTCGTTATTTGCGACGGTATGATCAAGGGACACGGAGAAGACATGACGACACCCGAAGTCTGCCTTGGCATGATGAAGGACCACGCAGTCTTGCCGCATGAGGTCCAGGCCTATTCATATGTCGCGGTTGCTAGCGGTTCGAAGCGACACAACATGGCTAAGATCTACTCTGGTTTCTACGACTATGGCGAGACAACCCGTATCCCTGTTGGAAAGCAGCAGCGTGTTCCTATGATGCTGGTTGTCAAGTGTGGCACTCCCGACGAGGCCAAGAACTCCAAACCTGGTAACCGTGGCAAGCGCGACAGTCAAATTATTCTCATGTCATTCCTGCAAAAGGTCATGTTTGACGAGCGCATGACGGAACTCGAGTTTGAAATGTTCAACGGTATTTGGAAAATCACTGGCATCTCTCCCGATTTCTACGAGATAGTACTCATGGTAGACGCCGACACCAAGGTATTCCCTGACAGTTTGACGCACATGATTTCGGCCATGGTAAAGGACCCGGACATTATGGGACTCTGCGGTGAGACCAAGATTGCCAACAAGCGGGACTCGTGGGTTTCTATGATTCAGGTCTTTGAGTAAGTGTCGATCTTTTTTTCTCGAATGTTTAGAGAATACCCTGCTGACCGTGATAGGTATTTCATCTCTCACCACCTGGCCAAGTCGTTCGAATCGGTCTTTGGTGGTGTCACTTGTCTTCCCGGATGTTTCTGCATGTACCGCATCAAGGCTCCCAAGGGCGGTCAAAACTATTGGGTTCCCATTCTGGCCAATCCTGACGTTGTCGAACACTACTCTGAGAATGTGGTGGATACGCTGCACAAGAAGAATCTACTGCTATTGGGTGAGGACCGTTATCTGTCGACACTGATGCTCAAGACATTCCCCAAGCGAAAGCAGGTGTTTGTGCCTCAAGCTGTATGCAAAACCACGGTGCCAGACGAGTTCAAAGTTTTACTGTCGCAACGTAGACGATGGATCAATAGTACTGTCCACAACCTGATGGAGTTGGTACTGGTACGAGATTTGTGTGGTACCTTCTGCTTCAGCATGCAGTTTGTTGTCTTCATCGAGCTGATGGGAACCCTGGTCCTACCCGCCGCCATTGCCTTTACATTCTACCTCAGTAAGTTTTGGCACCTTTTTGTTCAATGGCATGCTTTGCTGACGGCGTCTAGTTGCCATTTCTATCAAAGCCGCTATACAGCACACGGAAGCGCCTGTGATTCCTCTGGTTCTTCTTGCGCTTATTCTCGGTCTACCTGCGGTTCTCATTATTATCACAGCACATCGGTGGTCGTATGTTGCATGGATGTTTGTCTATCTGCTATCGCTGCCCGTTTGGAACTTTGTCCTACCGACGTACGCCTTCTGGAAGTTTGACGACTTCAGTTGGGGCGATACTCGAAAGACGGCTGGGGAAACAACGAAAAAGGCAGGATTGGAGTACGAGGGTGAATTTGACAGTAGCAAGATCACAATGCGCAGGTGGCGGGATTTTGAAGCAGGTAAGATAGACTTGTCGTTGAGGTGATGTTGTCACTAACGGTGGACCCCTACAGAGCGGAGACTGAAGACACCAGCGGCGACATCGGCTGGCGGATGGCCACAGCACCAACAGCGACAGGGATATGACCAGTACTATGATAATTGATTGATTGTGTAGTGTCATGTAGCAGACAAGGGAGGCGCTGTGTAGCCGATAGGAGGAGCAAGGGAAAAGTGCATTATTTTTGTACCACGTTGGCTACTGCATTGTGCAGGGGGTTGTTCTTGTTTACGCGGGTTATATGTATGATTGTCAAGGGGCATGTTGTATTTTTTCGGAGATTCCCACTTTGCATTGTGCCGTCATCTATGTAGACGCTACGCATATTAGTAATACTGTACATGGCGGCGGAGAGGCTGCCTGGAATGAATGTAATGTCATATCATATGAGATCTTGTGTAGGAATGTGCAGTGTTGCGTTTCAGCCTTGTGCACGGTGAGGGCCGTTTGGATGGTGCCGTCAGACGCCTTGTGGCGGCTTTTCTGTCGTAGTCTGGCAACGCTCTTGTCCACTCACACGCCTTCGGACAGATTGGTTCGAGGGGTTTGCAGTGCAACTGTCTGGCAGCCAGTGGTGGCGTCACCTTCCTGGCCCCAAGGGACTAGACTGACGCAGGGTAGTGTGCTGCCTGCATCCCAAAAGAGGCCTGACAAGACCAAGTGCCTGTGTGATTGTGCAACGACGAGTAGACACTGCATTCTCGTTGTTGTCGTGTTGGCAGTGCCATGTGAGTTGTGCTACGATATGTGGGGCACGTCGGCGACCACTTTTGCCCATGGGGGGCCATGTGTAGAGTGAAGGCAGAGGGACGGGACGATAATGGGATATGTATGACAGACAGCAGTGCATGGTGGCAGCCACAGCGACCCCACGCGCTAGGCTCGCTGTCTTTCGTCGTGGCTGATTGACGTTGCCGAGCCCTCGGCCTGTATGCGAAGGCCTGGTCGTCTCTCTCCTTCTTCCCCATACCCTTGGACACTGTCTCTACAGATCAGGATACCCACATTGCGCCCAAACGCTTGTTGAGGACGACTGCACCAGCTGGACCACGCCCATCGCAGCCCTCAGTCGCCTTCCCTCACTGCCTCGGCGGCCCCGCGACACCGGCAATACGGCCGACAGCGGGCGTCGATGGCCAGCACGCAAGCCCACCATGACTGGACCGCGCCACACTTCATCACGACAGATGCCACAACGCCGCCCCATATCCACCCAGCCCCTGGCGACTGTCCTCACTCGCCCGATGCCCTGGCCGCTGCAGTGACCCTGGCGACACTGTCCGACAACAGCCCGCCCACCAGTCATGCTGACCATGCCGACGACAACGACAACGACAACGACGACGACGACGATGGTTATGGCGGAGGGATATCGCTAGCAGACTACCAGCAGTTCATGGAAGATATGCCCCCACCACACGGCGCCCTCGGGTCGGACGAAGAGCAGGGCCAGGACGATGCCGCGGCCGAGGTGCACATGCAAACATTCCTATCCCAGGTCCACCCTGCCTACATCGCATACCATCCCTTTGAGATATTCGATATATCCAGCACACCTCACAACACCTCCACCACCCACATTCCCGCGCCACCGCTCTACATGAGTCATGTGTCCAGTGGCGACCCTGCACTTGAGCCACCGCCCACGCTCAACGAACCATATCTGAGCATCCAGGACAAGGGCGCATTCTGCCCCATCACCTCCTACTTCCACCACTACTTCAACCCGGACAAGGCCATCGTTCCCGGACTCGACCTCATCCACGTTCCAAATACAGTCACCCGAGACGACCTCAAATGCGACCACTACGACTACCAAGGCATCGACTGGGAGGTGCGCAAGACCACGCGCTCGGCCGTACGTGAGTCGCGATTTGAATTTGAGAGTGAGAAGCTGTCGCCTGGCTTGAAGCAAGTCCGAAAGGTACCAGAGCTCCTTTGTGCTTCGTGGTTTTACCTAACACATTTTAGAGCATAGCTCCTACCCCAAACACAGATGTCTTCTTCAACTTCACCAGAATCAACACCACCCCCCGCGTCTTTGTTCCTCATTTCCAGTTGCGGAACGTCCTGACAGCCACATCCCGCAACGACATCTACTATGCCTATGGCCACTGCGTCTACCGTACAGACGCCCAAGGGGCCCCTGCCGATGCCGTCGTAAACCTTAGCAAGCGCATAGCTCTTGATGGCTCGGTGACCACCATTGCTTCTCGAGACAACGTCCTGATTGCTGGCGCCTTCGAGGGTGAGTATGCAATCACGGACCTCTCATCTACCTACGGATCACCATGCACATTTGGCCGCACCACAGATTTTGTAACAGACACCAAATCGCGCATAGTCAACCACATGCATCTCTTTGATTCACGGCGGACCTACTCTCCGCAGGCTGTCCTGTGTTCCAATGACCATCACCTCCGCATTCTGGACTGCGCCACGAACACGTTTACCAACACATTTGTCTACTCGGCAGCTGTCAACTGTTCAGCAACTTCGCCCAACGGACGGCTGCGAGTCGTTGTGGGGGATTTCCAGGAAACTCTCATCACCAACGCCGAGACAGGCGAAGCATTTGAAACACTAAACACACATGCAGACGACGCATTTGCATGTGCCTGGGCAGACGATGGCGTCCACGTTGCAACGGCCGCCCAGGACTCCACCATTGTTGTCTGGGACGCACGCTACTGGCGCGAGCCCCTCACCGTCATGAAAAGCGAACTCGCTGTCCCACGCTCTCTGCACTTTTCGCCCCTGGGCTCTGGCCCCCGCGTGCTCGTCGCCGCCGAAGCAGACGACTACATCAACATCATCAACGCGCAAACGTGGGAGTCGAAGCAGGTCTTTGACTTTTTCGGTCCCGTCGGCGGCGCAGCTTTTACCCCCGACGGCCAATCCCTCTTCATTGCCAACGGCGAGAAGCGCTTCGGCGGCATCATCGAGCTCGAGCGTGCGGGCTGGCCTGATGGATCCGCCAGGCGTAATAGCCTTGATCACGAAATCTGGGACGACATCGCTACCGATTGGGCACATGACGATGTGCTGAGTCTGACCTGTGGCAAGGTTCATGGCGGAGATGTGGCGCGCCAACGACGAAATGTCGATTTGAGTCACGTTGTTGTTTGACGGTGACTTTGTAGATGAAAAATGTGGAAGAAACTTTGGTATATGACGGGGGGGATTTATGAAAATGCTATAGGTTTCTTTTCCTTTCTTTCTTTTTCCCCCGTCGGCTACAGTGTTTGTAGTGGTTTGATACCTACTATTCTTTCTGAGCGGGGGAATCTCCTTGGCTTTTTTTTGTTGCTGAAGGTGGCAAATCACCAAGGAAGAAGGAGGAGGATCCTCTACCCCTTTGTTGCTGTCTTTTTTTCTCTCTTCCTCTTCCTTTCCCTCCCTTCGCAACCCGTTTAATGCTGTTTCTCCTTTTTTTCTCTCAATCTTTCTTTTCTTTCTCGGATTTTTGTCCATTCGAGTTATATGCAAAGGCAAATGGCACTTGGGAGAAAAACATAGGGGTGGATGATACCATAATGGGCATTTAGGGGCATGTGAAATCACATTTAGACTTCTTTTCTTACTTTTCTGTCCTCTTTGAACACATCGGCCGTTTTTTTAAGCTTCTCATTCTATGCTCATACACATGTCGCATCCAAAAAGGTGGGGGACGTGCTGTGCTGTCTCCGATGTGGTATATTGTCTTGTTTTTTCTTGTGCATTTCACGTTACGAATTAAATTTTGTGAGTTTTCTCTTTCTCTTTCTCTTCCCCCCATCTTCCTCTTTCAGCATATCCTTGCATCATCGGCATCGTCCATCCCAGCCTTTGCCTAGCAAAATTTTCCTTTATAGTTCTTTCCAAAAAAAGACTGTGTGTGTGATCGCCTCAACGCCTTCGAATTATGTTATAGGACCAAAACCCTCAACGCCGTCAAATGCACAGTTCCCCCATTTGGAGTAGAGCCTAGACGAGCAAAACGGCGTTCAAGCATCCGTCGTTTTCAGGGTTGTTGGTGATTCTGTTGGTGCACATGTTAGTTGTTTGGTCCCTGGGCAAACATCAATTCATGGGACATCAACGTACTGAGCATAGCGACCCCAAACGACCTTTCCTCCAGCAGTCACAAGTCCGAGTTCGGAGACGTTTACTTCAATGATGGTACCCTTTGTCAACTGGTAATCGTTAGCATCAAGTGACTTGCGAATAAGAGTTTAGCAAAACATACCACACCCAACTGAGTATACAATGGCTGCTGTGGGTTCTTCTTGACCGAGCTATGCAGATGTTAGCATGCTGTCTTCCGTTTACATGGTTTCGAAATGACATACATGATCGGTAGTTGAACTGTTACGTTGAGTTCAGGGTGCGTGACGTTCGCCTTCTTGTAACGCAATCCCATAGGCCTGATGAAGCGCTGGATCCAGTGTCAGTGTGCGTTTTGTCCATTGAGCAATAGCTGTACAAACCTCGTATTTCACAGGTCGACGGGTGAAACCAGGACCGACAAAAGTAGGCTTGGTGATCATCCTCTTCCACGACTTCTTCTTTGTCTTCTTGCCCGTCTTTACAACACTGAACATCTAGATAAGTACAAAATTAGTGCATGTCCTTCATGAAACTGATACTAATGGTGCTCCTTACCTCCTCCTCAGAGATGCCCTTGACCTTTGGAAGCGGCACAGAGAACCTGGCAGCCTTCTCGTTTCCTAAAACGCAGTGTCAGCGCATGCAGACAATCAATAAACATAGTTTACTAACGCTTTTGCTTAATGGCAGAGGACAAAGCCTTGGCATTCTTTTCGTTGGAGCGGTCCAAGAGGTAGGAAGGTAACGCCTCGGTAGCGGGCTCGGGAGCTTCGTTCGATTTGACATTTCGCTCCTCGTGGGCACGAATCTTCTGCTTCATCTGAATCTTCTCCTTCCTACGCTTCTCGGCATATTGCTTCGCCCTCAATCCACGCAAGTTCTGAGCTTTCTTGGATGCATTGTGACCCTCGCGAGCTTCCTTCTTTCGTTGGCGTTCATCGTGATCGAAGCGCTTTCCGTGCCTAGGATGGGGCCGTTAGCCAGATTCTTCATTTGCCAGGTGGTGCAGCCTCGGTATTTGCGATGCGCGAAGGGTCTGCGGATGGGTGGGGGCATGGGCAGTGGGCACAAACGTACTGCTTCGTAAAGCGCTCAATGTACTCGTTCTGAGGCATGGCGATTACCTCTCTGTGCTGAGTGTGGTAGGGTAGTGGTGGAGTGGAGTAAGCCGCCCTACAACAGCGAGCGCAACTTGCCTCTCCAAAAAAATCGGCGCTAGCCCCCACTAGCGCGCAGCCATGCGGGAATCTTCAACATCGGACCTCCGCAACCACCAAGAATCTATCAAACCCCCCGGCAGTCTGCCAGCCATTGCGACTCGCACAAAACGCAACAATGGCACTGCTCGCTCGCACCGCCCGCAATGCTCTCTTCGAGTCGAGGTCGATAATACAGCCCACGATTTTCCGCGCAGGAGTAACAACAATATCGCACAACCTCGACACATCAAATACACCAGAACCGCTCATCCAATCCGGCCACCGCATATCACAGGAAGCCAAGGAGCGCTCTAAAACGCCTCAGTCTCTGCCATCAAACGCACCTAAACCTGCTACCTCTGAAAACATCAAAGCATCGCCACATGCTCGATCAGACATTGTCTCAACGACGCTCACACCCTCTGTCCGAACACTCCTTCCGCTCCTGCAAATGCAACCAGCACACTACATAACTGCACATCTCCACGGACGACCCTATCTCCTCACTCGCGGCGACACCCTTCGCCTCCCCTTCCAAATGCCGAACGTCCGCCCTGGTGATATCCTGCGTCTCAACCGCGCCACACACATTGGCTCACGAGACTACACATTAAAAGCACCAGAGGCCGTCAAGGGGACATCGGACCACGGGAAAAAAGTTTACTATTTGGATGAACGGTTATTCACTTGCAGAGCGCGCGTTGTGGGCGTCGAGAGCGAACCATTGCGGGTTAAGGAAAAGACCAAGAGGCGGCGGAGACATGTCAAGCATGTCAAGAGCAAATTGCACTTTACAGTGTTGAAGATTAGTGAGTTGGAGGTTAAGAGCCTGGAGGAGTATGAGGCAACATTGGCACAAGAGGGGGGGGAGCAGAGTGTACAATAGTGATGGAAGGGAAGGGTTATGCATTGAAAGATGCAAGGTCGCAATGCCTTGACGACGAATCCTTGATTATGCACATGTATCGACAATGAACTCGATCGAATTTATAGCAACCAACTCAATAGAGAAATCCTTGAAATGCACACACCCAGAGGGCTTTCTGTACTTTTTGACTTTCCCCGGAATGTTGGGTAAGCAAAACGACATGTGTGCGAGACTAGATTAGTGCCGTTCAAGACAAGAAGACACACCAGGTTCGCACTTGATAATTCTCAATGCTATGTTCTGTATCGTAACTAGTATTACAGTTGGGTATTGTGTGATTGATCCCAGTACGCCAATTATGCTTCGACAACCTCTGACTAAGCTCGCTATTTGCTAGACCATTGCTTCTAATGCACCACCTGCGCTGCATAGAAGTCTGGATGTTGATTCTGGATCATCGATGTGACCTTTTCTACCTCTTCTGCCAATCCAGTCACGTTGGCGTCCCATTTGCGCAGCTCCTTGCCCACTACTCGCTCCGCATGGCCCGTCTTGCGCTCTCCACTTGCCTCTCCCTCGAAGAAGACATAACGGTCTATTTGATCAATGTACCCAGCAAGACGGCCTTGCTCCAACATCTTGGCTGCGTAGTCCTCGGCCTTTTCTGCGTCAATGCCCAACAGCTCACCAAGCTGGTCGAATCCGATGTTGTTGTACAGTTTTGATGCGCCGACTAGATTGTGCTCGAGAATAGCCTTGTCCAATACTGTCAAGCCATCTGAGCCTCGTGCAAGGTGGTGCGGATCCAGCTTAGCAGAGAAGGCTTTGATTTCAGCAGGCGTAAGCAGACGGTTCAAGAAAATCTTCTCCAGGATTGCGAAGTCGTCTGCAGAACTGGCTCTGTCGTCTTTGTATAGCTTGGCCAACATCTTCCCTCGCTGAGGACCTGCTGGTGCGAGGACTGTACAGATAATGGCCCGTCCAAGGAACCCATCTCGCTCCTCACTGTCCACCAGAGGCTCGTTGCTTATGCCGTAGTAGGCTTGCGCAGCGTCCAGGAAGGAGCGTTGTGAATCGAGAATACGAGCTTGACTAAGATGGAACATGACCTTGGTCGCCTTATCTTGGACACTGAAGATGATATTCTTGATCTTGTTAAGATGAGTGTATGCACTCGTTGGGTCATCCTCTTCTAGATAGCACCGCACTATGCGGATCCATACTTTGGCCTTCTCATCAGGAGTGACGGACTTCTGGGTAGATTCTAGGTTGATGGTAGCTAGTGTCTGTGCAGACCGCCTGTAATCCTCGTTCTCTTCGAAAGCGTCTGCCAGTGCTTGCTTGATCTGTGTATCCTGCTCCTCATATTGCCCCACACCCTTAGACTGTAGTAGTGTAACAACCCTTTCACCAATCTCTATCTTGGCATCTGGATCCTTGAGTGTCCGGAAGGCGTCCACAAAAGCAGCAAGAAGTGGTCGGAGCACGACTATGCCGAGTGAGTCGTCGAGGAGAGTTTGTGCATATGCTTTTAGGTCGGCAGCCACATTGACCGAAGAATCGATGATATGCTGAAGGAGAGCGGTGTATTGAGAAGGCTTATCGCTAACAGGCGCCGTCTCAATCTCCTGCAAAGCAGTGGTGACAGCTTGCGAAGCCATGGCTTGGGGAGGGGCAAACGTAAACAATTGCGGGGGTTTGGCTCACTTGATCGTGGATGGGCGGTAGATTTCTGAGTTGAATTCGAATAATACAACCCGATATGAGAGAATCTGTTCACTGGTCTCACGGGGGAGGATCAAGATTACGCTCACAGTGAGTGGCAGGCAACAGACGTGGGGCAGCTGCGGCAAGTGCGAGGCTGCGCGACAGCTCCGCGTTATCGATAACGGCCTTGGCACGCTAATGCGAGCGCGCGCCGGGAACAACCAACAATGGGCAGCCTGCTGCCTTTCATCATCGGACCTACACCTTACCCTTCCTTCGTCGCCCTTGTGCCACGTCTTTATTCTTTCCCTTTTCCAACACCATCACGGTCCCTACCTCTGCCCGGAAAGTCAGGCACCCGTTCGCTACCCACTATTGCCACAATCTCTCTCACACGTCGCCATGAACGGCATCAAGGCAGACCCCGATGTCAAGATGGACCCAGACGCATCTACTCCAGGCGGGGGCTTTATGGATGATGAGTTCTATGAGGATACTGGCGAGATGATCATGAGCAAGGATAGTTCAGACAAGGATATCTGGCTCACGCGCATCCCGCCGTGGTTGTATGAAGCAGTTTCAAAGTGGGACGATCTCGCCGATGGAAACGACAACGACCAGATACAAATCGGAGAGGTTTACGGATTTGCGACAACAAGCGGCATCGATAAAACGAAGCCCATGCGTGTCTTCCTCAACGATCGCTGGCGCGCAAAGTCCAACCTGCCCTCTGCCTTCCAGCTCGATCCTGCGCCAGCCACCGACACAATACTCGGAAACACATATGTTTTCACAGAGAAGGATCTACCAGGCTTTCGGGGTCATGGCTACAGTAGAGGGGGCAACCAAGGGAGCTTTGGCGGTGTGCAAGATCCCAAGGCGCGCGTCCAAAAGCGAAGCAAGTACAAAAAGGCCATCCCTAAGCAGACCGCCCTTGTTGGTCATGCGACGCGACAGTACAATGCCAATCCTTTGGAAACAAAAGAGTACAAAGACTTTAGCGCAGCACGCATCAAGCAAGCCATTCAAGGCTCGCACATGACCACCATAATTACCAAGGATACCGAAGTCTCAGATGTCAACAATTCCATCATGCTCAACAATCGATTCAAGAACTTCATCAGGCCTATGACCAAAGGAAAATCGCAACAGAACAAGGCTGCTCGTATGGCCAGGTCGGATCTCATCGATTTCTTGCATACTCTATTCGACGAGTATCAGTACTGGCCTATGAAGGCTATCAAGCAGCGCACCAAGCAGCCAGAGCAATACCTCAAAGAGGTCCTTGGCGACATTGCACTGCTTGTCAAGTCTGGGCCCTTTGCAAGTAACTGGAAGCGCCAAGCCGTTTTTGAAAATCAACGTGATACCAGTAAACAAGCCGAGGCAGCTGCTCCAGAGGGCCCGGGTGATGGAGATTCAGAGGGTGAAGATGAGATGGAGGATGTGGTCTAGAAGACAGGCCCAAACACTTCAAGACCTCTACATGTGAGGATGAAGATGCTGGCCAAGGATGTGACAACTGCTTTAGCGATACCCGACTTGCACAGAAACATGCGCAGGTGAAAAAATTGGTATTTAATTGAAGACGAGATGTTTTTCTGCGTTTTCCTCTATTTGCTCTGCTAGAAACCATAAAGGAGGTATTTTTGGACTATTTGTATTATAAAGCATGCGCTTCTTACGGCTCGTAACCAATATATACTATAATGGACTCACATAGTCAAAGTGTAGTGAAGCACTTCAAGACTAGATACAGTTTGATCGCCAACTGTCATCATGACGCTAAACCGTTCATGACTCGTACCGGCCAGGCCGAAAAGTATACCGCAATAAGCAAACCGACCCACTTCCTTGCACTTCGGCTATGCATACGTATGTTCAATCTGTATAAGAACGCTCAGATTCATCCATTTTCACACATCTTATCCAGCTTACTCATTGTAATCTCTGTATACATCGACTGGCGAATAACAGTAGTCAATTCGCCGTTCTAAGAAGAGAAAACCAGAGGCGCCATGGCGCGGCAACAACAGCAGGGCCATTGGCTAGACAAGTATGCAAATAACCATGCTGCTTGGAAGGTATCAATTGCCCCCGATGGAAATCAGGCGTTCCAGCGTCCCCTGGGACTAGTGGAAACCTCTTTTGACGCTGATGGCACATACTATGGCGGTCGGGCAGGTATGTATACAAGCTCTCAGTACAACCCCCAACCTCGTTTTGCTCTGTTCTAGACTATTCAGAATATTCCTAGCGGTATTCCAGAACGAAATCAGTTATAATATCAACTAAATATCTCGTAGATATGACTAGTTTCTTTACCTTGGCCATTCAGCACAAACTCTCAAAAGACGAACTCCGGCATAGAATAGCCTTGGCATGGACTTCTCTTCGCCTGCAGCACCCTCTTCTTCTGGCACGTGTTCATGACGACCCGGATACAGGAATCCGTGGCTTCGCAGTGGATATCCCCTCTACACAGAACGCCGCTATCCAAGCTGTTAAGGACAACGTCGTTTGGATCGAAGATTCATATGACGAAGTCAATGACGAAGAAATCTACCGCCACGCCTTCAATGTGACCAGAATTATTGAGCCCAAGAAATGTCTGTCGAAAATACACGTTCTACCTATTACACGCCTTCCTGACGGGACATTCTCCCTCAGCCTCCTCATTGTAATTGCGCATCAAATATCCGATGGCTTGTCGGCGTACAACTGGTTCAGTCACTTCAATCGCATTATGAACCAGCCAATTCATGAAATCTTAGCGGATATCGAGGCATTCCGAAGAGCAGACAAAATAAAGGCCATTCTACCAGCAGCCCAAGAAGACTTGTATCCACCCATTGTCGGGAACAGAGCAAGGCAACGCTGGTTCTGGGCTTTGATCCGCGTGTTACGTCATGTACACAAAGGCTTACCACCGACATTTACAAACCCGCTTCGTCGCGAACAGAGACTGGAAGTGCCAGTACCATTGGAGCCAAAATTTGACAAAATCTTTAATTACAGTGCTTCATCACGACCACCAATGTCATGCGGACACATCACTGCTGCGCTCTCCGCCTCCGCATCCTCCCGCCTCATATCGCTCTGCCGTTCTGCACAAGTCTCCATAGGCGCCGGTTGCTTTGCTCTCGCAGGTCTAGCCATGATGTCGATCCATGAAGCACTGAATCCTTCATCCCAACACCCCCCCTTCACAGCATCCTTCCCGCTAAACCCTCGCGCCTGGTTCGTCAACCCCCCACCCCCAGAATCATGCATGCTCGCTTTCAGCGAAGGCATCGTCATGCCCTTCCTGTCCTCAGAACTTCCCATCGAAGGCAGATTCAAACTAGTAGCCAAGCACGCGAACCGCGAACTAAAGGGCTACCAGAAGCGGCTCAAAGGCAAAGGTACTGCCGGCACGGCGGGTATACTAGACAAGCACTCTCCAGCCCGTCTTCTCGCAACGGGATACGTTGCGCAAATCGAGATTATCCAAGGTAAATTGCCGCCTGAACGACGCTCCTCGTCTTACAGCAGCCCGCAAGGCTCGCTTCCACCCAGTACAGCGGGATTCAGAGCAACGTGCGGTGTTTCCTCTGTAGGATCTCTCGCGACATTTTTCAAACGGGGTACTTATGATCTTCAAGATCTGGGGGATAGGGATTTTGCAGCAGATTTTCGAGATGTAAATATAGGTGTTAGGGCAAGGGAGAATGAGTTTTTGGTGGGAAGTTTGACCAATGCGGAGGGCATTGTGAATTTTGGAGTGAGTTACGATTTGAATGCTATTAGTGAGGAGAGGGCGGAGCTGTGGAAGACGACGATTGAGAATTTGTTGGAGGTCGGAGCGCAGGCGAGGCTGTAAGAGGGTGCAGCGCAGGGTAAGAAATAAAATTGTGGTGTGCAATTTCTTTTTAATAAATTGAATCGGAAAGTAGGTTCCCAGTGACAAAAGAATTGGTTAGTTTAACAAAAAAGCCCATCTTGATGGAATTCTGTGATTTGTGGAGGGAAAAAAAAGAGAAGTGCAGGGTTGTGATCTTGGTGCACATTAATAGAGCATTCTAGTAGCAATTGGAGTTATATTCCTTGGGATGTTCGCACTGGTGATCCGGTCTCCCTGTTACATGTCTACATGTGCCTCACCAGTAAACAACATATGTGAGTGCTCTTGCCCATTTGCATAGAAACTGGCCAAAATACTGGATAATTTGTACTTTTGATCTTGTACATTTGAAACCATAATCCACAGTAGTGGTAGGTTCCGTGGCACAAACGCTTTACATGCGAGTGACCGAGTCCCATAACCCAACGCCTTGCTAAGTACGATGCAAATCCGCCGACACGGCCGCTTCAGTTGGCCTCGTGGAAAACCGCGGAAGTACTTTTAGGTATTCATGTCCTGGCAATGGCGCTGTCAAGGCGTTTTATAATCTCGTTCTGTGAACGTTGTGATTATGTCTGTTATAGCAGTCTCAGCATCCTCCGGCTCCGTGTGTGCCACGATCATCCAAGAACGATGAGGTATATTATCATAAGAGTGTTGATGAACATTAACGGTACTGTATGGAGGTCAGTCTGTATGTCCTAAACATTTTCCAGGGAAACCATGAGTGTTTCGTGTGGGGAACATGGCTGCTGGCGGCTGACGGAGGGGTAGACATACTCCGCATCAATGTTCGTACTGAGGAGACGAGGTTGATCAGTCGTGCCTTGACGCTTGAGTCATCGCGCTGACCAGGGAAGCCAGGATCTGCCGATGCTGTCCAACCAACTGTCCATAGTCAGTATACGTGTGTCCCAAATAAATCGATATAGCCGATGCGCGTGCGGGAGGATACAAGGAGGGACAGAGGGCGTCGAATCGGATCAAACGTACTGCGTGCGAGAAAGCGGTCTTCGGAGAGGATGGCGATAGCATTAATAAGGAGTACGGCAACTAGACGTGTTAGCGACTTGGTCTGTCCAATGCGACTTGACGAGGAATACCATAGAACAGCCCTCCCAGCCCGAAGAAAAACATATTTAAGGTCTGATTTGAGTGACCTTGCCGATTGGCGTGACGTTTGTAAAAGCAACACTAGGAACGAGGACTAGAGCGGTGGTGTTGCTGCGGCTGTATGTGAGAAAGACAGTTGTCGTTCGCCAGGGTCAAGCATCATAGGTCTTTGGATTATGTAAGCATTCATATCCGATCCGCGAAATAGTACTGGGTCGCGTTTCCACGATTGTTCTGCATGCTTGCGACACGTCAGATCGTTAAAGAAAAGAAAATGTATGTAGCTATTATATCGAGTGGATGTATACGGCCCTCGTGATCACGCTATCGGACATGCACCAGAGCATTCGGTATGTCTGACTGTGCACTGTAACATGACAAAAAAGAAATCTGATCGTGATAAGCAAGACTGATGCTCGATCTTGACGTAGATTCAATCTGAATCGCCATACTCTATGACAAGACAGCTGTGCATACTATACCTTCTCTAATAGTAGATCATGCGGTCCTTGGTTAGTAGCCCCCATATCAACCATAGTGGGTTGCGCTGATGATATAAGTAATACAGGTACATGCATGCATGCAGGGATTGCGTCCCAAGCAGACGAAACCGATCGGGAATCAGTGGAATTTGACACGTGTAGTCGGTCGGGGTGATCCAAGTTGAAGATATGCGCGAGCCGCGAGAATCCAGTGCAGGGGTCCGGCGATGATCGCTTGATCGCTAAGGCCATGGCGGACCCGGCGCGTGTTTCTGCATCGCAAACCCTTCCGCCAACATGTTGATTTTGCAAAAGTCGAATGGCCAGGCCCGGAGAGAAGGCCATGGCCGTTGCTGGTCGTGCACTATCCTAGCGCCTATTAGGTCAACATGCAGAGTTGCGTCATTCTCGTTGCACCAGGAGGGCGGTCGGGGTGAAGATGGCGTTCTAGAATCGCTTGTGCTCTGCTCTTGACCTGCCTATGTGCCGATACACACATAGTACACACATACAGCAGCATCTTTTGGGTAGGCGACTGCTGAGAAAATCCTCGACGCACTGCAACCTCGGCAGCTGGCAGAAGCTTCTTTGCCCCCGTGCGCTCATCGATTGTCTGGTCTAGAACTGATCTGCCCGCCTTTACGCCTCGTCGTTCAATCCCCACTTCGAGTGCCCATCGACTGTACTCTACTCTGTTCTGCAGGCGTTCTTCCTAACGTCTCCCGCCGTCACTCCGCCCACTAGCCCCAGAGGCGCCTTCAGCCTTTTTTTCTCTCTCTCGCGCCTTGTTGCACGCGACTGCCCCTATGCCTGTGCTAGGAAGCCCGCTGCTCGCCGCCGCCCAGTCTCCTTGAGACGATCCAACCTCCCGGCGCCCTTCCTTCGGTGCTACGGCCATTATCTCCGCGCCGACCAGGGTGCGAGAAACAATCTCACATACCTACATACACCTTGTCACGACCTCGTCACCGTAATGACTGAAGATATCGCCGGCAATGAGGGCGATTACTTCGCAATGGAGTCGCGCTCCCGCCCAGAGTCTCCAAGCTCGATACGTAGCGATCCCATGTCTATGCACTTGACTGCGCCCTCAACCACCATTGCGTCACTCACCGCGCTACAATACTTGCCAATCCCAGTCCTTGTCTTGTCGTCACAAAAGACTGTGATACTGGCCAATGAAGCCATGGGCCGGTTGTTCAACATTGATTTTGAAAGTATTCATCATCTCTCCATAACAGAGGCCTTGCAGGGCAAGACCATGGGAGAACTGGGTGTAGATATTATACAAAACGGTTCTCCGATCCTGATCACATGGGAGGTTGGTGTTCATGTGTATGGTTATTTTTATCCAAGTCAGCTAACGCATGTCATGTCTAGGCCTTCCTCAATTGCGTTGTAAACGATGCAGTGGCGGACAACGTGGATACAGACGGAGACTCTTATATGGCGAGCGGACACACCACGCCCACTGCAGACAACACCATGTATCGACAGGACAACCAGCAAGCCCAATCTCTGCCGCCTTTGAGTAGTACAAATCTTGCACGAACTACGGTACACGATGTATCGGTCGATGTGGTTGTCGTACCACTTGCTCTAGGCTCCGACGACACCCTGCAAAAGTGTGACAGAAAAGGATCATACAGTGACGCAGTACAGGCATCATGCATCGTTTCAATATGGAGCATTGAAGACACTCAATACTACACGTTGACCTTTACAAGCGCAACACAAGTCCAAGATTCCAAGAGCACACAACCCTCTACGCGTATGGTAAACCGTACAAATACCGGAGTGAGGCTCGACAAGTCACGCAGCTCGGGCTCAAGTACATCTTCAAGCCGACGTTCCAACAACAGTTCAAATCCCACATCCAAGGTTGCCACGCCCACCCTGCAGCAGCCAGAGTTCCCTCCCCGTGGTCCTCCTAGCAAAAACAAAAGTGACATTGCAAATTCCGCATCTGTCTTTCAGAAGGCAACACAGCTCAAAGATGCCATTCTTAATTCTATTACTATGCCTGCTTATGGTATGTTCTTTTTCTTCTTCCGCTCAACTGTCTGTATTTTGCTAACACTTCCCAAGCAATGTGGAAAGATGAGAGTTTTGGTATACCAAACAAAGCGCTACTGCGACTCGTCCCCAAAGACACTTCTTACCTTTCTGGCGACCAAAGAGATTTCCTTGCGCAGTTCTCGTGTTGGACTGAAGACTTCCAACGTCGCCTTCCGATAGAAGAATTCCCCATCATTGAGGTCTGTCGCCACAAGAAAAGAGTCGAGAAACAGCGGCTTGGCATCAGACACCCTGTGACAGGCTCTGGGATGGTGTACGAAGTCAACGGCGAACCGGTTTTCCATGAAGAGACTGGAGAATTTCTTGGTGGCATAGTGGTTTTCAAGGATGTTACAGAATACACCCAGAAGATTGCGGAGCAGATTGAGCAGAACGAAAAGCAATTCGAGTACATTGCAAACTTTATGCCCGTCATGGTATGGACGACTACCCCAGATGGCATGCACGACTGGTTCTCGAAGAGATGGTACGACTACACAGGCTTGACAGTGGATAAGTCTTTGGGCGAAGGCTGGCGGCTTCCATTCCATCCCGATGATATGCGCGCAACCGCTGCACGTTGGTTCCACTCGCTGGAAACGGGGGATGAGTACAACACAGAGTACAGATGTCAACGTTTCGACGGACAGTGGCGCTGGATGTTGGGGCGAGCTGTGCCCTTCTACGATGACGCGGGCCGGATAGTGAAGTGGTTTGGCACCTGCACCGACATCCATGACCTAGTGCTGGCACGTCAAGAGGCGCGACAAACAAGGGAGCAACTGCAACAGGTCATCCAACATGCAAAAATTGTCTTGTGGGTCATCGACCGCAACAATCGTGTCAAAGTGCTTGAGGGTGAGATTGATGCCAACGAACACTTTCCAAAGGACCAACTGCTTGGTAGAGACGTATACGACGTTCTTGCATTTACTGATAATAATCGAGAGCGTTGGCGCGGGCCAATACAGGAAATCCTCCAGGGCAAACAGTCGGATGAAATCGTCAATGGCGGTTACATGTCTGAGAATCGCTATTACCGAACCCGCCTAGTGCCGCTGATGAGCACGTCACGAACAGCAGGTGTTGAAGGGCAAGCTTTTGTGGATGGTGTTATAGGCGTCTCGATGGACATTACAGAATTACGGGAAAGAGAAGAACAGCTGAAGGAGCAAGAAAAGGAGAATTCAAGGCTACTGGCCAACGAAGCAGCAGCGAAAGAGGCCAGCCGGATGAAGTCTCAATTCCTGGCCAACATGTCCCACGAAATCCGAACGCCCATAGCTGGAGTCATTGGTATGAGTGAGCTCCTGTTCGATATGGATCTCAACGAGGAGCAAAAGGAATGCGCCGAGAACATCCACCGATCAGCAAACAGTCTCTTGACAGTGATCAATGACATATTGGAGTAAGCCATTTCTTTTTGTCAAGAATATTGATTGTCATATTCACCATGAAGGATTTGCTGACTTTGTCACCCCTTTTCAGTTTCTCCAAAGTAGAATCCGGTCGGCTGGACGTTGAAGAGGTGCAGTTCAGTCTCAGCGTGGTGCTCAGGGATGTCAACAAAATGATGGCCTTTGCGGCCAACAGAAAGGGGCTAGAATATCAGAGTTTGATCCAGGACGAAGTACAGTCAGATCTACGAGTCATTGGAGACCCAGGCCGGCTTCGCCAGATCCTTACCAACGTCCTCACCAATAGCATCAAATTCACGTCTGTAGGGACTGTCCAACTGTCCGTTTCTATCAGCCATGAAACAAAGGAGACGGTCACAGTCAACTTCAGCATTGTCGATACAGGCATCGGAATTGAAGAAGAGGTTCGCAAACGGCTATTCCAGCCTTTTAGTCAAGCAGACTCATCCACAGCACGGAGGTTTGGTGGAACTGGTTTAGGACTGACTATTAGTAAGAACCTGGTCGAGCTCATGAAGGGCCAGATATGGCTCGACTCCAAGTTGGGACAGGGCACTACGGCCACATTCTGGATCCCCTTCACCCGGGCCCCCTCACAGGATGGCGAGTCTCCGTTGGTGCATCTGGAGTCCATACCGGATCGGCTTCAGAGTGACATGTCAGTCTCCTGTGGAAGCTCTGAAGGCCATACACCACCGTTGACCCCACAGGTGTCCAATGGAACTTCAGCTTACCCAATGTTCAAGTCGGCCATACCGGATCAGTTCATGAGTCTTTCTGAGAGTGAAAGACAGAATGTCCATGTGCTAGTTGTCGAAGACAAGTAGGTTTTCACCAGAATTCATGACTGAAGAAATTGCTCACCAAACCGTCTACAGCCACATCAATCAGCAAATCGCCCTCAAAACTATTAAAAAATTGCACTTCTCAGTCAACGCAGTGTGGAACGGCCAGGAAGCACTTGAATACCTGGCCAAGGAGTTCGGTCCGTTACATCCACGTCCGGACATCATCCTTATGGACGTCCAGGCAAGTAAACCATGTAGGGCTGCTCTGGCTCGGCAGCTGACGAATGATTGCAGATGCCCATTCGAGATGGCTACTCTGCCACGCATGCTATTCGGACAGAAGCTCCTTGGCGCAACATGCCCAAAGTTCAGGGTGTTCCTATTGTTGCCATGACGGCTAGTGCAATCCAAGGGGACAAGGAAAAGTGCGTGTCGTGCGGAATGGATGTGAGTACTGGAATAGACATGAACTAGTGTATGGAAGAGCGAGAAGTACTGAAACTTGACAGGATTATCTGGCAAAGCCAGTAAAAGGAAAAATTCTGGAGAAGGTAAGTAGGTTCCCCAAGCAGACGAGTGAATTCGCTAACGACCAAAAGATGCTTGTCAAGTGGGCACTCGAAGGACGGCGAAAAGCGGCAAGGGAAACGCCTTGCACAAATGACAAGGATCGACGGAGTAAAACAGTTCCGAACCCTGGAAACAGCTTTAGTGCTAGTGATCACCCGCGAACGGCAGGCATGTCTCTGGAATCTGAAACGACGGCGCAAGCACTGACCGCAGAACTTGACCGCCTCCACTACCAGAGCGATGCAGCGTTTGCCAGGTCCAGCGAAAATGAGAGTGAAAGAGCCATGCGACGTATCCATGCGGAGGAGAGGGATAGGAAATTGCGGGACGAGAAGCTATTCTCGCTCGTGGGGCCTCAACTGCTTCACCACAAGGCGTCCGAGGGGCCCCACAGTGAGCCGTCAATGCCTTTGACCATGGAAAACATTGAGAAGCTGGTGCACGAACAAGACGCGGATGGCTCTGTTACGAGAAAATCCCCCTCACCAGACGAGATGGACTCGAGTGCTACCAACCATGGGCCTCACAACATGAGTGAGGACGACAATCACTTGCGACCGCGGTTGCAACACGTCCGGAATCATGAAAGCGAACAGACCATTGTTGAGCAAGTGGCTCGATGAAGCAAGTGACGTTGAAAGAAAGGGAGAAGCCGAGATGGTACCGTCAGGTTGACGTGCAACTGAGGAATGAGAGCAAAGGCTGCTCCTTCCTTTTTAGAGCTGGTCCATGGCGCACTCCACCAAGAAGGTCATGCGTCAACCGTGCAGAATTTCCCACTTGAGTGGACGGGTTGAGAATAATCAAACAAGCACAAGGGCTGTTGGCAAGGGGCGCTCAGCTACGACCACGGTTTGGGGAAGTGATGATGATGACGATGATGATGATGAAGATTATGAAAGTTTGATGTTGGGGCTGGGGGGAGCGGAGCTAAGGGGGGGAGGGGCCGCTCAGCCAGGCTGTGGTGATTGGAACGGCTCCCCAAGGCATCAGAGCACGTGCTTTTCCGCTTTCACGGTAGCAGCACGGAGGGTGATATCCATGCAATCTCATGTCAGAAAGAAGCGTGTGGCTTTCCTCTTATAGTAGCTATGCACTTCCCAACGACGTCATGTGCAATGGAAGGCTACTTTTGCCGTTAAGAAGCAGCATCGTATTTTAGTGCAGGTCGCTCGGAAGGGGTAAATGCGACGTACTTGGGAGTGTTTTTGGGGCGGGCGGACAGGCATAGGGCGGGCTGTACGAGTAGTACTGTAGCATTGGCACTGACATGGGGGTGGCATTGGTATTGGCATTCGCACGTTGACAATTTCTCTCGTCTTCTTTTTTTTCATCGCGCATAAAGGGGAGAAAAAAGATGACAGTGTAGGATTTGATGATGGTCACAAGGGTTGGCATGCGGTTCGGATTAGGAAGTGGGCAATATTCCGATCTGCGAACTGCATTGCACGTTCGTTAGTTTCCACATGGCAGCCCGTCTCAAAGTGGAATTGGATAGGCAATCACTTCCCAAAGGATTGACTTTATGATGAAGATCATAAGCCTTGGACGTTAGATAGGTGCGGGAAGTGGGATGAAGATCATAGTAGACAAGTCAGATAGGATTTTGGACATGCAGAATCTCCCGCGCAAACCTTGGAGACGCACAGACATTTCTTGTTTGATTTGTTTTGGTTACGCAGCCCACGCGCCCTCACCCCCTTCAAGGCTGTAAGGGTGACAGCCCACGTTACTCCCGCAGTTTCAACAGACGTTACATCGGGCGGCTTGAGCACTTGGGGACACTGCGGCACGCCGACTCGAGGCATTTTTCTCTTGGCATGCTAGCTGGTGATTGGTCGGCGACGCGGGCCCCATTGCGCCGCTGCCCGTGACGAGCTTTTTGCTCAAAAGAATGGATGTGCAAGGTTATGTACAGGAGTGTACATGGCAGGGTGCCAGAATGTCGGGTTCTCTTGATTCGCTGCCTCGCCGACCACATTTGCTTTGCTATTTCACTCGAGTGCTTTGCGCTTGTTGATAGGCTTTCGGCTCACTTGCTGCCCTGTTCTCTAGTGAGCCTCTGCTGTAGCCCTGGTGGGTGGTCCACTTTGGATGACTCCGCAGTGCCCTCTTGCATCAAGGAATGTTAGTCGACCGGTGTGTGAGTACGTACGACTACAAGGACGAGTGCAAATTTACTATCTCTATCTTGCCCATCTAAAAAAAATGCGCCCCCGGCTGTCAGAATGCGCTGATCGCTCTTGCAGAGCCGCACGTCTAGCTCACGACGGAACCGTGGGGTAGGCTTGATGGCGATCTCCAGGAAAATGGGAACAGTGTTGCACATCGAACATAGAAGTGTACATGCGTAGGTGTACAACCATGTCTACAGCAGCTTAGACACGCTATACAACGCATACGAGAGGGGAGAGAGGGGGGGCCGGGCGGCGGATTTGGTTCTCCACGCACCATGCGCTACTACTCGTATTGGCTGACTAGACTCTGATCTCGGAAATAAAAAAGAGAATCCACAAGCTTATCAACGAGTCGCCTGGCTTGGCAAGCCAACACAAAGTCGGCTCAACAAGTCAACGGCTGATAAACTGAGGGGATGCGGCCGAGCTTACGAATGCAGGGTCCAGTGTGCAAATGCCGAGCACGTCGTAGCCGGTAACGGACAACAAGGCATGGAAGAGCATGGGACGCGCAAAATTGCACTGTAGCGCGAGGTTGCGGTCACTTTGAAAAGGGCTGTATCCACTGGTCTTGCCATGGAGCCCGAATGAACATAGCGGGAGCGGTAGAGCAGTTGAGCAAGTAGTTGTAGTTATTTGGGATGACGGCTCGAGGAAGTAGAGCAGAGTAGTGCTTCCGCCGACAGGTGCATGGCCGTAGTAGCGCTGGAGAAAGGCGCAAGCGTGTGGATACCAGGCGCGTTCAAGTGACTTTGGAGAGCGGGATGGCGCTGCTGCTACAGGAGTTGCCCTGCATCACAAGGCTCCGCGGAACGCCCAAAAGTACAAAAGTGAGGGGTGTGAGGGGGTGTGAGGGGGGTGTGAGGGGGGGAGTGCACAGTGCAGTGGTGGGTATGTAGAGTAGTGGGTATGGGTAATGGGTGGTGATGGTGGTCCGGGCACGATGCGCATGGGATGCAAGGCGGCCGTATTATAGCAGCAAGCAGCCAATCAGGCGCCGCTGCAGGTTGCGCTAGTGGGCGGTGAGATGGCAGTTCCCAGTATGCGTCGTCTTGGCTCCTTTGCCACTCCCCTCGTCACTTGCAAAGGCAATGCGGCGACGACTTGCCCACCGCATCGCGGCCGTTGCTGTCCAGTAGAGTACTACATACTTGCTGTGCCAGCGGGCGCCAGATATACGACAGAGTTCCGACATAACTTGGCTGGCGAAGGCTATGCAGCCGGTGCAGGCACACGCACATCCCTCCTACTCTGCTCCCACCACGACTGTACACCTACTTACTCGAGCGGCACGCAATGCGCACTTGGCCGCCTCGACATCATCTTGCATGCGGTGCTGCTGTCGCCAGGTACAAATTGTGCGGTGCGCCAATCAGATGCCGCTAGCAGCCCCCCAGCTAGCAGCAGCGCTATAGCAGCTTTGCCCATGACGACATCCAAGGCCAGCGCCCACTTTGTCTTATTGCCCTCACTCAGCAGGGCGTGTCATTGGGAATACAGGTGGGGCTTGGCTCTCATCACTGCTTGCAGCTAACAGGTCTCATGCGCTTGAGTAGCTATGTACACTTACATACACGCAGGCCTATCTAAGTGGATGGGTGTGAGTGCAAGTGTGTCGTAGGAGCCATGTTGTCGTCATTGGCAGGCATAGGCGCTGTAGGTAAGTACAGCAGCACTATCTGCTCGTACCAATGGGTATACCACTACCACGTCGAGTGGGTGCTGTGCAAAGCAGGTACGGCGACGAGATGACGCTGTCCCCTATTAGAGTGAGGACGTCTTCCCCCATCCAGCCTACTTGTCCCAAACTGACGTGCAAGCCTCAGCTTTTTTGGTCCACCATCTGACAAAGCCTCTTAGACGTCTGGCATCAAAAGCAACGTGGACGGCGATCAAACGCTTGACCATTGCTTAGGTGTGCGCACAGGCGCATGTGCCTCAGGGGACTAATTTCACCAGAGGCGCTTTTTTTTTCTCTCCTCGACGCCGCCGTGCACAATGGAGAGTCAGGAGGGGGAGGGGGCGGAACCCGCGCTAGGACCAGGTGGACGACGGTGGGAGAGTTCGAGTTTACGCAACGTCGTGGAGATGGGCTGTGGCGGTCCGACTCCGCGACGCGAAAGCAGCGTGCCCGGCCAGTGTCCGGCGCGATGCACCTCCAAAAGGGCAAGTGTGTGAAGCCGCTTTTTCGGTCCCTCTTGCTGGCGCGGGCCTTGATCCTAGACGACCGTTGTTGTGCAGCGACGCTTCTTGAGTCGTCGATGCTTTCGCGCTCAGAGTGGGAGAAAAAGCACAGCAACCATCACAGGGGCATACTACACTACACACAAGCACCCACCAGGATGATGACAGCGACGCCCCATCACCATGGCCGTGCCGCCCACACCCATACCCACGCCCACGCCCAGCATGGCTGCGGAGCCCTCGCACTGTCCGCTCCGCACATGTGGCTAGCCGTGGTGCCCAAATGGGAAGCATGCAATTGTGAGCATGCGTGCTAGGCTGCTTCAATGCGCGTCGTCGGCCCTAGTGCTGGTGGATGCACGCCAAAACAAAAGCCAGAAAGCCCTCCCGCGCCTGCCGCCCGCTGATTCGCGGTGCGCTGGCTGGCAGAGAGCTTATTGCTAGCCTTGCTGGCCGGACAGGCGTAACGCGAGTGGTGTGGACTGGTGGACTGGTCGCCGACGGAGGCGCAGGCTTGCCGGCCATGGTTCAGACGACGAGCGGAAGGCAATAGCCATGGTGCGGTGCTAAGCCAACGGCACACACCGGGCTGTTGAGGCTACAGTGCCAGATGGCGCGGATGCAACGCAGCCCGTGGGCACGTCGCTGAACGACCGCTCTCCACCTGCGTAAGTAAAAGCAGCGGTGGGCGCGCGCAGGGCTAGCGTCGACTGCTACCCCCTGTCGGCGCAGACGTAGCAGCGTCCGGGGTGCTGAGCCAGCATGCCAGCTCCTCTTGCCTGCCTGCCTGCCTGCTTGGCCCCTAGCCTATGATGGCGGTCCTGCTGTGAACCCAAAGACGTAAACCCTCCACGCACGCGAGTTTATCAATGAGGGCTCCCCGACTGCTTGCCCGCTGATCAACAGCCTCTTCACCTTCTGCGCACTGCCCAACCCTGACCCTTTGGCCCTGCCCCAAACCCCTCTATACTGCTTTCATCATCGCTGCTCTCTTATCCTTACTTGTTTGTCGCTGGCTTGCTTTTTCTGGCGAATTAACGTTACCGAACTTTTCCCACGGCGACACGCAACACGCAACCCACCCCACACCCTCCGCCCCTGCACCCACTGGGCATTCTCCCCCCCCCGAGCACGGGTCCTCGACGTGAAACGCCCGAGCGTCTGCCACTCGGTCGCTGGTGTCCGCTTCGCCCTACACCTAATCTCGCTGGCTCTTTGTCACGGGTCCTGCTTAGTACAGGTCAACTGATCGACATACCAAAGCGATCATCATTACTCCTCTCGGAATACCACTGCACGGGAGTCCCCAGTGTCAGAGAGAATTCAAAAGGTCGCAGATCCCATCGTTGACTGCTTGTGATCGACTATCTCCACGTTTTTGACCCTCGACTACCTTGTTTCACCTTTTGGATCTACGAGTCGAGTCTTGACTGTCGCACTCAGCTTTATTCTCTTGTACCACTTCACCCTCCTGTCCCTTCCTGGACCCTCACCATCCCTTCGCATCCTCTATCAAAAGTCTCCGCAATGGCAATGGCAGTCGACAATCGCCAGCAACCCCAGCTAAACGGCATGGGCTACGACCACATGCGCTACCCACAACAACCACACTTCACCAACCCATGGGTCTCGGCCAGCACCTCACAACAGCAACTCTACCAGACAACTGTGGCACCCAATGTCGACGCACAGCGCCCCACAAGCATCGCCATTCCCTACCACGGCATGCCCGTCACAGCCCCTCCCATGGGACAAGGTATTACTCTCCCGGGTGGCAACTTTGCGACACCAAACTTACTTGATGCCTCTGAAGATCTCATGTCACGAGGATACCCAACTGGCTATGCTACATCCGCCTCCCCTCAAAATCAGACTTATGCTCCTACTTCAGCTCCATACTCCCAGGTGGAATACGCAAACACAGAACGGAGCCCATATGCATTCCAGCAGGATGCGTCTCGTCGCTCTTCACACCCGTTAGTCCCCTCAATAGCATTCTACGAATCCGTCGAGTCCCAGCGACAGCGCCAAAGTTCACTTGTTGACTTTAGCAGAATGAATAGCCAGCAGCCACGCAACAGCTTTAGCGATGCTCTCGATGCTAGCCGCGGCATGGTTTCCCTGAGCCAGTCAGATATTACACCAAGGAATATCTACGGTACTCAGGGAACCAGCCGCAGTTCCACAGAATCTTACGGATTCCCTTCGACACACTCCGCCCACTCTTCCATCTCATCTGCCAGCTATGGTCCCAACGGATACTACGGTGGCGAAGGCTCAGTCACCGACTACAGCTCCGCTTCCGAGTCTGTTGACCTAGGCAGCTCGCGCACCCTTCCTCGCCCCAACGCACTTCTCGGCGCAAGCATGCCCCCTGCCCCCGCCTCCATGATGAGCCAGTTCAGCTCAAAGGTCTCATCCAGCTCGCAAAAGAAGCACAAGTGCAAGATTTGTGACAAGCGCTTCACACGACCAAGCTCCCTCCAAACCCACATGTACAGCCATACTGGAGAGAAGCGTAAGTTTTTATTTCGGACTCTTTTTTGGATTGTCTTGCTAACTGTATCATAGCATTTGCTTGTGAAGTTGAGGGTTGCGGACGCCACTTCTCTGTTGTTTCCAACTTGAGGAGACACCGAAAAGTACACAAGAATGACGGCAGCATCGACCATCCATCACCAGACAGCGTCGAGCACTAAAGGACTTTTAGGTCCAATTGTTTGTGTTTACGCTTCTTTACCTGTATCATCATCGGCCTTATCGCTCGTCTAGCACACCTGATGTTTGAGATACCATTGTTGCGCATTTGTCCGCCAAGATGTTAGAGGGAGCCGCATCTAGTTTGGATGTTTCTTCCACCTATCGCTGCACACTACTGGCTTTTACGGAGATACCACCTGGCCCTATTGCCTACGAAGGAGGACCACCACCACGGCGTTTTTTGGCGTTTCCATCTGCGAGCCCTTTACGAGTATCTGTTTGTCATTTTTGTCTCCTTTCGGTCTGGAGCGATTTCCTCAATACTGTAATATTACGCGCATCGATCGCCTGGGCCAGGATATTGTTTTTCCTTATCGCCTGCACATATTCGCCTAATTCCCAGCTGTGCTCGATAAGGCCTCCGGTCCACTGTCGTCACGAAGCACATGCTGTCATCATTCGCTTATACCCTTTAATATCTTTTAGACTCTCTTTTAGCAGCCACCCGGCCGATGCAGCGTTTGAACGGACGGTTTGCAGAATGACGTTTGTACATTAGCAGTAGCGCGCATAGGTACCACATAGCGACTGGTAGTAGCCAGGGTAACTATCAACACGACACTTAGTCGAGTTTAAGCAGCGCAAAAAAATGACGCATTTCTCCATATAGTGGATGGGGGGAGTGCGGCAGAATCAAAAAGACCCTTGTTTAACTCACAACCGCGCCCTTCCTATTTCGACGTGCTTTCCTTTATCCTCTGTTCCGCCCGCCAGCACTGTGACGACACTGCAACTATCTGGTATGGTACCGTGGATCCGTGAGCCTTCGTCATACGGGAGCACCCGGTTTCAGTTGGACCAAAACGTCGAAAGCCATTGCTCTGCCCTTTTGCAATGCCATCATTTGGCGTTCGGTGAGCGGTGGGCTTATGACCGGGGTAGAGGCTTGGCATTCGTCATGCAGCATCATACCCTTGCTAGCCACTGCTGGACCCTGAAATTTGGCCCACCTCCACTGGCCTCCCGTCTGTCAGCGAGTGGGATACCTGCCGATGCACCTTGTGCCGCCCCGAGGCTGCTGTGCCGATGCCATCTTCCATCCATTGGGCCCCCCTCTTTCCTGGAATGCCCCTGTTCAGCGGCTTGATGTTGCGTATGAGGCTGCGCAAAACGCGACAATTCACCCTCCATGACTCAACTGCAAACGTGCAAAGGGCCGGTGTGCATATGTGTGTGTGTGTGTGCTGACGACGTCAGACTTGCTCTCTCTTCTCGTCTCAGGCACCATGTCAACTGCGGGTCTTGATTGCCTCTACACACAGACTCCCAATCACGGTCCTCACTCGTGGTGAGTGGATCACACACGTTGAAGACCGGTCCGAAAGGAGCTTGAGATGAGATCGTAGCGTGCCTGACTGTATCCCACCCCTCGACCCGTTCCTTCGAGGCAAGATCGCCGGGAGGACGCGACGCCTGACAGCGTGTCGAAACACAGGGCTGACTGTTCTGTCCAAACGCATTGTCGCGGAAACATGACGACCCAAATTCTCTCGAGCTTTGATGTCTTCCTACTAGAGTATCCGCCTCCGCTGCTAAACTGGGTCAGCGGAGAGAAGAAAGCAATTTGCGTTGCAGTAATGCCGGCCAACGTCCCGTAAGGGAGGTTACCCGCAGACACCTTTTCCATACGTTTCCCTCTTGCCACCCACACCGGCCCCTCTACTTATCTCGCCCCTTAAAATGCTGTGCGCCAAACAAGACGAAGCCTTCACTCCTACAGCAGCCATCACGCATGTCATGAGTGGTATTGGCATCGTTCCCTTGCCTTATTGGTAGCACACGCACATCGTCTACTAGTTGTCCTGCCGACTAACAACCGATAGTGAGGATGTATGCATGCGATCAAGACAGGCACTTGACTGTGTCAGTTGAATGCTAGCTCTGTCGTTGTGTAAAAGGCAGAGTACTGTACTCAAAACAACAATATTCAGGCATGCGATATTTTTAGCCTGCACACACATTGTTTTAGGTATTTGTATCTGCACCAACGTCTCAACTTTACCAGGTATGATTGAGTGTTTAATATATGTATAATCCCAGCTCCCTGCCTCGAGTGTTGTTGCACTTTGTGGAAAATAACCAGATGAGACTGGCCAACAACTGCACCATTGTTCCTGCGGCTGTCTTGCTATGCGGGAATAAGAACCCGTGCGACTTCAGCATATCACGACAGGGTATTGTGTGACGGTTTGAGCATGCATACATCTATTGCAATAACACTTGTGTCCAGTGGTGGCGAAAAGTGTTCAACATTGATTTCTGACCTGTTTGGCCATCTATAGGACAAGCGCAGCTTGCAACAAGAAACCCACACAGGGTCCATTATGCTGGCCTTTGCCGAACATGTCTTCCGCTTTCCCAGACATGAATTTCTCAGTAACGAGAGCGGAGCGACATCGCTTGCATGTCAGATGCCAAGCAGTCCTTCATCGCCACTCCTTTAAACCACTCCAAGCAAGCCACTCTACCAGTTCAGGCATCAATTTAATCTCCATTGCTACTGTGTGCCAGTCAGTCCGCACGGATGTGCTGTCGTCCAACAGTATTGTTCAGTCTCACAGAAAAGTGGACCTCATATCAAGATTAAACCAACCCCGCAATCCCATATCTGATCTAATATGGTTTCAGGATTCCGCACAGCTGTCAAAATGTCTCCACTGCTTAAACACGCGCAGCTTCGGGTTTGCAACCGATGCTCTTACACCTTCCTGATTTGTTGATAGCTCAGGTAATTTCAGCTTTTACGGACCCATAGGCCGCGCAATCATCCGCGTTACGAGCGGATTGCTTGCTTGCATTCATGATAGCTTTGTCAGCCTCGTGGTGTCTGGGTCGTGTGTACCACCGTACCGTTTGGACAATGACACAGATGCCGGTCCACATGCTCACTCCCGTCCGTAGGAAATCTTTTGTCGCTTGGTCTTGTTGTTGTGTTCATCGTCGTCTTCAGCCGCCTTCTTCTTCTTATTATTATCTCCTGGCTTCGCACCGTTCGTGGGCTGGCTCGACTCGCGTGTAGGGAAGGACGAGGTCGGCGCAGGAGCATGCGATGGGGTTGCTGAACCTGGTGTCGACGATTCCTGGATAGTAGCGTCAGCATACCTTGTCCCTCCTCTATATTCTACGCTGCGAGAAGGTCTGGTATTCTCCTTCACATACCCTCAAGAAGCTGGTCGAACTCCGGCTGAATATCCTGTCCGCATCATTGATTGGGGCTTTTCGCCTTGTCGCAGTTCCTGCCCCGCCCGTGGTGGTCGTAGTCGCTGCGCCCTTGATGTAATTGTCGAAGCCTTTTATGATGTTGCCGGCGCTCGTCTCTTCTAGGTACTGAGTTTCGACTCGTAGAATGTTGTCTTCGAGTTGTAGCTATCACGAGAGATTAGCACACGCATCTCTTATACACCTCATCCCATACTAACCAGATTGTTATCGATCAAGCGCTTCTTGTTCAGCGACTCGCGGAGGTCACGTCGCAGCCTCTCATAGTAGGGCGTGCCGCGCGAATTGTCTGTGCTTCCATTGTTTGCGCTTCCTGGGGGCGCATTTTCCGTCATTTTTTAATGTCGTAGATTGTAGTGTAAGGTCTTGGGCGCAACTGCCAGCTCTTATCGTAGTGAATGTCGCGTGTACCAGATCTGCAGTTTGGAAGTTCATGGTCGCGGTTTCCCTCTGGTGAACGCGGAGGCTAGCGTCGCTGAGCTTGGGCCTCTTTGAGGAAACGCAACTTCTAGATCACAACGGGAGACGGCATCGCGCCACGCCTCCTACTCTCCTTCGAATACCCGTTACCAACGTCGCCCGTACGCCCCTTCACCGCGTTCGCTTCCACTAGTCGCGCTTACATCCGGACGCGACCTTGTTGCCCCGCGCCGATCCCAACACACAGCCGTCATACCATCAGCCTGATCGCTATCCGCAAGCGCAAGCGCGACAACATCTCGAGTTTTCGTACGAAGAACAGGAGGATCTTACTTTTAGTGCGACTCGCGAACGAGTACCGATCCTTTAGCGAAGGCATCTACCGTTTCGCGCCTATCCCCGACTTCATTTCAATAAATCGTAACACCTTCGTCATGGCAATGGATGCGAAAGAGATTGAGCTTCGCGGAAAGGCAATCGGCAAAGCCGTCTCAGAAGGCGAACCCAGCACTTCTATTCTGAAGTTGCTAAACGACCTCAAGACTGGTGTCCATGCCACTGAGGACCTCTTGCGCTCAACAAGGATTGGTGTCACCATCAACCGTCTGCGTACACACAAGGACCCCGCTGTGCAAAAATTGGCAACGGAGCTGGTAGCAAAGTGGAGGGATGAGGTCAAGAAGAAGCAACCGCCCAAGAAGGACGGCCCAGCCAAAGTAGCCACAAGCAACGGTTCGGCATCTTCACCCGCTCCTCCACCATCAGGCACTGCTTCCCCAGCGCCCAGTCAATCCAAGAAGAAGCATGACGTGCCTTCTGATAAGCGCAACCACAAAACAGATAAGGTCAAGTACCAAGTCACTGGAAACGAGGCTCGCGACAACTGCGTGAGGTTGATGTATGACGGTTTAGCTTTTATGAGTGAAGCAAGTAAGTAGAGGCCTTTGTTTGGCTCTGGGCTTTTACTGATTCATACCCTAGTGCCCGATGAAATCCTCAACATTGCCAAGCACGTTGAAGCCGCAGCTTATAGCAACGCTGGTAGCGTGAACGATGCCTACAAGGGAAAGATGCGCTCGCTTTTCCAGAACCTCAAGAACAAGTCAAATCCCCAACTCCGTAAACGAGTTCTCACTGGAGAAATCACTGCCAAGAGGTTTGTTGTCATGACGCATGACGAAATGAAGTCGGACGCGCGACGAGCCGAGGACGAAAAGCTTGAGAAGGAGAACATGAACCAGGCCATGGTCGCCCAGGTCGAGAAGGCCATATCAAAGGAGTTCCAGTGCGGAAAATGCAAGCAGAAGAAGGTCAGCTACAGCCAGGCGCAAACCAGGTCTGCTGATGAACCTATGACAACTTTTTGCGAGTGCATGAACTGTGGCAACAGGTGGAAGTTCTCCTAAGGAGGGCATGCGGCTGAGCGAACACGTGTGGGCGGCGTGTGGTGTGTACGAGTATGTATGGTTGCCTTATTCCCAAAATCGTAGTAGCAGGCGTTTCCATAAAGGGCCAGTCACAGAGAGACCGCAGGAGATGGTAAGGCCTCTGCGGGTCTCGATTTTTTCTCTCTGACATGTCCTGCAAAGTGCAACCAACATGTTTACTTTATTATTTTTCTTCTGACCTCTCTGGTTGGCACTGGTTCGTAAAAGGTCGTGTATCCAATCTACAATATTTGAATCACTCAACTTTTCAACGGAGACCTGTGGTCCTTGTTTTTCCAATCAGCCTTTCGAGCTTTAGGGGACTTGATGCCTGTTTGCAAAGCGATTGTTGATTGAGTCTGTGTTACCTTCTGCTAGCGGAAGCTTCCTGCCTGCCTGGATTGTAAGTAGATTGTCGTCACATCGCAGGGTTTTGACACATGATAGATTGCTGGGACCTTCAATACATGTTGCGTTCACCTGTCTATCGAGCAATCGACTGATGCAGCAAACAGTTCATCGACTGACATCTATAACACTAAGTTCTCGCTGTATCTCTCTCCGCACCATCGAGATAACACCTCTTTATAAATCATGCTTATAAGTGATCATAAGGCCTATCTAATCGTCTACCTTACATATATATATACTGCATTAATAATGTATCATCTCCTCCTTCACACGATCGCCCTTTATCCGTCTTCTCCAAATATATTACGCAACAGCGCCACACACACATGTTCGACATGTGTATCAAAGGCCAGTCTACAGCTTTGTACCTCGCGGTATTAGCGGTCTTGGGAAAACTCAAGTTGGCAAGAGAGAGATGATGAAAGGCACCAAGTCCTCAAATCATCTTCAACATCGGCGTAGGTTCTGGTGTCAGACGCCCCTAGCCCACAATTAGTGGTACGGCGTAAACGGATATATAATTTGCCCCTCCGGAGGCCACATGAAGCTGAAGTTGAGCTCAAGTCTGGGAGGAGAGAAGAATGTCTACAAGTGTTGGATGAGGTGGCTGTTGGAAATCTTCGACGAGACTTTTCAACATCTTGTGATCGTCATGTTCACCAGTACCTGCTGCTTCTATAGAGATGGCTCTCGACATCTATCAATATACATCTTCTCCCATTTCTCGTACCGTGGAAGCAATGGAGATAATGCCCTCAAACTTCCATTGCCAAAACCGAAATACCTATTTTCAGTCATCATTTATGGAACGCCTACATACTCCGAACTCTTGATGATATTTTCTGTCGTGCCCACTATGTGTGCTGTTCGTGAGGAAGTGTCACAAATAAATAACGGCAAAATCTGCTGAGTTTGTCTAGCACTTACATGATACCTATGTTGACTCATCGTCGTAGAAATCCAGATATCTGCCCAGGAATGCATATGGTTATTGGGGCATTTTGATTATTTTGGCATTGACAGTAATTTGAAAATTCAGTGTTAGGTAAGTAGCAGTAACTAAAACTTCACGTTTGACGCTTTATCACAACCTGTGCGATGCCATTGACATGATTGTCCACAATTCCTAATAGTGTTTGTAATAGTGGGGCAACTACAATGGCTCAAACACATTATCATTGCTTTTGTTAGGCACACCACCAGTAGTCTTCTTGGCGTTTTCTTTTGTGGACGTGGTGTCTGTAATCACTCTCTGAATTCAGGCTCTCGATGACCCATGGGGGCACATCAGTGAGATAGATAACAGCCAATGCAAACGTATGAACATCAATTGGCTTGCTAAAAGAAGAAGTAAGGTACCATATGTACAGCCCGCCCCGACCTCACTAAGACTCAAATCTGAGTAAAACGAGAAGATTTTATATTTATTTCGTCTTAACTCGATCAATCTAATGAAACACTACCTGTCGACCTCACCAAACACCAAATCCATAGTACCGATGATAGCAACTGCATCGGCAAGCAGATGGCCTCTTGATATCTGGTCCATGCAGGCTAAGTGTGCAAATCCGGGTGCCCTGATCTTGCACCTGTATGGCCTCTCGCTACCGTCTGAGACGAGGAAAACGCCCATTTCTCCCTTAGGTGCCTCGATGGCAGAGTAGGTCTCACCAGGTGGGACTGTGTAGCCCTTGCTGAAGAGCAAGAAGTGGTGAATGAGGGCCTCCATGTTCTCCTTCATGGCGGCACGTGGTGGGGGAGCGATCTTGTAGTCTTCAACCTTGATAGGGCCAGCAGGCATCTGGTTCAAGCATTGGTGGATAATGCGAAGGGACTGACGGAACTCCTCCATACGGCAAAGGTATCGGTCGTAGCAGTCACCGTTGACACCGACTGGGACGTCAAACTCAACCTGGTCATAGGCATCGTATGGCTGAGACTTTCGGATGTCCCATGGAACACCAGATCCACGAAGCATGACACCAGAGAAGGAGTAGTTGATGGCGTCGGCAGCCGGGACGACACCGATACCCTTGGTGCGGCCGATCCAGATACGGTTGTCCGTCAACATCTCTTCAGTCTCATCAATACGGTCACCAAATTGGGTAGCCCATTGGTAGATATCATCAAGCAGACCAAGAGGAATATCCTGCGAAACGCCACCGGGGCGAATGTAGGCTGCGTGGAGACGTGCACCAGAGACACGCTCGTAGAATTCCTACCATTGTCAGCATATGGACACAATGTGTCAGGTTGAACTCAGCATCAACCTACCATGAGTTTCTCACGCTCCTCGAAACCCCACAGGAAAGGCGTCAGTGCACCAACGTCCATGGCGTGGGACAAGACGGACATGAGATGGTTCAGAATGCGCGTGATTTCACCAAACATGGTCCGGATGTATTTGGCACGAATGGGGATGTCAATGTTGAGCAGTTTCTCGACAGCCAGCGAGTAGCACTGCTCATTGGTCATCATGGAGACATAATCGAGACGGTCAAAATAGGGCAGAGCCTGGAGGTACGTCCGGTACTCGATCAGCTTCTCTGTGCCTCTGTGGAGCAGACCAACGTGCGGGTCAGCGCGCACAATCTCCTCGCCATTCAGCTCGAGGATCAAGCGCAACACACCGTGAGCAGCGGGATGCTGGGGTCCAAAGTTGACAGTATAATGGCGGATCTTCCTGGTGTCTACGTGATCGTCTTCCTCGGCGCGGGTCTCCTGGGTCTCAGCAGGGGCAACGCCTGCGAAGTTGGCATCGGTGGCAACCAAGCGCGTGCGCTGGCTCTCGTCGACCTGGGCATATCGACGGGGCAGTGAGGTCGACAGGCACCGCGCAATGGGTCGTGAAGGGAATGCGGATCGGACGTAGGAACGGGAGGCGTTCAGGCACGCCCGCTTCGCCGCGGGGCCGGCCAGACGGGCAAAAGAGACGGGCATGGTGATTCTGTCTCTCTCTCTACCGCGATTGTGGAGCCTCAATGGGCATGTAGAGTGGAGAGCGAGGTCGTGGCGTTGGAGGGGAGCTTTCCTCACATCGATGATGCTTCCAGATTGGACCCGCCGCTATTGGCTGTCCGGGCCTTGGCGTGGCCGCCGCTTGCTCGAACTTTTTGTGAAGATGCAACTTGCTACCCACCAAAAACACTGAATCTTGAACGCAACGCCGCAACAATGTCGAAACCAAGCGCGCAAGAGCTCATGAGGCGCAAGGTAATTATGCGACTCGGAATATGTAAGAAGAATTATCCTAACAGCACTTGCAGACGCTTCAAGTCGGCCCCGAGACTGTCATGAACCAGCAGTCTACCGACTTTCCAGGGCACTGGCCGGGAGAGGACCACGTGTGGGATTTGGAGTACTTCAAAGAGGTATTTGCAATGCATTTTCTGTCATTTTGCATCACATTTCAACTCACATTTTCTAGAACTTCAACGTCACCTTCCATAGCCATAGTCCCTTCGATACACAATTCTCTCTTACTGGCATTGATACCTCGGTAGCCAACGCCTTTCGCCGCATACTCCTCTCCGAGATCCCTACGCTTGCCATAGAAGATGTCTTCATCTACCAAAATACGTCCATTATCCAAGACGAGGTACTTGCTCATCGCCTAGGCCTGGTGCCCTTGTGCGGCGACCGCGAGGGCCTGCGTGCAATGAAATGGTACTCCAAGCCCACCGAAGAAGATCCTGAATCAGGCACACCAACGGACTGGAACACTGTGGTACTGAGACTGGAAGTGGAATGCAAATGGCAAGAAGGTGGCCTGCAGAGAGCGGTCGCAGGCGAAACTGATCCCGACAAACTATACGTAGGCCACAACGTCTACGCCAAAGATATTGAGTTCAAGCCCATAGGCCGCCAAGCCGAACTTTTCTCATCCGAACAAGGGAAAGAAATACGCTCCACTAACCCAGACATCCTGATTGCGAAAATGAGGCCAGGCCAGAGCATAAACCTCAGCATGCATGCCATCAAGGGTATTGGACAGGACCACGCCAAATTCTCCCCTGTAGCAACAGCTTCCTATCGCCTGATGCCTACAATCGACATTACCAAGCCTATTGTCGGACCTGACGCCAAAAAGTTTGCGCGCTGCTTCCCTCGCGGAGTTATTCGCCTTGACACAGTTACTGAGACCGATGTCAAACAACACCCGGAGCTTGAGGGCAAGGAAGGCGAAGCCAAGGCCGTGGTGGCAAACGCTATGAATGACACAGTCAGCAGGGAATGCCTGCGACACCCAGAGTTCAAAGACAAGGTCAGGCTTGGACGGATACGGGATCACTTTATCTTCCGGGTAGAGAGCACGGGCCAGTGGGAGAGCGACGAGCTATTCTTGGAAAGTGTCAAGTTGCTTAAGATCAAGTGCCAAAGGATCAAGCGCGGACTCGAAGAAATGAACAAATAGACGTGGCGGGGCAAACCATGCATTTCCAAAGGCGTTCCACGGGCATTCAATGGTGGCGGGGTTCTTTTTCTTTCTTCTTCTCACTTTCTCCATCTCGAAAAAAAAGTTTACGATATCACGGAGTAACTCTCTCTCGGCTGGACGACATCCGTGGTATGGAGCACACGAGCACCATGTCTTGCATGGATTACTTGCATAGATTACTATTGGTTGTATCATACATTCACCTCGTGCAATCTTCCAGATTTATTCTCATACAATCCTCCCAGAATACAAGCTCGTGCGTCGATCATCTACTAGAACAGTGGAAACAGTAAAACAAAAGCCAGTAGACCGGTAATGGCGGGAAATGGAGAAAAGGAACATACAAGATGGTATATGAACGAAAACAAAAGAAAAGGCCTACCGAATTGGGGTATACGCTCTTCATCTCCTGCAGCACTTTGCTGAACATGTCAATAAAAGGAACAGAAAGCGAGCTGTATTCAGTATACTCCCGCAGCATCACTGGATCTTATCTCATTGTCTGGCGGCCACTAGAGCTCTGCCAGCGCTTCGTCACACAGCTTGCGTATGCTTCCTGGGTCGAACCTTGGACGCCACGCCATTTGTTTCCTCTTTTTTCGAAGGTCCTCTTTTTGGTGTTGCGGCAGATCGCTAGTTCGAGGAAACCTGAACTGTGACTTTGTCGGTGAAGCTGAAGGGTTCAGGAATGTGTATTTGGAATCATGGATACCAGTGCTCTCTTTCAGCGTGAGCACACTGGTGAGGTGACCTTGCAGCATGCCAACAAATATTGATGTGCCGGGTGGGAAATTGACTTTTGCTACAGGCTCGGGTCTTATTGGATGCGTTGATAAAGGCGAGAGCATGCTCGAGTTGTCAATGTGGCTTGACCGAGGGTTGGAAGTAATCTCGAGGAACGTAGGTGTACTGGTTCGGGGCGGCGACGGAAACGAAAAACCCTTGAGCTCAAAATGGACATCTTTTTCTAGGTCGAAGGGGTCGGACATGGTGCTTGATGAAGTACGACACGAAGTGCTCAAGTTGGATGATTTTGTCTTTAAGCGGTCGAGCCACACACGCTCTTCCGGGAACGTGGCAGATTCTGGCGTTGAGGGGTGCTCATCGTCTAAAGTCGGGGTTGAGCAAGTGGACGATGGCAATGCCAGGGCGGCAATGGCAGCACGGTAATACTCTTCCGCAGCAACAAGCTCATGGTGACGATTTTTTATTGTAGCCTCCCTCGCCAAAGTGTCGTGTGATAGCGCGGTGTAAAAGTTAAGATATGCCAAGTGAACCGGATGCATCTGTCTATTGTTAGCCACTTGTTGTGATCGAGAGGGAAGGCGCAATGTGTATGTTTACTTACGCTGCTATCCACCTCGCCTAGCAACCGCTCCCCAGACCTTGCGCACCGCGTGTAGTGCCGACTGAAGTAAAGATCCTTGAGTGCCTGCATCTTCTGCTTCATTTCGCGGTTTTTCGTTTGACCAACCATTTTTCTCGAGTATGTGTTTTTTTTTGGGTTTTTTTTGGTAGTGGTTGGTTGTAGAAGAGGACTCCAGGTCGATGTAGGGAAAGTCGTGGTAAGAGGAGGAGCTGTCGCCGGGATCAGCCCGAGCAGGCGAGGTAAGGAAAGGAACAACAAGTGGAAAGAAGCACAGCTTATGAGTAAAGTGAAGCCGACTTCGAGGGGCTGCCGACTTGGTCGAGCCAACGCGGAGAACAACCGGATGAGACAAGGTATTAATAAAAGCACCCTATAAAATGTGCAGGAGACGACCGAATGCGTGTAATAATGCTCATTCCTGTGGGCGGTTGCTATCTCAACGCTTCAGGGTACATGCCTGCTGTCCGAGGAGGATGACAAAAAATGGGGCCGCTACCAGAGCATCCTGGAGAACCGTACTCTACGAACAGCAACAAAAGCAGAAAGGAACATCTATACAACGCCATTATATATAACGGTTTCCTGGCCTTGCGCCGGCCCCACTGTTCATGTCACTTGAAGAGGCGCCGGAAAGGTGCCAGGAGTGGTTGTTTCCAATGATGCAGTCATGTTTCAGCAACCCTCTACTTACCCTATCCAGCCTTAAGCTTACCACACCGGGCCAGGTACCCCACTAGTCTGCCCTGTTCACTCGAGAAAAAGCCTCCGCAACACCCCTCCCCTTTGCTTCAACGAACGCTTTTTCGTTCGCCAAGTGGCCGCAAAAACCGAGACTTGACATGCCAAGTTTAGACATCGCCTAAGTAAGACGTTTTGCACAGTTGTATGTTTCTGATTCTGGCCGAGGTGGTGCGTTGGGCACATGACTCTTGTTTGCAGCAAGTCTGCGACCATACCGATCAACATAAGTACTTATCCAGAGGACCCGCATTCATATATCATAGTTAGCGTAATAAGGTAGTCGGCACTCACACATGGCACATGCCGGCACAGGGTGAATACGATAAAGTTTCCGTCAACTTGCTGACACACAAGAGTTGTGAATAGATGTTTATTCTATACAGCCCAGGGGGAGGTGGAACCATAGTCTCGGGATATCAAGCCCCATGCTACTCCAACGTTTAACCCTCCGAAGCGGCCGCACCAGTAATGATCTCAACAAGTTCGCCAGTAATGACGGCTTGACGTGTTCGGTTGTACAGAATCTGAAACTTGTTAATCATCTCGCCAGCGTTCTTCGAGGCGTTGTCCATGGCGTTTTGACGCGCCGACTGCTCGCAAGCGTGGCCCTCGGCCAGCGCCCAGTAGAGCGAGTTGGCAAGAGCGTACTCGCGGAGGTTGGGGAGAACCTCGTCCTCAATCTCGAAAGCGGAGAAGTTGGCTGTATATAAGGTCAGAGTACAGTCTCTTATCGTGCAACACTTGACATACCGGACTGAGCAATAGCCTCCTCAGAGTAAGCTTCCTGGATGGTGGGCTCGTAGCTCGAGGCGTTGATGAACTTGTTGTAGACAATCTTGACAGAGGCGTAGTCGGTGGGCAGTAGGGAAATCTGGTCGGCAATGCACAGAGAGTCGGCAAAGGTAGGCACATCCTTTCCGGCACCAGCGAAGGAAAGAGCCATGTTCTTTCCGTTGGAACGACCCAACTGCGCCTTGCATTTCTCACCAATGACGGCCAAATCCGCATCCGGGGTCTCGGCAAGCATCCTCCTGACCTTCCTCGACATTCCAGAGTGAATACCACCGCAGAGACCCTTGTCCGAGCTGCAGACAATGATGAGGTTCTTCTTGCCCTCACTCTCAATTGGCTTGGTCTCGGCATTCTCGAAAACCTCGTTGGAGGTCTGACCGTACTTGCGGGACTCAAACATGGCCTTTTGGGCGCGGGTAAGCTTAGTGGAGGCGACGACCTTCATGGTCTTGGTAATCTTCTCGATGTTGCGGATCGACTTGAGACGGCCCTCGATTTCACGAAGGGTGGCATAGCCGGCGGCATTGGTGGCAGTAAGGGCGGCGGGCCTAGATAGAAAAGTCCCAGTCAGCAATGGATGCAATTGGCGATGCAATTGGCGGTGCAATTGATCCGACAATGGGGGGGTTGCGAGGTGCGAGAAAAGCTGCGAACTCGGACGGGAGCGTACCGGGCGATGGCGGCGGCCATGCCGGCCTTCAGAGCCGGGCGCGCAGCTCGTGACAGCATCATGGCTACGAATTGAGATGAGTGGAGATGGCGACAGCCGTGTGGTGGTGCTCTTCACTGCTGTCTTTGCTGAACGGAAGCTGTGTCGGGCAATCGGGACGCTGAATTGCTTTGCGCGCTAAGACGCCAAGTGTCACGTGAGACTGTCTATTCCAGAAGACCTGCTTCACCAGTTGTACTTGACTGTTTCACACTGGGAAGCATTCAAATCCAGTCAACTGTGTATTCTGTGCTACTGTTCTTCTTACACACAGGATAACAGGACTAAACTCGGCATTATGGCGCGACACAATTAGCTGGACTTAGCCAGGAGCGATCCAACAAACAGGCAGCAAGCATTGCCCAAGTCTCACGACGTGAGTAAATTCCCCAGAAAAAACTCCAGTTGTTTTTCCGCTGTCGCCTGTCGGTCTTGTAGTCGGCATGTAATGCGTTGGCCGATCAGCTCATGACGTCGGGCAATTTGTTGCGAAGAGTTGCTGACCCAGATTTGGTGAAGGCCGAACGACCGTGCGTTGGTGGACTTAGTAGTGAGCACAAGTGGTGGCTCCCTGAGGCTGCGCTTCACTTAAACTCAGCATTCCTCTTTTTCCGTTCATCTATCACCCACGTCCTGCTACCATTCATCTCACCTCCGCCACCATCGCTTCAATCGTACTGCGAGTCTGCCGCTGTAAGGCACGCGTCCTTCCGACATTCCCACCCTTGTACAGGGCCGCCTCCACTGCTTCCGCACGATCGACTCTGTCTGCGCCAAACCTTGCTGCAGTCCCGCGATCTGTTTTCTATCGCTTGCAAGTGAAGCACGCGCCGATCGTGGACAACATGTCATCTTCCAGCGACGATACTCCTCTTGTGCGAGGGAACGATCAAGGTGAGTTTGTCCACAATAGTACTTTTTGCACGCGCTACGGCTATCTCATTCTCACGCGCCGATCGCCCTTGTTGAATTCCACTCTTTCCACCACCCAACCTCACCACTTTCCCTCCACCTCCCTCCACCGTGTTCGTTCCACCCTCGTCCGACGCATTTTTCACGCTTTAGTAAAAGATTTGAGAAGGCTAACATCTTTGTCTTACAGTAAAGTCATCGGAGCGCATCACCGACGAGGAAAACAAGAGGATGAATGCGGAAGCACCTTCCAATGGCCACGTCGAACCCGGCATCTCTATTCGTATGGGGCCCATCGATGACAGCAAGATGGATGTCGATGCCCCGGAAACGAATGGTAACGCCAACGGAAAGCGCAAGGCGCGCACAAGCGTAGCGAACGGCAAATCATATAAGGATGCAAGCAATTCGGAAGACGATGACAAGCCTCTGGTGCGTCGCTTTGTGCGAAGTGTACGCACATTTTGTTAAGCTAACTATCCAGCAGAGCAAGCGGCGGCGGACATCACAGCAGGCGAAGCCAGTCAAAGACGATTCCGATTCGGAACTCAGCGACGTGCCTCTCAAGGCTAGGGTACTTCCGAAGGCGAGCGCGGAGCAGATCGGAGAGTCGGCAGACTCTGACGTGCCTCTAGCCACGAAGCTCACCAAGAAAAAAGAGTCGATTGAGAAAGCTGCTGCAAAGGAGGCAAAGGCCATACGTAACAAGGAAAAGGCACCCCCAAAGCGCAAACAAAAAGCAGAGAGCGACAGTGAGGATGATATCCCTCTTGCAAAGAAAAAGGCTCCAGCAAAGAAGGCAAATGGCGTCAAGAAAGAGGAGTCTGACTCAGATGCGCCACTCGCCAAGAAGTCTGCTCCAAAGAATACCAAGGCAAAGGCAGCTGCCGTGGCACCAGCGAAGGCCACAGGCAAGGTGAAGAAGGGGACTGAGGAGGATCAGGAGGCTGAAGACGAAGAGGACGAATATCGCTGGTGGGAAGATCCAGGCAAGAGCGACGGCACCAGGAAGTGGGAAACTCTCGAACACTCTGGTGTTGTCTTTCCTCCCGAGTACGAGCCACTGCCCAAGCATGTCAAACTGGTGTACGATGGCGTGCCTGTCACCCTACACAAGGATGCCGAAGAGGTAGCTACTTTCTACGGAAGTATGCTCAACTCGACACACAACGTCGAAAACCCAACCTTCAACAAGAACTTCTTTGAGGACTTCACTGCCATCCTAGACAAGACCGGACATGGTAAAGACAAGAATGGAAACACTGTCAAGATTAAGAAGTTTGAGAAGTGTGACTTCAAGCCCATCTTTGAATGGTTCGATTCTGAGCGCGCGAAAAAGAAGGCTCTCTCGGCAGCCGAGAAGAAGGCGCTCAAGGCCGAGAGGGAGGCTGCGGAGGCCCCATACATGTACTGCATGTGGGACGGTCGTAAGCAAAAGGTCGGCAACTTCCGCGTCGAACCGCCAGGCCTGTTCCGTGGTCGTGGTGAGCATCCCAAGACAGGTCGTGTCAAGAAGCGTGTCATGCCCGAGCAAATCACGATCAACATTGGCGAGAAGGCCAAAGTTCCTGAGCCGCCTGCGGGTCATCGCTGGAAGGAGGTCAAGCATGACCACGAGGGTACATGGCTCGCTATGTGGCAAGAAAACATCAATGGTGCCTACAAGTATGTCATGCTTGCCGCCAACTCGGACATCAAGGGTCAGAGTGACTTCAAGAAGTTTGAAAAGGCGCGAGAGCTCAAGAAGCACATTGACCGTATCCGCAAGGATTACCGGAAGGACTTGAATTCCAAGATGATGGCCGATCGGCAACGTGCTACTGCCATTTACCTTATCGATCAGTTTGCTCTTCGTGCTGGTAACGAAAAGGGAGAAGACGAGGCGGATACGGTAGGCTGCTGCTCACTCAAGTTTCAGCACATCACTCTGAGGCCTCCGGAGACAGTCATCTTCGACTTTCTGGGTAAGGACAGTATTCGGTTCTACGATGAAGTCAAGGTGGATCCGCAGGTCTTCAAGAATTTGAAACTGTTCAAGAAGGAGCCCAAGACGACTGGTGATGACATTTTTGATCGCTTGACGACATCGGCGCTCAACAAGCATCTGACCAGCTACATGCCTGGTCTCACTGCCAAGGTCTTCCGTACCTACAATGCGTCTTATACCATGGCTAGGCTGCTAAAAGAGATGAAGCCTACCGGTACTATCCAGGAGAAGGTGAAGGCCTACAACGATGCGAACCGTGAAGTTGCGATTCTCTGTAACCACAAACGTACTGTTGCTGCCAACCACGCCAACTCGATTGAAAAGATGACTGAGAAGGTTAGTTTGTTTTGTACTGTTTGTGAAGGCCATGCTAACAGGGGTAGATTAATGGACTTCGTTATCAAGTGTGGAGAACCAAGATGATGATGATTGACGTGGACCCGAAGATCAAGAAGAAGAAGGGAGCCGAATTTTTTGAACGGCCCGAGGATCTCGACATGGAGTGGATCAAGGCGCACCAGGATGGCGAGGTTGAGGAATTGCGCCAGAAGATCATCAAGAAGTTTGAGAAGGACAACGAGAAGCTCAAGGCTGAGGGGGAGAAGGAGATGAAGCCCAAGGAGCTGGAGGAGCGTCTTGAAAAGGCCGATGAGCTTGCGGCCAAGTACAAGAAGGAGAACAAAACGGGCAAGGTTGAGGCCGAGGGCAAGGGCCCGACGATCGAGAAACTGGAGGGCAACATCGACAAGCTCCACCAGCGAATTGAGAACATGAAGATCCAGATGGAAGACAAGGAGGGCAACAAGGAAGTTGCCCTGGGCACGTCGAAGATTGTAAGTAGCCCTGCTGGATGGGTATCAAGGAAGAGATTGCTGACAGTGTGCAGAACTATATTGACCCACGTCTTACTGTGGTGTTTTCCAAGAAGTTTGATGTGCCGATTGAGCGCTTCTTTTCCAAGACGTTACGTGAAAAGTTTGACTGGGCGATCAAGTCAGTGGACGAGAACTGGGAGTTTTAAGAAAACACATAAGCAGAGGCGTTTTGATTCGTCTATGTGCATTTTTGTTGGGGGGCAGCATAGGGGGTTATATACATACATATAGCATGATGGGTGGTGGGACAAGGGTGAGGTGAGGAGGGTATAACAAAAAGCATGGCATCTCTCTTGTGCAGGTCGAGTATGCAGGCGGGCGGCAGGGTTCAGCGGGCATGGTTTGCGAGTTTATTTATCATATGATTTAGGCGACTAGTTATTTGCATTGCTATGAAAAGGAAATATTGACAGCAACTAGTACTGTACTGTGTATGCTTGAGCAGAGATGATGTGCTTGTGTATGGAAGGCGTGCATTATGCAAGTGCGGGTCGATCATAACGGGCTGCAGCTTCCGTGCATGAACAGCCGTTCTTGCTGTCGACGCCGACGATGCTGCCCAGGCATGAAACAATGGCATATGGGCGGTGCCTGGAGGGTGTGCGCTGGATCGAATGGAACGATTCCAGAGTGTAGCTTTTGTGCAGGCTGAATAGAGGTGCATGCTTACATATATATGTCCATACTATACACATGTACACGTAAGTGCTTGTATATGTGCAAACTAGCCGATGGGCTTGGTTAGAGATGGCGTCACCAGCCGTTGGCGGTGGCTCTCGATGCATGGGACCATGCAATCTTCCAATGTGACTGGTATCTGGGCGGGCCAGAGTCATGGAGGCTGGATTGGGATGAAGAGGCGCTGTCACAGTGGCCCGCCAAGAGCGGCCGTGGGTTGTGGCGGCCGTGGGCGGGTGTGTGCTTGATTGTCTCTGAGCATTGCGTGCATGTGTGCAGGCTCCGCGGAAGCAGCTGGTGTTGACCATGCAAGCACGTTCCGACGTTGAACTATAGGGACGCGCCCCAGACGCCGGAGAAAGAGGCGAAGAGATGCATAACATAGCGGCTCCACAGTGATTTGCTTTTTGCAGCACTGGCTGGTGCGAACCATTGCTTGCCCAGCCTGACATCTGGAGGAGGTGGCCGTTGCAAGGCTGTTGGGTGCTGGGTACTGCCAGTAGGTTTTTCTTGCAAGGGCTGGCCTGGTCGAAGCCCAACGACTCCAGCGTTCAGCAACGGGACCTGCTCCTGAGACGCCTCCCCACTTTGGGCTGTCATGAGACCCAAGGCTTTGTTGCTAGACGTATGGTTCAGCACTGCGGGAGCGCGCCGGCACGCCCTTCACCGCCCGCCTGACTGCTGTTCATCTCCCGCTGCAACCGCCTATGCTTGCACGCTCCCACCCTCGATGGTCAAGGGCAAACGTCATGCTGTCAAGGCGCCGTAATGTGACGTGACCTACCTAGTAGTAGACGTGAACCATTCCCGCGGCCCCGGACGACTCTCAGCCAACACAAGTGTCGTTGCAAAACCGCAGCATCGAGGAACCATAGCAAGGCTCATCTCGGTCGGCTGGCGGGGCTAGTACCAGTCGTTCGTGTGTGTATGTCTGTGTGTGCGCTTTGGTTTGGGCCGACGACGAGTGCCCGACTACGGCGTGAGATCGGGGGAAGGGAGGGAGCAGGTGGGGAGAGAACCATGTCCCGTTTTTTCGATACGAAGAGTCTCCTGGACAGCTTCTGGTACCAAGAGAATTGCTGCTCCCCATTGTCGGCCTGACTGCCTCGTGCTGCAGGTCAATGAGTCGGCTAGATTGGGCCAGGGTTATATGACATCGTCGTGCCGCGGTACCCTACACTTTTGAGCCTCTGTCTCTTGGTGGGAAGCCACTCACTAGTCTTCTCGTCCCAAACCCACGCCCGCCATTGCGAAGACTGCACCGCACCCCATCGCCCAGCACCGCACAGCCCAAGCCCACGCCGGCCCGCTGCCTACGCATACGAGACCACCAAAGGCCTCGCCCGTGCCTGCACACACGCCACTCTTGTCCCTTTGTCAGCCTGTCTCGTGCAACCACACGTCTGGGGTCTGAGCGTTGAGCATTGAGCGCGACCCGCAACCCCCGAATTTGACATTACAAGACACCATTCGCCCACTGCGCTGCCCCAAATTCTCCTAGTGATCTCGTTGCGCACTCTGTCTGCGTAGATCGAACCCTGACGCGACGCCCACCATGGCCTCAGACAAGCCTGCAGTCCTCATAATAGGCGGACTCGGTAACACTGCCCTCGCTGCCACACCCACGGCCAGAGATAAGACGCGAGAGGACTAACAACCTTGTGCCAGGCTACACCGGACGACACCTCTGCAAGTACATCTACGACAACAACCTCGCTTCCCAATTACGTATCGTCGACAAGCATCTGCCAGAGTTGGCATGGCTGGCCCCAGAGTTCAAGGAGGCTTGCTCGAGGGAGCGCTTCATCCAGGCGGACGCGGCACAAGAACGTGCGTATCCCTTGCTCACCACCTACACAACTATCCACAACACAGACACACGCACAATCCTCCCCTCCCCCCCTCAAAGTATGCTGACCATAAAGCAACCCGAGACTGACTTCCCCCTTCAGGATCCCTACCTCGAATATTTGATCGTGAGGGTGGCGGCGAATTCGACTATGTATTCAACTGTGGTGGCGAGACACGCTTTTCTCAAGAGGAAAAGGTCTACGAACTTCGCTCCTATGGCCTTTCCATGAACATTGGCCGCGAGGCTGCAAAGCGCAAAGTAAAATGCTTCGTTGAACTTAGTACCGGCATGGTCTATAAACCAGAGAACATACCCCACAAAGAGACTGACAAGACGAAACCCTGGTCGAATCTGGCAAAGTCGAAGCTCAAGGGCGAGGAGGATCTAGCTAAGATTGAGGGCTTGAACCTCATGATTATGCGCATGGCTCACGTCTATGGCCCGTACACGAGCAAGTTTTTCAGCACGGCGCTGTGTATGGCGAGAGTATACCAGAGCATGGGCAAGGAGATGCGCTTCCTCTGGAAGGAAGATATGAAGACAAACTTGGTGCATATTGAGGACGCTACAAGGGCCCTCTGGCATGGTGCGCAGTGGTATGTCAAGGGACCGCCCGCCCGCCGACCACCGCCCATTTTCAACATTGTGGACCACGGAAATACCTGTACGTTTCACTCCTTGTTGTTTGTGTTCTATGTTTATCTCTATTACTCACACTACCTGTAGCACAAAAAAACACGGCCGAGTTCATGGGCGAGATTTTCAACATCAAGACTGGCTTCCACGGTACCCTCATCTCCGCCTTTGCACGACTAAACCTCGACCACGTCGTCGACGAGGTCAATGAAGAAACACTAGACCCTTGGGCAGAGCTGCAGTCAAGGGCCGGTATCAGCCAGTCTACACCGCTGACACCTTATATGGAAAAGGAGCTGCTTAAAGACGCGGATCTGTGCATGGATGGTAGCCTTTTCGAAAAGGAAACCGGGTTCAAGTAAGCTACCCCAGCCCCACCTTGGCGTAGCTGCCAAATGAGTAGACCAACAACATACTAACACCACACCAGATACAACGTGGAGAAGTGCACGAGAGAGAAGGTCGAGGAGGTTATTGAGAGCTACAAGAGAATGGGTTGGTGGCCGTAGCTTGGCTGCTATCTATTACTGCGCTCGCTCCCTTTACCATATCACATTCCAACGATACCCTTTCTCTTACCACAACCTCTATTGGCCTTGTCGTAGTCATCTTCTTATTTTTTTTATTATTATTTACCTGCTCTCTCGCCCTCTCGACCTAAACCCGCATAAAATATGTGTTCCTCTCCTCCCCTTTCTCTGCTATAATACCCCGTCAATAAGGGATCAATCAGTTGGTCAACATGTAACCCTCCTCACCCCTTGCACTTGGCTTGTACAACCTACCACAATCTCCCTCGTCATTCTTTCAGATACGGGATACAGAGAACAAGAAAGAGTGTTTTTTTTTTCGTTTGGCATGGCAGCGGCAGACTCAGCATGGCTTGGAGTGCTCATTCTGGCGCGGGCACGGTGAATTGCCCCACTCTTGGCAGCTTGTGGTCATACTCTTTCCCTTTTCTGTTTCTCGGAATCTGGTGGTATTGTCTGATATGGATGTGTATAATGCCTCGCATGATTCTGGGGATTGGCCGGTGCACGTGTTGAATGGCGTGGAAATTGCCTATTGTTGTATGATAATGTTTTAGTGGTAATGGGTAGTCAATCAAACGTTCAGGTTACAAGAAGACTAGCAAAGCCCCACCAGAGGAACTTTGACAAAGATTCAATCAAGCCATCGCACATCTCCGAAACACACAAACAATCAAGGTGGCACAGTCATTCAAGACGCAATCAGATTTATTGGGCCATTTCCCCAGCCTAGGGTACTCTACATTGAATGAGTCTGACTATTGCACATATTGATCTAACATTGGATAAACTTGGCTACTGGATGCGCTAGGTCGCTTATGCCTTTTGCGAGACGATCCCTACATATTGATTAGCATGTGATACTCGAATCTATGTTTCTGGTTTAAAAAAAACGCACTCTCAACGTCAGTGACGCTCTGGTCAAGAATCTGCTTGAGAGTCTTGGGGTTCTCGAGCTCCTTCTCAATCTTAGCAATGATGGACTCGGCAAGCTCGCGCTGCTGCCTCTGCTTGACCTGGCCCTCGTAGCGGACCCAAGAGTCGAGGACAGACTTGGCCTCGGCTGTGATGGCAGTCTTCTGCTCGAGCTCGAAAGCCTGAGCCTCGAGCTGGGCAGTCTCCTGTGAAAATGGTCAGTCTGGTACCCCTCCATCTCCCACACAGAACCAGCGCACCTTGGAAACCTCGAAGAGGGTCTTCGTGACCTCAATAACGCTGCTGAGGTCCTGGACGCTCTCAATGCGCTGCTTGACGGCTGCAGTGTGGTCCTGACGGGCAGAGTTCAAGATACCCGAGATCTTGTCCAACTGCTGCTGCGCATAGTCGCCCCACGCAGGTCCAGCGTACTTGGCAACGGCCCAGAAGATAGTGAGCAGAGAGAGAGCGACAATGGACTCCTCGTTGACGACGTAGAGCTCGTTGCTGATGGCGGCGACTGAGAGACCGGCTCCGGCAGAGAGCACGGCGGCCTTGGTGAGGGGGCTGTTGCCGGGGACGGGTATCGAGTCGAGGAGAGTCTGGGCCTTCTTCTTGGGGTCCTCCTGGGGCAGGTTGGAGTTGTAGCGAGCCTGCATGCCCATCGAGGGCAGGGCGCGGAGAGGAAGCGATGGGCGGAGACGGGCGGCGCCTGTTGTGCGTGAGCAATGGGGTCAATGGCATCGCATCTTCATCGGAACGCTGCTACTCACCGACCGCGCTCCTTGCAAGACGTGAGGCCATGGCTGTCTGATGAGGGGGTACAGTTGGGGGTGCTGGTCGTCGTCGAGAGCTAGCTTTTCGTGATGTTGCGTACCAAACCTGAGCCAAGCACCGACGCCGATGCGCTAACCGAACTTCGCCCGGCCGGGCCTGACTTTTTGGCATCGACAACTTCTTTGCGCCTGCACGTCGTTTCACACCACGCGAAGCAACGAGCTTCAAACGAAGATGGCGGGTACAAAATCCACAGCAATGTCTGGAATCAAGAGGAAAAGGGACTCAAGCAAGCCCGAACGCGGCGAATCCAAGTCCAAGAGCCGGCGCAAGTCCTCCAGCGAAGACGGCGACGACCTTCAATCCGAAATCGTACAGCTCGAAGCCCAGATTCTCGAATCGCGAAAGCATTACAACAACATTGCGACTCTTTTGCAGCGAGCCAAGCAATCAGACGCTAAGAATGAGGGCCCAATACTGGCAGCCGTTGCACTATGCCGAGTCTTCTCGCGGCTACTCGTAACAGGCGACATGGTGAAGAGTAAGGGTATGAGCGAGGCAGAGGGTGTTATTGTATCATGGCTCAAGGAGCGCTACCGGGAGCTCTGCAATATGCTTCTGGACGACTTCCTCCGCAGCGAGCACCCTCCAAAGCAGTCTGTAGCCTTGACACTGTTGATGCGATTGGTCAAGGAGGAGGCAAAGTCGCAGAAAGATTATAAGATCAAGAACGGACCTTTACCTCGTCTTGTCGAGGTTCTGCTACATCTCCCCTTGGACGACTTGAACCGCGAGGAGTTTGCAGAGAAGTACCTTAAGCAGTTTGACGATATTCGATATCAGACATTCCAAACCATCAAGTGAGTACATACACAACTAAAGGTGAAGATCACTTACTAATATGCTCAGAAAAACACTTGACGAAGACTTGGATATTACTACCCAGCAACTCGTAGCTGCGAACAGCATGTCCCTACTCTCCACTCTCGATCAAGTCCCCAAATCTAAAGCCGAGATTCAGAATTTCTACGTCGAGGTACAAGGAAAGAGCCCGATTCCCTCTCTTCAGGCATACAAGGAGAAGGCACAAGCAGCGTGGTTGGCGACGATGCGCACAGGGCTCTCAAAGGAGCAACGAAAGACCATTTTGACCACCTTCTCCTACCAAATTGCACCTTGGTTCCAGCAGCCCGAAATTCTATCAGACTTCTTGACCGACTCGTACAACGTGGGTGGCGCAACATCGCTACTTGCACTGTCTGGAATCTACTACCTCATCTCGGAGAAGAACCTCGACTACCCTTCCTTTTATTACAAGCTCTACTCGCTTCTTGACGACGGCCTCCTACACTCGAAGCACCGATCACGCTTCTTCCGCCTCCTCGACACCTTCATGTCCTCGTCGCACTTGCCTGCCACTCTGGTCGCAAGCTTTATCAAGCGTCTGTCACGCTTGGCGCTCCATGGACCGCCAGCGGGCATTGTGGTTGTAATACCCTGGGTGTACAATATGTTCAAACGCCATCCTGCGTGCACATTCATGATGCACCGCGAGATCCGGGATCCGGAACTCAAGGAGGAGGTAGAAGAAGAGGGCATGGATGACCCGTTTGATATGGATGAAGCGGACCCTTTTCTAACCAATGCCATTGAGAGCAGCGTCTGGGAGTTGGTAGCTTTGCAATCGCATTACCACCCCAATGTTGCTACACTGGCCAAGATTATCTCTGAGCAATTTACAAAACGATCATACAACCTGGAGGACTTTTTGGATCATTCCTACACTGCAGTAAGTCTGACAAATTTCGTCTTTGTAGTATACTTGATACTGACAGCCCTTGTAGCTCCTCGACGTTGAATTAGACCGCGATCTCAAGAAGGAGCCAGAAGTGGAATTTGAGATACCAAAGCGCATTTTGACGGCAGACGAGGGACTGAACCCCCTGGGCCAGCTTCTTACACATGTCATTGAGGCGAGGTGATGGACAGGCTAGACGGGTTAGTTTAGCAGGAGAAGAATGATACCCTCTGTTTGCCAGGCCATTGTTTCTTGCGTGACATGTCTTCTGAATGATTGGATGTGCTTTATCGCTTATCTCTCTTCTTCTTCTTCTTCTTCTTCCTATGAATGACATGCAGAGAACACAGTAGTGTCAGACAGTTATCCAGCGCCTGCAGTGCAGGTATTACTTGTCGAGTACATGCTAGTCGCTAGTCATTACGATAGCATGGCGGCTACCGTAGCCGCACATGCTGTGGCGTCAAGTACCAAAGAGGCAGGGCCAAACTCATAGAGAGCCTCGGCAATTGCGAGTAATGGCAGAAACTGACATTCTTGTGTAGCGCTTGTTGAGTTGGGAACGGCGCATATACACAGAGTTTGTGCATTCTGTTTCACGCCCCAAGATGTGTTTGAAACGTGGGCGTGGGCAAACGCTAAAGACCATGCTAGTACGGTGGCAAAAAAAAAAGGGGGGGGGGAAGGGGGAAGGGGGAAAGAAAAGAACAAGAAAGACATCAACGTGCTTTTGCCCAATGTTCAACACGAATGTCCCATACACATACAGTACAAACACACTATATCGCAATGTACCTGTTGATGAGACAATAGTTCCCAACGTTAATATCAATCTTTATTGCATCCCCCCTAAATATATGTATATATAGTCGAAAGTTTCTTTCCAGCGCTCCACGTTTCGTTGAGCTGCAATCATCCCCTTTCCCGCACCACCTCCAAAAAAGCAAAATCTATGTTCGAAAATGTATAAAGGTAAAAAGAACAGAACCAAGAGGTCCGAGAGCAAGGCACAATGCATCAAGGTTACATACCCGCTGGTTCACGTCAAAGCAAGCTAGTGGGAGACTGGCGTGCACTGGCGTCGGGCTTCCGCATATGGGCATAGCGCCAAGGGTACTAGGACCAAGGGGCGCCTGTGCTTTGCTTATTTCCCCCTTCCCCCCCATGGTTCGGGGCTACCCGCTGCGTGTCTCACTCGATCCAAGGGGGCCAGGCTTTTGGGAGGGAAGGAAGTAAGCGATTACGAGAAGATGGGGTCGGGTGGGGATGAGGGCACGTTGAGTGATGAGTTGCACTGTGGTTTTGGCAGAACCGTTGGGCGGATGGGTCATGTTGATTTGGGTGCGGTAGAGGGTAGTAGATAAGCCCGCGGATGTCTTTTGTGCAGATTATGTGAGCTGTGATCTTCAGGCACACCACCCACTAGCGATAGGATCGGTACAGCAGAACGCCTTGCATGCGTAGCATCCGTCGACCTCCAAGCTGCAAGAATGAAGACGGTTTTGGTGATATCTGGCAAAGTGGCGATGCTAGGTTGGAACCATGGTGTTTGTCCCACCCTCGCCTTTTGCCACCTACTATGAATCAACACCATGATGTAGTCAAAGACAATCATGTCATCACAATCACAAAAGCACATTGCAATATTGTAGATCAGGTACAACCTTTCGGCTGCCCTTGACATGTTGTATTGGTGATTAACCAGCTATAAACATGAACTGAACAATGTGTTCGGTATCCCTTTGGGACATATCGCATTAAGTCGGATTCGTAATGCCAATCCTGAACCTCTCCCAGTGGAGGCCCTGTCGTCTCAATAATTAAACCCAATCATGGCAATAATGCTCTCCAAAAAAACAAGACTTGTTACTCCGTGATTGGCCTCTAAACAAAACAATTGCTGATATACGATGAAAGCAAAAAGGTCGCACAGACCTCCCCAAGCAAGACCAAGACAGCTACCGACAGTCCATGACAAGGTAGTGGTTGTGATCGTAAAAACTTGATGTCTTACGGCCACGACTGTTGTCAGATTGTTTGCAGTTGTGTCAGTGTCTGTGGAGGCAGTGTAATGGTCGTCTCATGATGCGTTTAAGCGAAGACGGCAGCACCGATGGCGAGGACAAGGCCACCGAAGGAGACCATGTTGCCGGCGGCGGCACCGCCAGCCTGGGGAACGCTGGCGCTGGAGGTAGGGCTGCTGGAGGCGCCGGTGGAGCCAGCAGGGGAAGATCCGCTGGTGCTAGCACTGGGACCGCTTGACTGAGCACCGCTGCCAGAGGGAGCGGGGACAGTGGAGTTGGAGCCACCAGGAGGAATGACAATGGGTGTGGTACCGGGGGTGCCAGGAGCGACGGGGGTAGCAGTGGCAGATGGCATAGGAGATGGCATAGGGACAGGGCCGGTGCCTTGTAGCAGTCAGCAGGCTGTGCTTAATGGAGCAGTTGTAGTGGCGCAAACTTACCGACAGGGACCTCAGAAGGAGAGGGAACCTCGGGGACTCCAGCAGAGGGAGAGGGGACGCCAGAAGGCATGCCAGAAGGCATGGCAGAGGGGACAACCGAAGGAACGCCCGAGGGGACGGCAGAGGGCGCAGAGACGGCAGGGGGAGTGGCAGGAGGAGCCTGGATCTGACCGTCGGAAATCTGGCTGATTGGGAGGACGTCGTACTGAGGAGCAGCGGCGACGGCACCAGCCAAGAAAGCGACGGAGATGGTGGAGAAACGCATGTTGATTATGAGTTACTTGTGGGTGGTGGTATTAGATGTGTTGAGTAGAGGCTGTAATGGAGATAGCGACTGGATGATCGACTCGACGGATCTGAATGCGATGGAAGGCAGTTGATGATGGAGTGGATGGAGAGTAAGAAAGGAGAGGGTGTGGGAGGCACAAAGGCACATCTATTTATTTGCTCGAGGCGTGGGTTGCGCCTGCCTGGGCTGGGTGTCGCAATGGACGGCCCACAGCAGAATGGGGCCGTGCGCCTGCCTGGGTGAGGGCAGGAGCGAGGGAAGGCGGGGCCCGTGTGTTTGGCCGCCACGCCACGCCCGCCCCAACAGTGGATGAGAGGGCGGCGAGCGCGCACAGACGCGGGCCCAAGGCTCGATTGGCAGATGGACAAGCATTGTTCCAAGAATTGATGCTGCTTTGTTCCTTGGACCGTTGGGCAAGCCTAGTCGGCGGCTGGGCCGTGGCTGGAGTCGCGCCGAATGCCTTCTTTTTGCCTGTCTTCCCCCCGCCTGCCATTGGACGGCTTGACACTGCGACAACGCAGGTGGTGGGAAACGAGCAACGGCGGCCCAGCAGCTCCCAGCAACTCCCAGCAACTCCCAGCCTCTCTGCACCTGCGCCAGGCACAAGATCATCAATGAGAAACACCATGAGGACCAGGTAAATAAAAAAAAGAGGCGTCGGACGAGGCCCGTCGCCAGTGCCACGCAACACCTCTCTCCACTATCGCCTCGCTTGGTGCTGCTTATCGCGCCGCCAGCAAACGCCCTCCCGCCCGCCGAGCAGCGGTGCCACTAACACCATGCAGCAAGTGCAAGTGCAAGTGCAAGGCACGCAGACCCAATGTTCCAGGGGCAGCGCCGCTATTTTTTTTTCTCCTTGCTCGATGATCGTTGCCCTGGCTGCGTACCGCCTCGCTATTCCACAGGGTTGGCGGTGGAGCAGTGTTGTGTTTGCATGACTGTTGTTGCAATCCCGCCTGGCTGTGTTTCGCGTCCTCCGTCATTCGTTTTGCTAACTTTAGCAACGCAGCAACGCAGCCACGCTGCCACGCCTGTCAATGCCCCATCAACGACCCATCACTGGCCCATCACCAGCAACCACTTGGTTTTTGCCCTCGGGACTCATCATGGGCCCGTGACATGCGACGCGTGTCCCCTTGCGCTGCACACCACGCTCACCAGCCTCACCGCGAGACATCGTTTTGTTTCCCCTGGCTCAATAATCGCCTTCGCTCCGATGCCTCTGCTTGTCCCATGCCGATCCCCAACAATGCACTACCACCCAAATGATACCTTGCCCGTCCTCCTGCTCTCCCCCTCCCTCCTCCCCCCTTGGCCTGCTGCAAGCCGCACATATCACGCCCATTAATTCCTCAGGCGCGCAATCTATCGAAACAGAATATCTTGCAATCTGTACCTACATTGGGGCAAAGCGGCTAAATCCAAGCTACCTCCCCCGGCCGTCACACCACGTCTCCGGACTTGCAGGCGGTCAACCCCATACCACTAATCTCGCTTCGCAGCACATCGCCTGCTTGCGATAACGAGGTGATAGTGACGTCGTCTGCCTCTTCTCCGATTCTCGACGAAATTGCACAATGCTTGGCTTTTTTTTCTCCCCTGGATCCCTGCTTCCCGTCTCCATCTAGACCACGCGTTGATTGCGCGGCGAGGGATAGCACGTTGAAGCAAGCATAATGACGGTGGTCAATGTCAAAAAGACTATCCCTTATTACCTGGACTTCGTCTCCCCTAACGTGAACTCAATGAAACACAAACACAAAAAAAAAGAATTTTGTCCAGACCCTTTGCGCGACCCTCACTATGCTTTCCACAGCAAACTGTGTGCCCCTTGTGCTTGTACCACAGTTCCTACCCGCCTTTTACCATGACCCGCGCGCAGGAAACAAAACAAAAAACTTTAATTCCCCTCATATCTCCTAATACAAAATTGCTCTAGAATCCATTCGAACATTCTTGTCTCTCCCATAGAATCCCGTCTTAAGAAATCAAACTGCCACTAGCATTTCTCGTATTGCGGCTCCTTCCCATCGCTCGCGCCAGCACCAACGCGCCCGTGCGCTCGGATCGCACACGATAGCGATAGAGAGAGGAAATGGAGAGCAAAGGCACCAAGACGCCCTTTTACCCCCCTTGCCCGCTGCCCACATCCTTGGCCTGCACCTCAACTCAAACCGTCACTGCGCAACGCACGTCCGAGCCACACAACAATGCGCAGATCGTGGAGAAGGAGCAAGACCGCGAGTCGCGGGGGGGGGGCAATAGAAAAAATTGTCAAAGTTACCACTGGTAATTGCCGCAATCATGCCTCTTCTTCACCGCTCACCCAAAGGACGGGGGTTTGTTGTTGTTTGGTACTCGCCCGTTGCAAGCGGCAGGTGCAGGTGCAGGTGCCCATGGCTTTCCTGCCCTGCTGCTGAGACTGGGTAAGTAAGTAGTGCAACCAACCATACGCGCCCGTTTTGGCTATTACTTTATGTAACTGTGTTTGCGGTACCCGTCCGCTGGTGCTATCCTGCTTGCCGCAGTAATCATGCACATTGGATCCGTCCTAAATGCATAAAAATGCACAAGCTAAGCCAAGCTATTCTACCTACGTACGTTTTGCGCACGTGGTGAAGTGCCGGATTCAGACCAAAAAGCCCTTGTTTCTTTCTACGGTACTACCACCACACCTTCTCATTACTCAAACCGCATTTGCATTCATCTCGTCATTACCTCTTGCAAATGGTAAAAACCCGCTCTTCCCAAGTCGTTGGACCCTTGGCTTTTCCACCAATACAATTACACATGGATGTATGTACTCTGCAACACTATCGATTCAACGTCTTCTCCTACCAAACCACGCAACGGCACTCTCATCATCACGGTGTCTCATAGTGTATAGCATATTCATTAACTTTCTTGCTTGTTGAATCTACCGATCCGTCTCATCTGCGCTCTAGCGCAAAGCCCAATTCTCAAACGCCGCTGTAATGCTGGAAGGAGAAGAAAAATAAAATGAAATCGTTAATACCGCCTATATCTACACTTTTTCGTTCAACATAAACATGTCCCTATATCTTCACTGGCATAGTTTTTTCTCATTGCTGAGCCCTCTTTTCGCTTGTAATCTCATCTCCAGATGAGTTCTCAGACACGGCCTTGGGCGCCATCATGGGCTCGGGTCCTGTAGGAGTACCGGGCGTTGTACGCTTGAAGTAGTTGTGCACATCGGCATGGTCGTCCTCGTCTGCCTCCGCACCTTCCCATCCGTTCTTCTCGGAGAACTTGTGTTGCTGGCGCTCCACCCAATCTGCGCGCATCTCGTCAATCTTCTGCTCATAGTCGAGCTTGGCATCGTATCCCTTGTGCTGTCCACGGAAGCGCTCCCACCATGAAAGGTGCTTCCAGTGAATGGCAATACCGTGGTACTCGTGCTCTCGGCCAGCTCGGATGTATGTCCACCGACGCTCTTGCTCCTTGAGATCCAGGCCGGTAGTGTCGGGAAGGAAGAGCAGAGTGAGAAGAGCACCAGCAAGACCGAACCAGGGGACAAAGTAGAACTTGGTCTGGATGTCAATGTAGTTGTAGAGGATAGCAGCGAGAAGTGCACCAAGCTTGCCCCACGCCGCACTGAATCCGTGAGCAGTAGCGCGAACTGGTGTGGGGAAAACTTCGGCAGCCACAAGGAAAGTGACACTGTTGGGTCCAAATTGGTTGAAGAAAGACGAGAGGAAGTACATGGCCTGGAAACCGTGAATGTTCTCGATCGAAGTGAAATATTCCAGAGCAAATCCGGGAACCATGAAGAGAACAAAGTCAGCCAAGAAGCCGACAATCATCATCCATTTGCGGCCGTAGAGCTTGTTGTCAATGAGAATAGATGCGAGATAGTATCCGCACAGCGATACACCCACGTTGATGAGGTTGTATAGCCAGTCAGTCATGACCGACTTGTTGCCAGGCGTGAGGATGCTGATAAACTCGTTCTGGAAAAGCTTGTTGCCGTAGAAGAAGACATCGTTAGCGAACCAAGCACCAGCAGTAGCCAGGAGACGGGGGCCAAAGTATGTGAAGGTGAGCTTCAACGACTGGACGTCGTATCCAGTGACATTGGATTTCTTCTTAGAAAGCATCAGTTGCTTCGAAGCCGACTTCATCTTGTAGTAACGGAAGTAGACAAGCCACAGCGTTCCAACGGCAGGAATGGCAAACGAGACGCGGTAGGTCCATTGCGCCAAAGTCTTGGAGTAAGGCGGCGACGATCCACCGTGAAAGATGAGGAGCAGGATGATAAGAATGACCTGGTTGAAGAACTGGCCCCAACCCTGCATCAAAAAGGCACTGGTAACTTTTCGTCCGCGGTGAAGACGATCGTCCCTTGTTGAAACCTTTCCAGAGCCGACAGCATTCTCCATACCGGCAGTTGCAGTCATAGGGTATTCGCCTCCAACACCGATGCCATAGAAGAAGAGAGCCCATACGTAGCAGATGACCCAGCCGTTCTGAGTAACACCCCAGGCAGCAGTAAGCATCAAAAGACCGACGAACATGATTGTGGCATCCTGGATGAGACCAAACCGACGGCCAAGCCAGTCACCAACAACGCCAACGAGAATCTGACCGACAATGATACCGCAAATCTCGAGGTAGTCGACAGCCTGTGTCCATGTCTTGTCGCAGATTTCGTGGGTACCCCAGCAGTCGGGGAAAGCAGCCTTGAGTAGAGGGCGAACATTGCCAATGGAGAAGAGGACGTAACTGGTAGAATAGTTAGAATATGTCGCTGGATGATGTAATATCGCGCATGGATGACTTACCCTTCCAAACCAAGACCGGCACCAGGAATCACGCAAGTGCGGAAGTAATGACCGATTGGAGCAAGAGGGTCGTTCTTGAACATGTTCCAGAAGTAGCTGGCTTCGGCCTTTGCTTCCTGTGCATCGACTTGTCCAACAAACTTGACCCGTTGGCCAATGGGCAAGTCGGCCCAGTAGGTTCCTTCGGCAGTGTAGAGATCATCGGGGTGAAGCAGGGCATGGAAGACACTAGCCTCGTTCTCGCTCATGTCCTTTCGAATGTCGATGTCTTGAGTGGCTTGATGTTCACCCGTCGTGTTAGGTCCGTGAGGAGCAGCGACGCCATAGTCCCGGATGGAATCTGCCGCGGAGGCCATGGTAGCAATGCAGCGACGAGTAAATGGGAGAAACTCGTTGTTGGCTGCTTT